GGGTACCGATTTTTTACCGTAATTTCGTTTAGACCGTAGTAGTCTATATACAATCGTAGTAAACTATCCTTCTTTAGTACAAATAGTACCGGCGCGCCTGCTTTACTTATACTAGTCTTAATCTAGTCGTGTTCTAGTACGTTAGTAATATATTTATATAGATACTTAAGTTTAGCGCCGGACTAGTAGTACAACGGTCGGAATAGTAGAACGGTACCTAGCCGTAGGTCGATCGTATACTCTACGCCGTCTACTAGTTTGCTACGCTGTTCGTCTATAGGAAACAAGACGTCGTAGTAGTCCCGATATTCTATCGGCAACTCCGTAAGCTCTAACCCTACGTCTGTCCTACGTACTATTACTACATATACGTAGGACGAGTTCTTTAGGTCCTTAAAGAAATTAGGTACCTCTCGGACCTTAACGTACAAGTACTCGCTACCGTAGCGCTATTCGTCGGTAGTACTATCTACTACTACTTACTAGGTACGACGCTACGGCCGTCCTAGGATAAGATTAGGTTCCGGTGTATTATAGGTATAAAACAAGCCGCCTGTCGTATGCTCGTTACCTACGGAGTCTATAAGGGTTATACGGATGTAGTACGCCCTATAGTAGTAGCCTAACTAGCCTATAAACGAGCTTGCCGGCAGTAGGAGTACGTTCCTATAGACCGCAAGGTTGTACTTTAGTACGAAGCTACGCGATACTACGTTAATGTTAGCGGTATCGTCGAGTAGTATAGTAGTAGGGGTATGCCCCTTATACGTCTCGACTTATCCTTCGAGGACGCGGGTATAGTATACCTAGATAGGCAAGGGGGTATCGCTATCGAGATAGGCATCTAGAGCTTACGACTCTCCTCTAATATCTTCTCTTTTTTCGGCGCTTACTCTTTAGGTACGGTAACCCTACGAACCGTATTCGCCTTATCGCGGCTCGCGTAGTTAGGGTATACGGAGTTAGTCGCGATATATCCCTTCTTCTTGTAGGAGTAACATTCTAGGTTCTCGTACCCTCGTACCGTCGACGTCGCTACGGTCGATAAGGTACGTCTATCGTATAGGGCCCTACTCTTGCTTCGATCCTATCGATCGTCGCGGCTTCGTAGTACGTCGCTCTCGGTACGCTTGCGTTTACCCTATATACTATAGTCGCGCCGATAAGGCTCGTCTTTAGTACGGACTACTAGCGCGTTATCTACTTACTCGAGGCGCCTTACTAGGTTTACGAGCTCTACTCGTATATTAGGGATAGTATATCCCTTAACGATGTCCCTACGTAGCGACGGCTTTAACTTAGCGAGGAAGTAGCGTATTAGCTACGCCTACGTATAGTCAAACTAGGCTTCTAGATAACTAAGCTACGCTACAAAATAACGGACGCTCTAGTCCGGGCCTTAACGTACCCTTTTATACTCGATTATTACGCCGATCTAACGGTTCGACTAATCGCCGACGGTATTACGGAGCTATCCCTTAAATTCCTCCTAAGTATAGTCCTTAGGGATTATATCGGAATGCTCGTCGTACTACGTCTCCTACGCTTCGCCTACGAGCTATATAATACTATATAGGACCTTGTCTAAGTTGTCTTAGTCGATTCGATATTCTCGGGGGGCGCTAAGGAAGACGACCTCGAGGTGCCTAATAAAATTACGGTACTCTTTGTCGGTATCTCCTTTAAAGGGCTTTGGTTCCCGAATCTTAGGACCTCTATATAGAGAATACGAGCTACGTAGTAGGTTCGTAGCCTATCCGCGTACGTCGCGTAGGTCTGTCGACCTAAGGTCTTCTTCGAGCCTATTAAGAAGGTCGGGCTCGGCGTCGTCGTCTATAGTAACTATAACAGTTAGGATTAGTACTCGGCCCTAAATTTATTCCTATAGACGTTAGTTTTCCCTCTCGAGGGCCTGAACTTCTAACTCTATATAGAAACGCTAATTTGCCTCCTCGAGCTGTATACGTCTAGTATATAGGTCGGCTACGTAGGCTTCCGGCTAGGTAGGAGCCTCCTCGAAAGGAGTCTCCCCTAGGTTCCTGTCTGCCTAGGTACTTATAGGGCCCGATACCGTCTCCTCGGAAGGTTAGATATCTTTATCTACTTCGCCGATAACGCGGCCCGCCTACGCTATAGCTACGGTACGGTCGCGTTGTTGTCGTAGGGCTATAGGACCTCTATAGATCACTACCCTTTAGAAGGATAGAAGAATTAGAAATATAAGAGTAGGGGTATATAGTAATATATAGAGCGTCCTTCCTACCGCGTAGGAAAAGGAACAAACTAATTCTTATCCTTCGGAAAGGAGAGAGCGGCGTCGTATAATATACCCCTACGCCAAGTATACGTAGGCGCTACGCCGCGCGGGCAGTCGCCCGATAGCCGATCGCCCGACGACTCGGATCGTACTACTCCTATAGCCCGTCCTGCCTTAGGCTAATATACTTTAGACTCAAATACCTAACCGCCCCCTAGGGCTATATGCCTCTAGGCCTAGCTGTTATAATATTCGTAGTATACTAATATAAAAGGGTATAGTTTGGACGCTGCCTCCGCTACTATTAATGCCTCTACTATACTTGTATCCGCTGCCTCCGCCGCCGTTACTGCCTCTACTATACTTATATCCGCTACCTCTACCTCCGCCGCCGCTACTACTACTAAGGTCGTTGCCCTCGAAGAGAGGGTAGCTATACTTAAACGTCGCCTCGAATATAAGACAAGTAATACGAACTCTCTTCGTATAGCCCTATTAATATTAAAGAAAGAGTTCTATAAGCGCTACCCTAAGCTCGAAGATAACGACGACAACGATAACGACAACGATAACGACAACGATAGCGATAGCGATAGCGATAGCGACGACGACGACGACGACGACGACGATAGCGAGGACGACGTCGTTAACAGCGTCAACGACGATAACGACGGCTATAACAATAGTAACGCTATCGAAGAAGATGTTAAGATAGTCTTTAACGACGAAGATATTAAGATAGTTGTTAATAATAAAGACGTCGAGATAATACGTTCGTTCTTATAGTAATTCAGACGGTTATTCGGACGGTTACTTAGTATTAGTATCGTTGTTAGCGTCGTAATTAGTATCGTCGTTTAGTAGTATACTATTAAGTATTATATAAGCTATATAATAAGGTCTACTACTCCTACTTAATACTAGTACGGTCCTAGCTATAGTGCTCGAGTAGCTCGAGGTAGTCTTACTATATATCCTCCGCTATCTTATCTCGGAACTTTAATATTCCTTCGTCCTCCTCGAAACCCGGTACTTTATACTCTATACTAAAGACATCGTTATTGCCGATATAGCCGTCCGATTGTAGTAACTACAGCTCTATAGAGAGTAGTTGTTCGCCGTACGTAAGAATAAAGTTATAGAGGACAAAACACGCTATAAGAATACGCTTTTGGTCGAGTATAGAGCGCCCTAGGTACGGACTAATACGGACGTACTTAAAGCGCTTCTTTATAATACTAAATATACGCTTAACGCAGTTTCTTAGCTATACGTAGCGGAGGTTAAAAAGCTCTTCTTTTGTCTCTAGTTTAGTATTCGACGCGATCTGCTTACGTAGGTAGTATCTTATACGCTAATATAGTACTAAGAGTCGATTGTCCTTCGGCGAATAACTACTATCTACGAGATAATAGCGGCCCTCTAGTATACGTAGACCTCTAACCCTAAACGCTCTATTAACAACCGTTCTATCGTTCGCAGATCCTTTATAACCAACGAGCGTATAGAGGAAGTTATAGCTAAAATCGTATACTACTAGTATATTCTACGCGATAAAACCCTTCTAGCAATACTACGTAGACTGCCTCTCTTCCGGAATAACAGTATTTATATATATACTATCTAGCGTACCTAGGGCTCCTTTGAAATAGCTGAATTTAGGGTTTCTAAGGATTAAGTAGATAGTAGTATTATCTAGTAATTAGACGTAATCCTCGGCTATTCGATATAGTACAATACTAACTTTATCGATAATCCTCTCGAACGTCCTCCGTATATAGATATACTACTACTCTAAGTCTAAGATACTATAGTTGTATACGACGAAATCGTAGAATATAACTACTTGCTTAGTAACCGAAACCCTCGCTTTTCTATAGTTATCGAGACTACTACGCTCGGTCAATTCCTCGATTAACGATATTAATACCGGCTGTTTTAGACGCGTTATATAGTAATAGTATCGCTCTAGGCTATATAAGCACTTGTACGTCTCTTTCCTACCTCTTCTAGGCTCGATTTAAGTCGTAATTACGCTAGGTAGCCAATACTAGCGCTCTGCGATAGGGGTTACGACGATTAGTATAACGGCGACGAGTATAGTAGTAGCGATAACGCCGAATAATACGGCGATATTCGTAGTATCTATAGCTAAAAAAGAGGAGGCAGTCGGTCGCTAGTATAGTACTACTATATAGTTAACTAGTATCGATATATATAGTATATACGACTACGACGCGTATATCGATAGTACCGCCGCCCCGGAACCTAATTAAATATATACGGAGCGCAAAATGTATCTCTAGAAGGACTATTTAAGATAGTAGATTCTATCCGTACGTTTACTAACCGGATATAGTGCGTAGGCAGCGACGGCGACGGTTTACGAGGGTATACGAGCGTTTTGCTATCGACAGGTAACTATCGTCTATTTTTGGTCGATAGCTAAGTAGACGGGTGTCAATAGCGTAAGCGATAGTGACCGGAAACTATCGACCTGCTTACTATCGACACAATTACCGACAGAGTAGACGGGGCCTAATAAACAACCAGTAGACTGCTTTCACTTTTGCCGCATTGGCCGGCTTCTGTGCTTCTATTGCCTGCCTCCTCCTTCGTTCGCCTTAACTGGCAAACATGGCCATAACATACTTGCATAGATATTTACCAGGGGACAATCCCTCCCCCTCCTCCCAAGTCCCCTCTCCCTCCTCGACACTTTTGCTGCTATACCACGAAGAACATGTACAAACTTGCAGCAAGGGGAGCGCTCCTCGCCACCGCTGCATGTGCTGCAGCTGCACCGACTGAACGGCAAGCGTCCCGGTTCACATACTATCCCTTAAGCACCACGCTGGGCTCACCGTGCGACATCACCACGGGCCTCGATGGCAGAATATACGTACGTCTCTCGTGAAACATCCATCGAAGCGGTAGAACTACATCACCTTCTAACCCCAAGCCCCAGGCCGATACATTCACATCCAACAAGATCGTCCAAATCGACATCCCCACTGGCCAGCTGCGGGAATTCGATATCCCCTACAAGCTTCCCGTCTTGGGCAACTCCGTCCTGCCATCCGACGTCCAAGGCCGAGTAGCACTCTCATGCGTAGTACAACCGGGAAAAAATGGCAAAATCTACGCTGCCACAGGCGTCCGCAACGAATTTGCCATTTTCGATCCCAGCACAGGCAACGTAACCGTCCTCGAAACAGGAAACCCTCTCGGAAATCTCCAACCTTTCAACGACGCCTGGCCCGGCGAAACCGGCATGTTCTTCTCCCAAACCACCGCCAACGTAATCAATCTCATCGACTACGAAACCAACTCCATCCAAACCTGGCCCGTTCCCACTCCCCTCTCTGGGCCCCTCGGCATGATTGTCGCCTCAGACGGAAATCTCTGGTTTGTCGAAATGCTCGCCAACAAAATCGCTCGATTAAACCCTTCCACTGGAATCATTGATGAATGGCCTCTCCCCCTTTCTCTCCTCACTCCCTCTGTCATGCGCGCCGAAACAGAAGGCCGTTATCTCTGGTTCACATCCATCGCAGGAAACGCCCTCGGCCGCTTCGACATGTTCACATATACCGCGCAAGCATTTCCCATTCCGGAATTACTCGCAACACCGATTGAAAATACCGTCGATTCGAGAGGCAATGTCTGGTTTTCGACACTGTTGAGAAACAGTTTGAATTATTTGACGCCTGCTTCGGGGGAATTTACGTCGATTAAACAGCCCGGTGCGGATGTGAGTGTGTTGCCGCTGTTGTTGCCGGATTTGCCCCCGGCGGGAAATATTGCGGTGCATTATAATGCGGTTGAGGATGCGATTTGGTTTAGTGAGTTGGTGAATAATCGGATTGGGAGATATCAGATTTGAGTTGGAGTTCAGTTCAGTTCTTGTGGGAGGTAGGACTAAAGAATGGGATTTTCTGTTGTATATATATGAGATGATTTTTTTTTTCAAAACTTCCAATAGTAAGCAAAAGCAAAAGCAAAAGCAAAAGCAAAAGCAAAAGCAGCCACTTTCAGAAAAAAATCAATTCAATAAAAATGTCGAACAATCCCCCACGGCAATCTCTTCCCCTCTGCCCCCTCTTTTCCACCACAACCCTCCTCCTCCTCTTCACAATTCCTCTCAAACCACCTCACAGCCTTCTCCGCCTCCCGATCCACATCATACGCAAACCAAAACTCCTGCATCGGTCTCGTCCACGACGAAGGAATTTCTCCCGACATCAATGGACCTTGGGGGTAGAATTTTCGAATTTGAGCTTCAAACGATTTCTTCTGGTTTTTGTTCTGATCATCATCATCGTCGTCATCGTCGTCGTTGCTGTTGTGCTCGTTGATTCTTCCTTCTTCTCCAGTCAAGTGGTCAAACATGATGTTGGAATAAATTTGTGTGGTATTGTCGCGTGGAAGGCGGAAATCGTTGTAGAGTTGGCAGCGGGAGGGGATAGTTTTGTTTATTGAGGAAGAAGATGAAGAGAAGGTGTTGCGGAAGAGAGTAGAGAGGCATGCGGCATCTTCGATGCTGGAGCAACCGCCTTGGGCATAGGTGGGCTAGAGATAGAGGGGGTGGTTAGTTGGGTTAGTTGGTGAATCTGTATACGATGACTTGGAGATGGATGTTTGGGGGGAGAAAGAAAGAGAAAAAAAGTTCGAGAAATATCGGATTGAATGACTGACTGACCTGAAAAGGATGTGCGGCATCTCCAATAAGAATGGCTCGACCGTTATTATATCGAGGAATGGGAGCACGAAGTTTAATAGGGAAACATTTAAAATCATCATCGCTTTCCGCAGCTTCGACAATCGCTCGCCAGAAGGGATGGACATCTTGCAGGACACTCAACACATCGGCTTTGGTAGCAGGAGAAGTCCAACCCTCGTCGTGTTCGTGTCCGGGACGGGTGGTGTGGAAGACGGCAATATTCATAATACTGTCATTGGCGCAGGGATACATCATGATCATTTTCCCCGCATGATGACAAGTGTAGAATCCCGAAGGTTGGTTTTCGAATTGCGACCAAATCAGCGGATTCGACTGCAGAGCTGCCATGGGAATCAGGCCACGAAAGACGGATTTGCCGATTTTGTGCGGAGAAATGTCTAGACCGGTGACGCTTTTGACGAGAGTGCTTCGGATGCCATCGGCGACGACGACCAGGTCGTGCTTTGATGTTGTTCCATCTTTGAATGTCAAAACACCTTCGGCACAGTCCAGATCGACGACTTCTCTCCCAAGCTGGATCTCCACCCCTAAATTTTCCGCCATCGTCTTCAGTCCTCGATGCAGGTCCACACGATGGTACGCATTGTAACGATGTCCGAACTCGGGCTCTACGCTTGCAAATCCGCACTGATGAATGATTTCCAATGTGTGTGCATCGACATGACGGACCTGTTCTTTGTCCGTCTCGCCGTGAGCTTTGGCGTCGAACCCCCAACGGTCCAGGATGCGGTTTGCATTGGGAGTCAGCGTAATGGCTGCTCCGATTTCGTTCTTGAATGTGGATTTCTCGTAGATGGTGACGATTCTTGTGGTATCGGAACGTTTCAGTGCAATTCCAGCGCAAAGACCTGCGATACCAGCGCCGACGATGGCGGTATTGAGAGGTGGTGAGGGTGCGGTTGAATCCATGCTGGGCAGGCGAGAATGCTCAAGTGAAGATACAGTAGCGTGCAGAGTCAGCGCAGTGGTGTTGCTCTCCGCGAAGACTTGTGGTGGTGATACTGATGAGACGGACGGGGGCTGATAAGGTTTGTACGACGAATATAAGAACAGGTGTGATTACAGGAAGAGATGTCTTGTTACAACAAAGGCCCCGCGTAGATGACTACTGGTACTCGGAGGATCCATGTGAAAGTGGGCCTCGTGTAATAATATAGTGCTTCCTGTACTTGATATGAGCCACTTTGAAGCTCCTGCAGCCTTCCATTTGCACCACTTTCACTGCCTGCTGCGAGTCAGCACTGTCACGTTATTTGCATGTGCTGCTTTGATGAAGCCATCCATCTAATCCTTCCTGTACCACGAACCGCCGTCTTGATTCCTGGAAGATTTAACGTTGCGACACTGGTGGTCTGTATGTTGCGTAGCAGCAGCACCATCATTGCTGATGGTGGTGGTGGTGATGGTGGTGGTGTAGGAGAGAGGGAGCGAGGGAGTGAGCCGACTTGGGAGAATTATATCCGTCCCATATGTTGTTGGCTTAGTCTTCGACTGCCTCCCTGCCCTCCAGCTCAGAGCACATAAATATATCTACATGTATAATTCTGTATATTTTCTCATTATCCCACAGCATTCATCCATCCATCCATCCATTCATTCATTCATTCATTCCGCCTTAATCCCCTTCATCTTCTGACTAGATTTCTTCTGCATCAAATATTCCCCTCCCATAAAAGCCTTATAGACCCCATAAAGTCCACTCAGCGGCCAAATATTCCACAACAGCACCATCAACCACGCTACCCACCCTCCTACTCCTCCTCCTGCACCCACGTCCTCCTCTTCTTTCACTTTCACCTTATCATAAACACTCGGCAAATATTGTGCGCCATACTTCTCTCGGAGCGCATCATAATCCGCTCGATTATAAATTTCCCAAAATTCTTCTTCGGTATAGTATGCGTGCGCATACAACCATTTCCTACCTCCCAATTCCCCGACTTTCTTCTCCAAATCCCGATTCTGCTGGATAAATCTTTTCCGATTGCGTGCTCCTGGTCCCCAGACGCCGAAATTCATCATGAATTCGGGAGTTTTTGCCGCATTGGCCAAGTCGGCATAGAGTCCGAATTCCGATTTGGGGGCATCGCGACGCTGTCGTAAGGGACAGAGCCAGATGGGGTAGATGTGAAAGGTATCATCGAGCCAGTTGTGGAATGTGGATACCTTCTCATAGGGAATGGCGACGTCTTGAATGATGTAGATTTTCGCTTGACCGCTCTCGTGCAGGGCGTGATACATGACTCGTGTGTGCATGAAGCGGTCGAGGAGGAAGCGGGTGATGCGGTTGAAAGGGGTGAGGAAATAGGAAAAAGCATATCGTCCGACCCAGAATGCTCCGCGGTCGTAGCGGAAGAGGTAGTCTGCGAGAGGAGTGTAGACGGTGATGGGTTGACCGGGGGAGGAGGTGTGGGAGGTTCGGCGGGAGACGTGTTGATAGAACCAGCGGTCTTGCGGGCGGAGAAAGTAGTGGATTTCTGGTGAATAGTCGGGTGAGGAGGCGGGGAGAGTATTAATCAGTTTGCCGGAACAGATGACAATGTTGTTGCGAGAGAAGACGATGCCATCTAGATAATCCACTTCTTCCTTGCCGACTTCTCGTTGCACCTGTGCCATCGCGTCGTCGATCTGGGAGAAGGGATAGTAGGTCAACTCGACCCATGGCGCCGCATCTCGCAATTGGATTTTCAGCAGAGTGACAACTCCCAAAGTCCCGAAGCTCCCTGCCGCGCCCCAGAACAATTCGGGGTTATCTTCTCTACTGATCCGTTGAATTTCTCCATTGGGCACAACCACTTCAATCCACCGGACGGTATTGTCGAAAAAGCCATGTCGAAACGAACTGCTTTCGCCAGAGGTTCCGGCAAATCCCCCACCCACGGTGATCCCTGGGAACTCCATCACGACCAGCGGGACCAGGCCTCTCTGATATGTCTCGCGAACGAAGTCGTCCATGGGCACGTTGGGTTCCACGGTGGCGATTTTGGTATGGGTATCGATGTCGAGGACATGATTGAGTTTGCTTGTGTCGATGGAACTGTTGGGATCTCTTCGGGAATCTCGTGTGCTGTTGGTCGAGCCATGGTAGATGCGGTAAGGCTTGTGGTAGGAGTAAAAATCGCGAACTTGAGATGCTATCTTTTCTACTGCTGCGTTGTGGACGTCCATGATGTGTTATGTAGTCTGGCTTGCGTGTTTTCTGTATATGGAAAATTACTTGATTGAGACGTGATGAAGTTCTGATTAGAAATGAGCGGATTGATATTCATTCGTCATGGTCTTGTGTAGGTACGTATGCGTAGGCCGCAGCATTGCGGGTGGGTTTGATTGGTCATATAAGACTGCCAAGAAGAGGTCAGCATCACGGCGTCTTACTTTCGCCTCTGGTCCTTCAACATGAAATGTCTCGGAGTCATTGGACTTGCAATGTCAATACCAGGACGAAAACAAGCTTGGTGGCATACAAATCGCAAGCGGCATGTCCAACTTTAGTTCCGAATTGATAGTACCTGAGTTCTAAACTATAGGTATCTTGATCGTTCTATAGAAGACACTGCCACGATGCCGCTACATGTAGTTACGACTATCCACTGCTGGGATTACAAGAAACGTATTCTGGACCCAGTGAGCCTCATCCTTGTACTGCCGTCCCAGATTCATCCCGATTGAGACTTCGCTCTCAGATTTTCTATCGAGCATGGCTGGAGGAGCCCAATGATTGATTGATTAGTTTTGACGACTGGACCGGAATGGATACACGCACCACTCGATAGATGGCAGATGTGTTGAAGCACGCGAATGCCGAAGAGATGATTCCGCGCGTGAAGAGCGAGACATGTTATTACATGCCTGACAGTTGGTTGTGTTGCGCAGCAAGCGCGAATACAAGCAGTGGAGTTTTCCCATTTTCGTTCATTCGTCAAACACCGACTTTTGGAGTTGGGTATCTTTGCGATGTAAGCAATGCAGCAGCCTCCCCATTAGATCCACCTTTTCAACGCATTCAATCCAGTCCACCAAAGTCAAAGCTTTGCACGTTCTGCGGCGCTTTGGATCTCTTCTTTTTCTTCTTCTTGCGCGTCCGCCCCTGGTCTTCGTCGCTGCTGTCGTCCTGGTCCCGATCGCTTCCATCGTCGTCACTGTCGACCGCACGTTTCCCAGCTGCACCATCTTCCTCGTCGTCATCGTCTTCAGCAATATGCTCTCTCCACACTTTCAGTGTCTGGCCGCCTCCAGAAATCATTCTCCCTCCAATGTCAAATCCAATAGCATTGACTCCCTCCACCTCGTCATGCACGAATTCGCCCACGACTTTATTCATGCCCAACCTCACCACTCGTATCCTGCCATCTCCCATTCCCACTGCAATCTTCTTGCCCAGTCCGCCGAGTCCCTCGGGAAGAGTGGCCATGCAGTCCAATGTTTCCCCTTCCCTACTGACGATGATTCTCTCATCCTGGTCGTCCCACTGTCCCTTCTCCCACAGCGTGATCACACCATCGCCGCCACCCACCACAGCCTTCTCTCCAGAGCTCCCGCTGCTCTTCTTCGCAGGGAGACCGGTGATGTACAGACTACTCAGCAGCAACTCCTCCTGGTCCTCACTCTTCGCCAGAACACCTCTCCGCAGGTCCGTCAAGGCCAAGGTCGTACTCCCGGTGGTGAGGAACTGCTTACTGTAGCCGCTCGTGCTGGCGGCACTCGCAGGTATGGGCGCAAGGCTCGAGATGTAGTCTGCGTGAGGATGGTAAGTCTGACTTGGCTTCCCCGTGACAAATGCCGTCTTCCCATCCTGCAGGGGCAGAGCAGGCGCGGGATCCCTCAGATCATACAAATGCAATGCCCCAGAATCGGTGGAGAGTAACAGCGTCTGAGGACTCAACGCATGAATCACAGTCGGCGCGTCCACTTCTTCGCCCACCTTGCCCATAGGGATGGCGACCTTTCCGACGACTCTCCCCGTTTCTACATCGGCTGCCTTGACCAGGCCATCGGTGCCTGCAGAGTAAATCTGCTGTCCACTGATGCTGTAAGCGAGACAGCGACAACTTCCCTTGTGTCGTTTCGTGCGCCAGGTGGTGTCGACGAAGTCGGTGCCATTGGAGCCTCGTCGGCCGGACGGGTGCGGGTGTTTGACGTCGTCCGGTTCCGAGTCGTCGTCGACGGGCGGGAGTCTAAGACTGGCGACGTGACCGGAGGACAGACCGACAGTCACGAGGGGGACATTAGGGTGCACCGCTTGGGCGAAGATGTCATGGTCGAGCGGAAGGGTGCAGATGGAGTCGAGCATGTCGCCGACTGCGCCTGGGTCTCCTCTCCTACTTGTCTCTTGGACCGCCCATACGAGTGCAGTGCAGCAGTATGGTATCGGAGGAGGTAGAAAATGCTGGGCAGGTGAGAAGGACGAGGAAAACAGTCGAGCTTGTTTTGCGCCGGGCCGACATTTAATCCGAACTCGAGCTTCCCTTCCCCAGTGACGTGCTGCTCTGCTATAGCTCTACAGCTCCACCACCACCACGCAGGACACAGGTACAGGGACAGGTACATTGTACATTGTAGTGGAGAGCTCTCCCAATGGCACTAGAGTGCAGCAGGTAGGGAAAGGGAACACAACATCCACATCCACATCCATATCAACATGGTCGTTCAGCGCGTCAAGCAGAAGCAGATCTCTTTTGGCTGTAAGTTCATATTCTTGGCTATGGACCATCACCATCACCCTCACTGCTCCACTCACTAAGCAGGAGCACTCACCCGCGGGCAACTGCAGACTGCGATACGGTCAGTGGCGAACGCGTCTATCCTCCCCCTCCTCCCTCCGACGCTGCAGCCATGGCCGACGACGACCTGCTTCCTGAACAGCGGCCACCCGAGCAAGCGACCGTGTATACACCAGACTCGGACGGCGACATGGACGACTGCTACATCAACACCACCGTCTGGCCACCGCTGGCTCAGGCCACCGCCGTCGCCAAGAACCAAGATGGAGTCACCTTTACGGTACTCCTGGAGCATACCTCATCGACGACTTCCATTGCGGAGACGCCAGAAATCAGCGTCTGGCACAACCACGGCGGCGAGCATGACTGGGCGGAACTCCCACTCACTCTGTCCCCGGCGTTCGATCATGCATTCTTCGCCCGGGGCCCCACAGACGAGCATCTGACCAAGAAGTGGTACACCGGACATCTCTCGGGCAATCCGAAGCACGGTCAAGCGGTGTCGTTTACTGTCAAGTACCGTTTGAATGACAATTTTGACTGGAAATGGATGAAAGACGTGGCCGGCGTGAGTGATGGTCAACTCGTCTACCAGACCACAGACTTCGAAAAACACTCCGCCTATGACCTCAGACACTGGTTCAAGGGCATCAGCGACGATATCAAGGTCCAGAGTGAACGGCCAGATACAGACAATACTTTCCTCTACTCCCTCGCAGCACCAGTGGTGCCGGCGAACAAGCAAGACTCTGGATATCAGCATCACCTGCTGGGTGTTCCCGACCGCAGCACCACATGGTTTGGGCTGGTCCGCTTGTGGTCTCCCTGGCTGGCTCCTCGACAAGGCAGAGGCAAGTTTGAGGTAGACAAGGATGCTGTGGAGTTGTCATTCTTGCGAGAGGATGGCTTGCATGTGGTTGTGCTGGGCGTCAGTGGCGTCGATGATGTGGTCACCACCTTCATCAATGACCACGCTGGCAGCATCATCATCAAAGCCCGCAACGACAGCACAGAAGCTCAATCGAGCCGTGTGCTGGTTGCTGTAGCAGACAGTTTCGAAGTGGCCAATGCAGCTGTGTGGTATCATGCGCGCAAGATCGTTCAATCGTATGGTGTTGCTGGCGACGCAAATGTTGAAATCCAGAGACTAATGGAGACTGTCCAACCGAGCGATAATGCCAATCCGGAGTGGTTCGAGGAATGGTACGATGGCTTCACCTTCTGTACCTGGAATGCACTCGGACAGAACCTCACGGCTCAGAAGATTCATGATGCGCTCGACGATCTTGCCAAAGAGAACATCAATATCACCAACCTGATCATTGACGACAATTGGCAATCTCTTGGCAAGGGCGACTCACAATTCACTCGCGGCTGGACGGCTTTCGAAGCCAACAAGGAAGGCTTCCCGGATGGCATGAAGTCCACTACCGCTGCGATCCGCACACGCCATCCCAATATCAAGCACATCGCCGTATGGCATGCCATCCTCGGCTATTGGGGAGGCATTGATCCCGAAGGCGAGATCGCCAAGAATTACAAAACCATCAAGGTAGAAAAGGAACCCGGCGTAGCAGGCGGTACTTTCACAGTCGTCGCCGCCGAAGACGCTAAACGGATGTACGAAGACTTCTACAGCTTCCTCTCCTCTGCGGGCGTCGACAGCGTCAAGACCGACGCTCAATTCTTCCTCGATCTCCTCTTCCACGCTCCAGATCGTCGTAATTTGATTCAGACATATCAAGACGCCTGGACAGTCGCCCATCTCCGTCACCTGAGCAGTCGAGCTATCTCTTGCATGTCACAGAACCCCCAAAACCTCTTCCATTCGCAGTTGCCTACGAACAAGCCTCGCCTGCTCGTTCGGAATAGTGATGACTTCTTCCCCGAAGTCGAAGCTTCTCATCCTTGGCATGTATTTTGCAATGCACACAATGCTTTGTTGACTCAACATCTCAACGTTTTACCTGATTGGGATATGTTTCAAACGTCGCATGAGTGGGCTGGGTTTCATGCCGCCGCAAGGTGTGTTTCTGGAGGGCCAATCTACTTTACGGACTATCCTGGAAAGCACGATATTGAATTGATCAAGCAGATGACAGCCCAGACTCCTAGGGACAAGACGATCATCCTGAGACCGCAGAATATCGGGAGAGCGCTGAATCCTTACAATTCATATAAAGACTTCGCGCTATTAAAGATTGGGACGTATTACGGGTATGCAAGGACAGGGAGCGGGATCGTGGGAGTGTTCAATGTGTCTGGCAAAGGCTTGAGCGAATTTGTGAGGCTAAAAGAGTTCCCCGGGACTGATTCTGCGGACGAGAACGAGGCGGAGTTCGTCATTGGAGCTTTCACCAATGCAAGGTTCAGCGAGCCGATGAAGTTGAGCGATGCTTCTGCGATGGCTGGAGTGGAATTGCAGGTGGGTGGATGGGAGATTCTCACAAGTTATGCCTTGAGAAGTTTTGATTTGGGAGGTGGGAAAGCAACCACCAAAGTCGCCATGTTGGGTTTGATTGAGAAGATGACGGGTTGTGCTGCTATTACAGGCTATGATGTGTACGTGGAAGACAACGGACGATTGAGGTTTTGGATCTCTTTGAAAGCGCTCGGTGTGCTAGGTATATGGATCTCGGACCTGCAGGACAGAACTGTAGGAGATGGGTTCATGGTTCTGATTTATGGCAAACCGATTCCGGCTGAATGTGTTCAGAAGAATGGCAACGTCCTGAAAATTGACGTCGAGAAGGCATGGAAGGAGAGTGGAGAGGATGTCGGTTGGGGCAATGAGATCACCATGGAGATTTTCATGCACTGAGCCCAGTAATGTTGATGAAAACACAAGGTTTGAGGGGAGACAGAAGAAAAGGGGAAGAAACGCAGGAGAATAAGGTAGGTCTCTCTATGTCTATACAAAACCATCAGGTATACATTCATGTCAATACAAATATGGAAAACATTATCACGACTCGTACCTCCTAGCTACCTTAGCTGCCCACTCGAGGTATGTACATGCTGTCTTTTCCTTTCTTTGAAAAAGAATTCAGATGCGCTGAACAAATTGGATAAAATCAATAAATCATTATACAATCCCAAGGTTGAGATCTATGTATCTGAAAATCAATCCCCAGAAGGTGTACCAATCAGCCATCAGTCGCCATCGTCCTCGCGTCGGGGCAAGCGAGACGTCTCTAGAGTCAAGACAGACATGACAAGCCAATAAAACATTAAGGCGGGTCATTTTTTTTTGAAGCTACTAAAACAACTGATTTTGGTATGCTAGAGTGAGACAGAAAAGTTTTACACCTCCACGGCAAGCACATACCTGTCTAAGCTATTCTCATTGATCCGTCGCGCGCGCGCACATGTACTGCTACTACACATGCTACAGGTATACGAGCTCGCCAGAAGGACACCTAAGCTGGAGGTGGCGGTGGTGGAACATCGCTCGGCGGAGGAGGTGGTGGGAGATCAGCAGGCGGTGGAGGTGGCACGGCATCGTAGCCACCAGATGGCTGTTGCCAAGGAGCCTGCTGTGGTTGCTGCCATGGGGCTGGCTGCGATGGGGGCTGTTGCCAAGGAGCTGCGCCGCCGCCGCCGCCGCCGCTGTGAGCACCTCCGCCGCCGCCGCTGTGAGCACCTCCGCCCCTGTTGGCCCAAGGCGCAGGAGCACCAGTCGGGCCTCCATAGCCTCCGCCATTGCCATATCCGCCGTCGTTGCCACCACGGTTCTCCCAAGGTGCAGGACCGCCTCCGCCCTGGCGCGGTTGCTGCCATGGAGCAGCAGCACCAGTCGGACCACGTTGCCATGGCGCAGCTGGACGAGCTCCGCCGTTAGCGTCAGCAGCGCCAGCTTCGTATCCAATTTGGCGCTGGGGTACAGAAGTGTCCAAGGCAGGAGCGCCACCACCGCCAATCTCGTTCATGAGCTTCTCGTAGTCTCCCTCGATGGCATTCTGTGGAGCGCGCGGTGGGAGATCGCGGCCGAAGTTACCGCGCTGGCGATCTGGACAGTCGCGAGCCATGTGACCAGCATTACCGCAGACGCGACAGATGATATTAGCAGTAAAGTTGCGTTGCTGCGGACAATCGTATTTCCTGTGGCCAATCTCGCCGCAGTTCTGGCAGGCCTGGTTTTCGTCGTCACGAAGAGTACCGTTGAGTGCGGCAAGCTCACGAAGCTGATTGCGCTTCAATTCGTTCTGGCCTTCTGGTATGGAGGCAGCAGTCTCGATGACATTGTGGATCAGCTCTTTCGCCTTGTTGACCTTCTCTTCCGTGTCTGCCATGATCAAGCAGTGCAAGTCTTCGTCCTGGTTACTGGCGTGAGCGGCATCAGATTTGCCCTTGCCTTCTTTGACGGAACCCTTTCCACGAATGGCGATCTTGGCGCCGGATTGTGTCTCCATCTTCTTGAGCGTGTTACCACGAGGGCCAATGAGGAGGCCGACTGTTAGTGGAGAAAGGCTAGTGTTAGTGACGGTTGAGTTTGTGTAGGATGTGCAGTGTGAGTTAGCAAGGGAGGGTTAGTACGGCTTTTGATCGCCGTAAACAACAGAGTGCAAGGCATTGACTGAGCGTCGTTGCATGGTGATGATTAGCGGGTTAGATAGCATACTGAAGTTAATCTCCGGGTAGTCGTTGACCGGCACGTAGACTTTCTCTTGCGTCTTGGTGGGTCTCCTATAGTCAGACGGCGGATGGTAGCTGGGGATGATCTTCATCGCCTTTTCAATCAGCTTGTGCCGCTCGTCTTCCAGTCTCTTTCTGTAGCGGTATTCGCGCGTGTTGACACGGCGACCAAAGTTGTCGTACTGTGGCGGCGGCGATGGAGATCTGGACGGTCCAGTCAGTGTACGTCCTCGTGCTGTCTCAAAGCAGCTGTAGCCTCCTCTCACTGACCTGTCACCATCAGCTGGCACGACATCATTGATGCGCAGCTTCTGGCTAATCTCCTCAATGCGCAAATGCGTCACATAGGCATCGAGCTGCTCCGCCGTCATGGCAGCAGTGATGGCCGTGGGCAAGTTCATCAAGCCGGCGGCCTTGTTGTCCGAAGCATCACCCCATCGGTTTCTCTTGCGCCGCTTCTTGGTGCCATCCGGGTTGAGCTCGACGGTTTTGGTGCGTGGCTCTGGGCTGCGGCCTCGCTTCATCTCACGCGGCGGCTCTGTGTCGCCTTCGGGTCCATCCTCATCGCCGAACTTGCGTCGCGGTCCGAGAGGAATGGTGTTGGCGCCGGTCTGGCCGACTGCTCTCCACGACATGATGGAAGGTTGTTGTCGTGGTTGGAATTGAGATGGTGGTTGTAGTAGTAGGGAAAAGAGAAGGAGAAGTTCCGAGTCAACTTCCGACGTCCAAGGATCTTTTCCAATCCCCCTACCGAGAACGAACTCACGTGACATGGCGGCTACTGCTGCTGACCTTCAATTTACATGAGGTACCTCCTATTTCAGGTTCATTTCATTTTTCTTTCGGCAGGAAGCCGTACAGAAGACTACCTAAACTAGTATCTGATAAAGCAGCAGACACAAAACCGAAACGAGATGTGGCGATACGGTGCAATAGCTCTCGTGTGATACTCAGCCCATGGGTATCGAGCAGCAGCGCCATCCCCAGCGATAACGTACTCAAAAGCAAGTCATGACCATCCGCCGGCCAAGCGCCAGATCCCATCTATCTATCCATAGGTACTCTAATTCGCTGCAATGCCCAGACCCACGCGACCACCCTCTGCAAACCCATCTCGACCCTTTTCTCGCATGCGTCGACCTTCCATCAATCCTCTCAACCCACGCTTCTGCAGTCCAACGACTGAACTCAGTGCACCGTTCCACACATCCTGCACTTCTTTGCTGCTATGCGCGAAGATCTCGCTCTCACTCATGCTGGTAGTCGAGACCGCACTCATGGGCTCTTCATCTGTATCATCGGCTGCAGCGCGTGGCCCAGGTCTCAACGTGTTACGAACACTGCGACCATTCGCCATATCGGTGTCGATGCGCAAGCTAGACAATGAGCGAGGATTGGCACTCTGGCTGCCGTTGAGCAAACCCTCCAGACCAGCGAGACTAGCTGTTCGGACCGGGATGTCGCTCCTGGGAATGGAGCGCGTATTGGTTGCGAAATGGATGCTGTCCCCTCCTCCTGCGCCCATGGCTGCAGCATTGAAAATTGCTGCAGCATTTCGGCCGTCAAGGCATTGGTGCAAGCGTTCGATTGTGGCCTCCTGCAGACCATCAATCTTGTATGGTCGTGCAAGCTGCAGGAGCGAGCAAAAGATTTGTGGCGTCGCTAGCGGATGTGGTGGCGAGGGGAGTGTGGAGATGTACAGGTAGTGTAACAGGGCATGCAGCGTTGGTGCCGTATGTGGAAGATATAGCAATCTCGGTCGCGTCGCAGGGGGTGCTGTTCGCGTATCTGGAAGACTTGTGTCGGTCGCCAGACTATTGTTGGTCAGTGTGGTTGTGCCCGACATTGTGGAGGTCAGCGAAGGCGTGATGGTAATGCTGGAGTTTCGCGAAGGATGTCCTGCAGCGTTTGGCCGCAGTGTGGCAGTGTCTGCTCCATTTTCAGCTGACATCAAAGACTCTCTCAGCAGAGTGATGAAGTGCGGTCCCCATCGCCGAGAGATCAAACGTGAATTGACAGGCACCCGTGTGCCATCGATGGCGAGAAAGTCCATATCGGCAAGCTCGCGCACATTGAGTGCGAGCGCACCAATATCTTCCGCTGCAGATGAGAGCAAGCGGCAGAAGGCAGCGTCATCTTTGGAGGGCGGTAGTGGTTGAGGAAGTACGCTGGGTATAGCGCTTGCCGATGTGTAAGAAGATGTGGGCTCAGCTACGCGCGGATTGTCGTATAGGCCGAATGCCTCCAGCTCAACAACGCAGATGTTGGAGAAGTTGATACGACGATTGTTATAATCATCCACGAGGCTGCGCTTGCGATTGCCCAAAATCACAAATGCATTGTGTCGAGCCCAGAGCACACCACGATTCCAACTGCCCTGACTGAAGATGCTGCCGCCAACATCGATGCGGCTCCACGTGAGGGTGCGCAAATCTAGCGCCCACAGCGCGTACTCTTGCTTCGATGATGTGAGGAACGTGCCCGATACCACGAAATGATTGTCGATGACGCCGCCATTTGGAAATCGAAGGCCCGGCGGTGACACAGCCGTCTGCATAGGCTTCTCTGTGAGCGTTCCGTCGGGGAGACGGACTTGGAGCTCCAGCTTCACGTCAAGGAAATTGTAGTTGGAATAGATCAGCATTGGCGATCCTGATCCAATGGTAGTGGGCTCTTCATCGTCTTCTTCGAGCTCGCTGTGCGCGTGAGGTCCAGCGCCGATTTGGCTCGCACTCATCGTGGTCAATGGTGTCACAACACTGCGGTAGGCACCGCAGCTACGACCCATTCCTGTGGTGCCCGTCCATTTCAGACTTCGCAGATTAAAGATGCTCACTTGTTCAATGTAGTGATTTGCGCTATCTTGACCTCCCACCACGACCATTTCTGCTCCACCGGTACCGTCGAGGTGGACACCAAGCGATCCCTCATTAGGCTTATCACTTGCGGGATTGTGGTGTACGGCAGACATTGGCGCGTCCTTTGAGGCGAACACTGCTGCTGATGGTAGTATCGAGGCGCAGTGGGCGTAACGTCCCTGTGGCGCGTCGGGCGTATTGAGCTTTGTCCATGTCTGACTCGGCACATCATAAATATGAACGTCAGACATCACAATGACTTCGGGCTGTGCCTCTGCAGCTGGGTCTTGCGGAGGCGCGGGTGACATGCCGCCATAGCATACCAGCTTGGTGTCACCAAGTGCACATACGCTGTGGAAATAGCGAGGTGGTGGAATGTCGCCAGTAGTATCCAGCTTCGTCCAATGGCGACGTATGAGGTCCAGCTCGTAGAGATTGGCGGTCAACTGTGGCTTCGTTCGTGAGAGTCGTCGCCCGCCGAACACGTACAGCTTATCTCCCAGTACCGTTGTGGTCGCGCCAACGAGAGGATGCGGCTCCCGTCCCGTGGTGCGATGTACATTGCACACCAAGCCTGAAAGTCCAGCCGGGTTGGCTGGGGAGGATGTGGTTTGTGGGTTTGCTGAGCTGATGGATTGTGAAGGAGTGTGTTGACTAGGTCCATTATCGTCGCCATGGGTGGATTCAGCCTCGGAAGCAGACTCGTACTCTGATCGCATGCCAACCAGGCTCACCTGGCTGCTGTGAGCGCTGATGTTTGCATGCGAACCATTCTGACTGTTAGGGTATAGTTGTCCTGAAGTGGGACGAGACACACTGGAGTCCATAGTATTGGCCCGACTTGATTCCGGCGTCGTCGAAGACATGGTGAAAGGCGATATGGGTGGTATGGGCGAGAGTGCCAATGGCGGTAATTGGTGGAAAGACAGTTTCCTTGGCAGGGTCGTGTCGCACTTCGTCTTTGTTGGAGTGCCCCAGTCCGGACAATAGGGTATCTTTATTGGTACATGCCGCGGCGTGGATCGAGGGCTAGCGGGATGCGAGGGCAGGCATGCAGACGCAGTCGTGGGCGATGGGGCAGTACTGCTCGGAATCGAGTATGTGAAGGACCCAGAACTCGGCTCCGATTCGGAAGGAACGTAGGAATACTCTTCTGGAATGACAATCGGTACGTGCTTCAGTCGGACAGGTGATCTCGGCTTACTTGGAAGTAGTGGTGTGGTCGACAGGTCAAAAGAATCGTGCGGTGAAGATCCAGCAGTCGATGTAGAGAAGGCACGAGGCACCACAGGATCAGACCTGGACCGCGAAGGCTGCTTTCTCTCTCGTGTAAATGCAGCTACCCACGAGCGAGAAGACAATGGAGTGGACTGCTTCTTGACCGATCTGGTCTTCAGTCCTGATCTGCTCCGATCCAAGGACCGACCTGCAGCAGACTGGGTGTCTGAGGTCGAGGTCGACGGATGATGGCCGTCTTTCTTCTGCTTGGTAGACTTTACACTACTCTGATCAGAGCGTTTCTCAGCGGCCGCCGGGAAAGCGAAGACCCCTAGAGGAACAGACATCTGCGGTCAGCTCGCGGCACAACTGTTCGTGAGGTATGATGTCGTATAAGAATAAGTTCCGTGGTACTTGGCAAAGCAAGCAAAAGCAACGTTGCAGCGAGAGTGGCATTCAGGTATCAAAGCAGAGAAGGATTCAAGTGAGTGCGGTGAGGGAGGAGGAGGAAGAAGAAGAAGAAGAAGAAGAAAAGGGCATTTCGATGTGGACAGGCACACAGTGAGTGGATGATGGTGAGGAGCAGTGCCGTAGGAGTGCTTGCGTGTGGGCGCAAGGCCTTTCTTTCGACCTCGCAGCAGCCTCGTTACGTGTGGCTCAGGCGCTCGATCTCCCGGCGGATATTGTTGTACGCTGGTGCGTGGTGGGTTTCAGGTAGCCAGGTGCACCGCTGAACAGGCGGAGAAGGGCGTCCGTTTGACGGCCATCCTTATGCAGGTATCCTGCTGTGCCATGCTACCGGATGCCGTCGCAGCGTGTGTTTGTTTCCCTCGCGCGACGGCAGGGATAGACTCCCAGATTGACCGAGTGCGGACAGGGCCGACACGGGACAGAGGACAACAGTTCGCACGCAGACTCACCTGATCGGATGTGGTAGTAAGGCAGTAGGGGGGGATGGTGGTGGTGGTGGTGGCGTCCAGGTTCTGCGCTGCAATGGTGGGCCGGGGCGTGTTTGGCTGGGCGAAGCAGCACTCACTCGATGCCGTCAAGGTTGAAATAATGGGTGGTCAGGTCTGTCGACGGTTAGGAAAAGACTAGTGGATCACTGGATTTGGTGCCAGGTGGAGAGGGCGGGAGCCTCGCTTAGCGGACCAATCACGCCCGTCGCTGGGCTGTGATCGCTCCTTCCCGCAACCGGGGCGAGCATTTCTCTGGTCGCCAACGTCCCTGGCAATGGCGAGACGTTGTGCCTTTGTGTGCGCAGATCGACGGCACTCTCCCGCAAGGGAATTCATGTCAGACAACAGACACCTGCCTGAGGTTGCGAAGTGCCCAGCTGTTGGCCGAGCAGCGCAAATTGCGACGGAGCGGAGAGTGGGAGCGGAGAGTGGGAAGTGGGAATGGGACTGTGGGAATGAGAGTGAGCGTCTTTCGTCTCCGGGTCGAGCTCCTCCCAATGGCCAATGGCGGATGCATGTCATGGCGTGGTGCATCAGCCTCACAGAGAGCGGGTGCATACAGCAGTTTGCCGGCTGAGGACGCTGCCTTCCCGCGCCCGCCACCCCCCATGAAGTGAACCGTGGACGTGCTACTCGGGGCGATGGAGAGCAAAGTTGCCTGATGCAGCGTGGAAGCCGAGCCTGCTCGCCTGCGCACCATCTCTACCAGTGGCTACCCAGGCACGATAGGACCGCACACTCATCTCAATGGATTGATGATGATGAATGAACCCGTCTCGTCTCGTTTCGTCTCGTCTCGTCTGCTCTACCAGATTCCCGTTTCTTGCCTCCTCATCCATGCGAGCTCGATCCCATCTCCGCGTCCTCTAACAGCTTTCCCAACAACTTCCCATTGGCACCAATGCGAGCAACAGTGCGATCTCTTCCCACACCTCGATCATTGCCGATCCGCTGTTGGAGAAACGCAGAGATTTCATCACGGACAGCTTACCTAGGTACTAGGTAGGTTACAAGCACATTGGATTCACATTACCTTATCAACAATACCCGCTTGCACCTTCCCGCCAACTCATCTATCTAATCACCCATTCCATTCGGCAGCCATGTCTTTTCTTTTATTTCGCACGTTTGTTTGTTTGCACTTCTTCCATGGAAGTCATCAATACAAGCAAAAGCAACGGAAAGCGGGGGGGCCAATTCGACGACCATGGGCACTCTGAAACTGTCACATTGCTCTCCCCGGAAAGCTCGGTGGATCTCGTATCCTTTGAATCACGGCTCTCTCATTATTGTGATTATGACTGTAGGTACATGTAAACATCAGACAGTGTATCTTGCCTCTCCCCAGAAGTCCCGCATGTCGGCACGGTGATGGTATCCCTGTGTTGAAGTTCTAGGCTGTGCTCAGTGCAAGGGATGGCGTTAGCGTCCCACTGCAAGTTCGCAAAGGGATATCGGGAATAGGTATGCCACCATCGTTCGGACCCTCACTACACGTAATTGCGAAAGCAGGTTTGGACTTTTATCATTTAATTCGGCGTAATCGTTCCTTATTTTGCCTATCCTCGCATGATGGCATGGCGGGGTATCAATCGAGTTCTATACCCCCGCTCATAATTCAAACAATCCATAATTCTCGTCTCATCTTGCTCTCCATCAATGTTTGGTTATTTTTATCGTCTCTGGGAGTCGCGGCTGTTCAGTAGCCTGTATCGGTCACTGGGCGTCCCCATTCATCTTCCCACACACTTCTGAAGAGCATTTGGGCGGTTCAGGCAGCAGCGGAGGTCTCTTCCTTTGGCAGTGGAGTGAAGCGTAGGTATGGCTTCACGACGTTGATCTTTGGGAAAAGCTTCTCAGCCTCGGGAGACTTGATGCTTGGGTGGACGATCACATCGTCACCTGGCACCCAGTTGATTGGAGTGGTGATGCGGTGCTTATCACCAGTCTAGAAAGTACAAGTGTTAGTTGATGATTCTGAATGTACCAGCCTCCAGGGCTCTAGTGGTGGGGCAACTCACCTGTAGCGAGTCAACAACGCGAAGCACCTCGGCGGTGTTTCGTCCAGTGGAAGCTGGGTATGAAAGGATCAGGCGAATGGTCTTCTTTGGGTCGATGATGAACACGCTGCGGATGGTGAAGGCGATGCCCTTCTCATCCACATTGGTAGCGTCCTGGTGGTCGATCCTATGCGTTCAAAAGTCAGTATTCGAAGCCTTTGCAGCAATTCTTTCGAGCTGCTCCTTCCTGCTCGACATGGGAGCCGGTCGTTCTTTCCACTCACATGTCGTATGCCAATGCCACCTGTCTCTGCTTGTCCCCAATGATAGGGAATCTCAAGTTGCTGCCTGAGATCTCGTTGATGTCCTTGATCCAACCGCCATGGCTCTCAATCGTGTTTGCTGAAAGACCAATGAGCTTCACACCACGCTTGGTGAATTCCGGCTCGAGCTTGGCGAATGCTCCCAGCTCAGTGGTGCAGACGGGAGTGTAGTCTTCTGGGTGTGAGAAAAGGACGACCCAGTTGTCGCCGATGAACTCATGGAAGTCGATGGGACCGGTGGTGGTCTCGGCCTGGAAGTTGGGAGCGATGCTGCCGAGGCGAAGAGGTGCTGTGCTGGAAGCCATTGTGAGTGGTGTATGTAGTCGAGGGAGTGGTGCGCGAGGATGTGATCAACAAGCTGTAGCAGTGATATGTGAGGAGGTAGGAGTAGTGCGGGTGAGGGTGAAAGAAGTGAGTGAGTTGGGTCAGAAAGAAATGAGGCAATACTCGCCTCCTATGACAATATTTTCTAGCTTCTGTGCTTTCCAACCCCACCGATCACGCAATCGAGGGATCAAGGTCGAAATACGCGTTTCTGACACAAGCCCACGCGTTCTACGGTAAGCCACGGTTAGCCACGGCATCGATCTGGCGTGGTGCAGGGGGCTGTAGTCCACATCCACACCTCTCGCCGTCGTGTCTTTGTGGCCATACCTCCCCATGCCACGCCGGAAATGGTATCATTGGTATGCCAACTTGCCAAGACGCCGTCATCTTTGTTCGGAAACGTAAAGGCTCGACATACCGTATCGCAGCTCACATTGTTGCTTGGTGAGCATCACATGATGAGATAGCCACAGGCGAGTTGGCGGGCGGGAAACGGAGGTGTTTGGCTGCACAGGAGTCTGGAGTACAGTACAGGACACTTGGCAATGCGAGTAGACAGACTTCACGTTTCTACTGGACAGTCATACGCTGCTTGCTTGACGAGACCTGCGCGATGCTGGGCGGCGTCTCTCTTCCGATCGGCTTGTTCGCGGCCAGGAGAGAAGTCCATATCCAGGACGTCCAGTAAGACCTCCTGCGTACCTTTTGTACAGATTGTTGCAAGATGTATATCGTCGAGGTGAGCTGCTGGGCTGAACTTGTCCTACCGTTTCCTTTCGCTTCAAGAAGTATTGATGGCTCTGCCGGCGGTGAGGTGTGATGGGGCAGGCTCCAGATGACAGTAGCATGTGGAAGATGATGTAGCAGTGCGGTCAGTGCAAACTTGGAAGAAGCAGACGTGCAGAGGAACCTGGCCGTCGATCAAGCCCACCTTTGATTAATAACATAACAATCTAAGCAGAGCTGCAGCCTCAAGGCTCAAGCCCTGAGGCCTGTAGAGGCAGACGATCAGGCAGACCTCCGAATCTCGGCCGCAAAAGACGTTCTCTTGAGTCATCATCGTAGCACGCAAAGCGGAACGGCCTTCAGCACGCAGAATAGTACAATTCAGCCGCCACGTGATGGATTGTCCCGAAACTACTACTGACAGGAAGCGCCGAGCGAGTTCTATCAGATCACCGAGTTGGATAGGGACTGATGCACAGGAGAGCGAGATATTGTGTTATCTGGGGTGAATGGTGTTCCGCTTGTTGCAGATACTTCACTCTCCTCCGAAAAGTGCTCAGGGCCGGGTGCCGCGTGCCGCTTTCTCAAGGCCCGACGGCGTGTGAGCTGCAGAAAGGCGGTTGGCGGGCGGGCGGGCGTCTGCTGAAGTGGAGGAGGACAGGATTCAGGCCTCTGACGCCATCTTCGAACCCTTCCATCTACCTGAATGTTCCCTCATGGATCGTGAAGTATTTTAACCAACTACCTTACCTCACCTGTAACTACATCAGGCTACATGTAGGTAACGACAGGCGGGACATGCAAGCAACAGAGCTCAGCTGATTGTACCTTCCCTACATGTACCGGACTGACTTCATCCACGTGTCAAGTGAATGAAGATGGCATATCCCATCAAATGCTGCCCGGGCGTCGGTACCAATGCCACGGGTCTCGGCTCGTAGCATACTTCTCTCCACGAGGAGAGGCTTGATATGTGATCGACGCTTCTTATTCCCCTCTCTCTCGCCCTCTCTCTCTCTCTCTCTCCCTCACCCACACACACACTGCTGCTGGACATCTCTTCCTCTCTGAGCTCCATGTCCTTTTCTCTTCACTCACCGCCAGTTGACCCATCCCTGCTGCCTATGACCGCACATTGCGAAGACGAATGAATGCGATACTACCATGGCAGCCTCCAATCTGAGTACGGACCAATTAGATGACCTCGAGAATGAGAAAAGCGACGGCGGCGTGAGAACGCAGACGAGAAGGCAAAGTCAAAAAGACTCGGAAAGCAGTTCCGGACACGACGACAGCGACATCCACCCACGAGACCAAGAGATCCAATGGAAATACCTCGAATTCGAGACCGAGCTCCCTCAACCAGCACATCTCTCTTCTCGGCCACAAGCGCGCAGAGATGACAGTCGCACACAACCTCCTCCTCCCGATCCGCCCGACCTGAAGAACTACGAGTCCCCTTTCCTCTGGTCGGAAAGGCGCAAAAGTCTGATGACATGGCTGTCCTGCATCGTCACTCTCTTCGTCGCTTACAATGCAGCCGCATACACGTCCGGCGTGGACCAAATGATGGCCGAATGGAACATCTCCCGAGTCGCCGCTCTCGTCGGCGTGACCACCTTTACCGCAGGTTTCGGGGTCGCGCCCATGTTTCTCGCACCCTTTAGCGAGATTAATGGACGTCGACCCGTCTTCGTGGCGACGGGCCTCTTGTGGGTGGTCTTTCAGATCGTGTGTGGTGTGACGCCGACATTTGCGGGCATGTTGATCTGTCGCTTTTTGGCCGGTTGTGCTTCTTCCACCTTCAGCACCATGGTGGGCGGCGTGGTGAGTGACATCTATCATGCCAAGGATCGCAATACTGCCATGACGCTGTTCACTTCTGGCGCATTGACGGGCACGGGACTGGGGCCGTTGGTCAGTGGATTCATTGCGCAGCATACCACCTGGCGCTGGATCTTCTATCTGCAAGTCATCATTGACGGATTTCTCATGATTCTCATTGTCTTCTTCTTCAAGGAGACGCGGGGATCCGTGCTCCTCTCTCGAAAAGCGCAGAAATTGAACCAATACTACGATGCACTGGAAGCTGCTGGCTATTACGGCGTCGTCATCGACGACGAGTCCGCCAACTCATCATCATCATCATCAGGAGGAGACCCCGAGAAGCAGCAGCACCAACCCCAGCGATCAATCATCCGCATGCGCTGGAAAGTCCTTGCAGACGAAGAACGCAGCTCGTTGGCAACCATGCTCAAAATCTCCCTCTTCCGACCCATCACCATGCTCTTCACCGAACCCGTCGTATTCTTCTTCAGCCTCTGGATCTCCTTTTCCTGGGCAGTCCTCTACCTCTCCCTCGCAGCCGTCCCCCTCATTTTCACCTCTACCTACAATTTCTCCCAACAACAAACCGGCGCCGTCTTCAGCGCCACCTGCATCTCCTCCATCCTCTTCACTGTTGTCGCCATCTATCAAGAAACCTGGCTCACTCCCCACCTCCCAGCCCACCATCAGAAAATCTTCGAAACCCCCGAGGGCAGACTCTACTTCGCCTGTGCGGAAAGTGCCCTTTTACCCCTCGGCTGCATCTGGTTTGCCGTCACGGGTGCATATCCCCAGATTCCCTGGATCGTGCCGACTTTGGGTCTCGCGTGTGCGACGATTGGAATTTTCTCCATCTATCTCGCCGTGTTCAACTATCTAGCGGATTCATATCACCGATATGCAAGTTCGGCATTGGCCGCGCAGTCGTTTTGTCGAAATTTGATGGGCGGTTCGTTTCCCTTGTAAGTCTGTCTTGTCGTATTCCTCCTTCGACGAAGTCGTGACTAACATGATATCTTTCACGAAAAAATCAGATTCACGACCCAAATGTTCCACACCATGACATTTCAAGGCGCAGGCGGATTTCTCGGAGGAATTGGATTTCTATTAACTATTGTTCCCTGGGTCTTATTACTCTATGGACCCAAGATTCGAGCCAAGAGTCGGCTTGCGAGGGAAATTATATGACGAAACGAAATTGGTTTAATTTCCCATTTTTTTTAAAAAAAAAAATGGAAGAAAACTACAAGAAGGAAGCCTGCAGGATAGTAGCAGCAGCAGTAGCATGCTCAGTCCGATAATGTGTGCGGTGAAACGAAATGAAATGAAACGAAACGAAGCATTAGATGGGGCTATGGGACTGATAGAAACATAGACTAACGAGAGCTCAATGAAGGGAAAAAGAAATCCGTCCGAAATATCTCGAGGAACGAGACGGACAGAACTACTGCATACTGCATAAGGGCAATTCCTGCTTATCCCCCTTTTCTTCTTCTTCCTCTTTTCTTCTTCTGTCCTCTCCTCTGTAGTCCCCACTTTCAACTCTTCAATCATGTAATCCCTCCATCAAATAAGAGTTCATCATTCATCCATCCTCTCACTAACGACCAATGCGCCCACGCTTCGGCGAAGCCTGGGATCCATTTGGTGGAGCTCGTCTCTTATTCGGCGACTCGGACTGAAACTCCCGCAAGAAACCAGGGAGCTGAAAATCCTGTGTGAAATCAGGGAGACCGGACTTCATCAAGGACTTCTTCTGAAGGGCATTTTTTTCCTCCTTGCTGAGCTCCGGAAGGACCCATTGATCCGGTCTCAACACTTTCGGCTCGGGAGGTCCATCTGCATCCTCCTCTCCCTCTGCTGCTGCTGGCTGGTCCTGATATGTGGGGGCGGCACCACCAACGCCAAGCATGCCTTTGAAAGGCGAGAGGACTTTGGACGCGATGCTTTCGGTGGGCTTAGCAGGTGGTTTCCGTGAAACAGGGCCGGGATGTTCTGCGAAGTTGCATTAGCAAAGAAAAAAATACGACGCAGCACTCATGCTCGATATGACCTTACCCCTCGCAAGATCCTCGTTGATCTGATCGCTAATTTGCTGTTCCATGAATTTGGTCTCTCCAAAATTAAAGAAGGGTGGCATGTTGCGGTACCAGATCTCCGGTCCGGGCAGGGTCTCGAAGAAAGGATTGATGCGGTCTTGCGCATGGTCATCCACCATGATGCTGATGATGCCCGGATTGGTGCTCGAAATCATGTTGCCACGTTGGCTCAACTCGGAGAGCCCTGGCAGTGGTATGTCTCTGTCGGTCGTTGCGGAAGACACTGGCAGGCCGCTGCGCAAGAGCTGGTTGCGCAGCTTGAGCTCATCCGCTCTTTGGCGCTCCATTTGGGCTTTGAGATTGGCCTTGGTGGGACTGACAGGAGGGGTAATGGCGGGAACGGCCTTCTTCTTCCTGGCCTGCGGCATCTTCTTCTTCTTCATTATTTTAATCCCGGGCAGTGCCTCGTCCAGCCTTGTTGCTGCAATCGCGGCTTGAGTGAGATGACGACGCCTGCCAGCCTCTACATGCGTCTGCCCGGAGCTGTCGTCCTGCAGGCGCGCACTCTTCTTCAGGCGCTGGTGTTCGAGAGCTTCTTTTATTGCCGCCATGGCGCCTGCATTGGTCGCATTGACGTAGTCGTTTTCGGCGATAGACGCATTGGAGTGGTAATCCTGGTAGGCGGTGAGAGCCTCGATCCCGCCTCCTAGAACGGCCTCGTAGGCGGCTTTGTTGATGACTTTGAGCAAGTCCTGGTACGAGGAAGCTGGAGTTTTCTTGCCAGGAGGTCTCCCTCGTGGCTTCTTGTCCTTTGCTGGGCCACCAGCGTCGGACGTGGCTACCTTTTTGCTCTTCTTCGCAACGGCGGTTGCGCTTTCTTTACTCTTTTCGGAACCACTGGCCCCATCATCGACAGCCTTGTCATGAGCGGGTTTGGACGTCTTCTTGATTTTGCTCGATTCCTTTCGCTTGTTCTTGGTGACTTTTGTTGGTGACGCAGCTTTGAGATTCGACGTGGAACTTGATTGGGAGTTCTTGGATCGCGTGGCACGTGGTTCCGCATCGATATCTTGCTCTGCACGTGCTTCGGCTGCTGTCTGCTTCGGCTTCGATGATGGTCTTCCCGTTGTCTTCTTTGGGGATTTCCTCGGAGATTCCTTGTCCACGGGGTCCTTTCTGGATGGTACTCTTGGAGCCATGATGGTCGTGTAGTGAGCAGCAAAAGAAGAGTGAGATCTGGCAGAAGAGAGTGGGAAGAACAGATGGAAAGATGGAAAACATGATGTAAACAAAGGCATTCCGCAATCTCCATTGTGGAATGCAGCCTAGAGCTTACCGTTCGCAATCCTCAATTACAGGGTCTCAACAGACGTGACTAGAACATGCCAGGCGAGCGTGGACAATGCAAGTCGTCGGCGTGAATTGTCTTGTGTCTCGTAGCGTAGCATTGATGATAGATCCGTGTCTGCAAGACTTGGCGCAGGTTCCATCTGTCACTGTATCTCAACCTGAGCTGGTGAAGTATTGCTCTGTGAATGCTGCTGGGTAAGTTAGGTGACCATGTGTTGTCAGACAGTTCTTTTGTTTATAGCAAAGCGTCGCGAGTGAGTGGCGGTGGAAGTGCGAGAATGGTGGAAGAGGGAGAGGGTGGAAGGGGGAGCGGAAGAAGGGGCGGAAGTGGGAGCGGGAGTGGGAGAGGGAGTGGGAGCGGGAGCGGAAGTGGGAGCGGGCCCTTGCCAAGGCCAGCCATAATTCTTAATCCCCAATCTTGGTATACATCGCGTCCGTCTTCCGTCTGTCTTCATCTTCTGCTTCATCTTCTGCGTCATCTTCTGCGTCATCTTTTGCTTCGGATTTTCTACTTTAGCCTCTGCTTCACCTCTGCTTCAGATTCGACATATCAAACTCTACACCCACCATGTCCGATCGGATCGACTTCTTGCATCGTCGCCCTGCAGCCGCAGATCACCACCTCAGTCACCACAGAGAGGGGCGGCATAGCTCGGGCTGCTCGGCATCCGCAGCAGCCTCGATGCGCAACTCTCTCGCCGAGCCGTTCTAAGCATCACAAGATTTATTTCTGCGTCGGGCCATGAGATTGCATGTCTCAATTCTGCTCGCTTGGACATCTCGTGGACCAGAGCGGGGTATGAAAGATGGACTGCCATCCACATCCCGAGCCTCATGATGCACCTCTTTCGCCGCCAGAGAAGAGATCGGCAAACCGACACCGGCCAGGACGAACAGGCACATGGCTTTCATTTCAGGCGGTCCAGCTGCTATTCCTCTATCGCTACGCTACCCTGACTCGTCTCTCTCCATTCGGGATGACCGGCCACCACCACTTCATCATATTGGGACTGCGCTCCATATGCCCGGTCCTCGAACAGAAGGTGCTATGAAGCTTCATCGTTTGCTTGTCATGCGCACATCCATGGTCATCCAGTGATATTGTGCAGAACGAGGCTACACCGCGTGCCATGTAGCACTTCAACTCATGCTCACTCGACCTACCACCATTAGCGCACAGCTCGTGACTGGACGAAGTTGCTGCTGGTGAGGTTCGTTAGACACTCTAATCTCCTCCTGCGTGCTGAGACAGGTGCACGTTAAGAATGACGGTAGGAATATGGAATAGTGGACTGAGCCACGTAATGTTTCCACAGACGTACATAAGACTCCGGCACTGCTGTATCGTGCCTACAGGTAAGTGCTGTTTATACTTACGACTCAGCACAATGCTCCTCTACCACCTCTTCATTTCTGGCTTGGCCGCTCTTGCCTCTGCCCAGTCAAGCTTCTCACCATTGCGGCCACCGGCCATTCCGTTGGCGGTTAAGTCTCCGTATATGAGCACTTGGCAGCAAGCGGGCAGTGATGGCGGCAATGGTGGCTACTTGCCCGGCCAGTGGCCTACCTTCTGGTGATGACCCATTGGCGCGCTTCTCATGACATAGGCTGACTCTCCTTAGGGCGGGTGCTGTCACTGGCTGGTGTGGTGAGCGATTCGTCCATGCTGCAAGATAACCGCCAAACAGAGCTGATTTATCACCAAGGTATGATCCGGGTCGACAATACTAGCTACACTTGGATGGGAAAACCGAACAATAGTCCCGCCTACGTCAATCAGACTGCATTCTCGTACACCTCCACACAATCGATATTCACTTTGCAGGCTGGGCCCGTTCAGATGGTGGTGACGTTCTTATCCAATGTCACCCCAGATGATCTCCTTCGATCGTCGCTGCCGCAGACGTATATGAATGTCGACGTGAAAAGCACTGATGGCAAGACACATAGTGTTCAGCTCTACAGTGATATTTCGGCAGAATGGGTCTCTGGCGATCGTGGAGTCACAGCACAGTGGGCGTATGGCAATATCAACAGTAACACTCAACCGAAAACGTCCGCAGCTGCACGACGCGACGCACTGAAGCGCCGGGCGCTCCAAGCATCGGCCAACGCAAACACGGGGAGTTTGTCATATCACCGGGTATATAGGCAGCAGCAATTGGAGTTCGCGCAAAGGAGTGAGCAAGCAGAGTGGGGTCACTGGTATTATGCTACTGCCAACACTACTGCGCTCACTTTCCAGTCCGGCGCCGATGACACAGTTAGAGCGAATTTCATGAAAGGTAAGCACTCGCTTCACATCGTCTGGTTGATGCTCGACACTTGTCGCTGACTTAAGTGTTCCCTCTCTCTCCAGGCGGCAGTTTACCAAACAGTAGAGACCCAAACTTCCGCCCCATCAACCAAGACTATCCAGTCTTCGCATACGCGGTGAATATCGGCGAGCTTGGTTCCACTACGCAAAGTACACTTTGGCAAATCAGTCTACACCAGAAGAACTGTGTACAATTCCAAGGAACCAAGAACGCAGTCCAGAAACTGCCGTGTATGTGGACGAATTACTTCGACACTGAACTCGCAGCTGCCCAGTGGTTCTACAACGACTACAGCAACGCCAAGAAAATGGCAACCAGTTTCGACACGAAAGTCCAAAGTGACTCAATGGCAGCAGGTGGCGCAGATTATGCCAAGCTCACCACACTCGCAGTACGACAGGCTTTCGGTGCAACAGAGTTTGCCAATACGCCAGCCAAACCGCTCGTATTCATGAAAGAGATCAGCTCCGACGGGAATGTCAATACAGTTGATGTAATCTTTCCATTTCACCCCATCGCCATCTACACCAATGCCACACTTCTGAAATATCTCCTGGACCCTCTGTTCATCAATCAAGAAGCTGGCAACTGGCCGCAAATGTACTCTATACATGATATCGGCAGCAACTTTCCAAACGCCACAGGTCATAGTGATGGTAACGCGGAAGCCCAGCCGCTGGAAGAATGTGGCAATATGCTCATCATGACTCTGGCCTATGCACAACGTGCAAACGACACCGCCTATCTCACTCAGCATTACCAAGTACTCAAACAATGGACCGGCTATCTGATCGACGAAGCCCTCATCCCAGCGAATCAGATTTCCACCGATGACTTTGCGGGTTCAGCAGCCAACCAGACCAACCTCGCTATCAAAGGCATTATTGGCATCGAAGCCATGGCGCAAATTGCGAACAGGACTGGCAACGTCGTGGATGGACAAAACTATACCCGCATCGCACATGACTATATCACGAGATGGCAGAAGCTGGCCATCAACTATAATGCCAACCCGCCACACACGACTTTTCAGTATGGCAATGCAAGCTCGTATGGGCTCCTGTACAATCTATTCCCGGATCGAGAATTGGGTCTCCAGTTGGTACCACAGAGTGTGTATGACATGCAGAGCACCTTTTACAAAACGAAATTCGACACCTATGGTGTACCTCTGGATACGAGACATACTTATACCAAGAGTGAGTCAATCTCTTCCTGACATCAACGAGAGTGGATGGACATGGCTGACACATGTGTGATTGAACGCAGATGACTGGGAGATGTGGTGCGCCGCGATAGCAAACTCCGACACGAAAAACATGTTTACTTCGACAATTGCGAAGTGGCTGGGGACGACCCCGACGAACTTTGCCTTTACAGATCTGTACGATACGATCAGCGGAAAGTGAGTGACAAACTTTTTTTGTGCCAGAGCACTGGAACGATACATCATGAGTGAAGTACTTACTAACCTGACCTCTCATTTTTAGCTATCCGGGCATCAACTTCATAGCGCGACCTGTGGTAGGTGGGATGTTCAGTTTTCTGGCTTTGAACAGTGCGCCAAGCAGTGGAGTCTATTTGCCGCGATCTTGACGAGGCAGTGAATTAGTTCGGAGGTACCTATACTGGAGGACAGTACAGTAAGAGATATCTGAAGAAGCAGTTGATCCTTTTCGTAGCATGAATCACAGAACTGAAACCCACACATCATCGCAGCGGTATGATGGTGTGGTTGACTTCCACTCTCCTGTCACTTCTTGCTCTCTCTCTCTCTCTCTCTCTCTCTCTCTCTCTCTCTCTCTCTCTCTCTCTCTCTCATCATCTTTCAAATGCACGGGCATTCATTATCTACAGCAGTGAAGGTAGATTGTTCGTTGAAGTATTATTTTCCACCTGAGTTTTTCTTGTTGGTCTCGTTGTGATCACCAGATGGGTTTCTTTTGGCCATCATGCGTTATCCGAGCTATTTTGGTTCTCCCGTCAGGATGTTGGTTCTCATATGAACGGCGAGACGAGCACAAGCGAGTGGAGAAGTCAACTTCGCGGAAGATGCAGCGGTTGATAGTTTATCCTCCCGTGCAGCAGCTGTTTGCTTCAATCTAAATCATCGATAATAATAATGCAAAAGAGGTACACACTCCCACTCCCACCAGAATATCGCAACAATGTCTCACTGTCACGATGAGCACTCCCACTCCCACTCCCACGATCACAGCTCCGGCGGCGCGCACGACCACACGGACGACTTGACCCCCGCTCTCCAACACCACATCTACGACCAAATCGACTTCAGCGCCGTCCAAACCCTCAACGAAGCCACCTCGCGCTCGGGATCTCTCATCCTCCAAAAAACCTGGACAGACCGTCTCAACCCGGAACCGTCCTTGCAAAGCGACACGGACGAACAACTCCTCATGCACGTACCCTTTACCGCTCAAATCCGACTCCATTCCCTTCTCATTCGCACATCGACGACCGATTCGGCGCCCATGACGCTCAAACTCTACGTCAATCGCGAAGGCGGATTAGATTTTTCCACGGCGTCGGATCTCCCTCCGACGCAGACGTTGGAATTGGCGCAGAGTAAAGAGGTGCAAGAGGTGCCGGTCAAGAGGGCCTTGTTCAATACGGTGCGGTGCTTGGATTTGTTTTTTGAGGATAATTGGGGGAGAGGAGAGGAAGATGTCACGAGAGTGGATTATCTGGGCTTCAAAGGGGAGTGGATGAAATTGTCGAGGGAACCGATTAATTTCTTATATGAGGCTGCGGCGAATCCGAATGATCATAAATTGGCGCAGGGCATAGGGGAGAAGATGGGGAGTGATATTGGGGGTGCTGGTGGAGGGAGACATGGCATGTGAGGGAGAGAGGGGGAGAGAGAAAGAGAGGGAGTAGACATTGATCATCATCCATGGAGAGCACTATAGATCAGTGTGGGTGGTATATCATCACGAGCGTACTGCATCGACGAACAGAGATCGTATCGCCTTCAAAAATGGTCCCAGCTCTTTCGTCTCATTCAGTCTCCCCTGCGCGGCCTCCATATCATCTCTGTCCAATCGAGGTCTGCAACTCGTAATCTCATATTCTCTCCCGCCAATGTGCACCTCAAACCAGCACTCCCGATCCTCATCGCGACGGTCCAGACGCAAGAAGACAAATTTCAGCCGATCATCGACCTCTGTCCCTTCCATACGGAGGCCCAGACAGGTTTCCCAGAATCGCAGTTCTGGCACATTATGCCGCGCCTGCACGTCTAGTGATCTCTGATGCGCTGCCTGCGCCTCCTTCTTCTGCCGTATCGTGGCTTGCACAGATGCGATTTCGGTCTTCAGTTGGTCGCGTCGATTGGTGTGCTCTTCTCTTTCGGCGGTGAGTGAGCGGATCGCCTCGTGCATCTCTTCTCTCTCTTGCGCCTCCTTGGCCAAGATGTGCGCGTGGCTTGAGGACTCCGATTCAAGCTGAGAGATTTTCTGCTGCCGCTGTCGTTGTTTTTCTGCGAGCAAAGTCAGTGCTCTGAGCCGAGACGAAGCTGCTGCAACAACAATTCCGTGTAGAGGCCTCTGTATTGCCTACCTTCTAGATCTGCTACGTTCATGCGAAATGCGTTCTTCTCCTCCAGCACTTTCTTTCTTCCGCGCTCGATGAACTCGTCGAATCGCTGCGTGAACTGTGCCATGCGCTGTCGAAGCTCGTCGAAGTTGAAGTCAATTGTCGGGAGCTGGTCTGCCATGGATGGAGCACCTGCGCCGTAGTCGGCTGCGTCGGCATGACGGCCAGAGAGCGACGAGCTGAATCTGCTCGGAGTCATTGTGATAGTCGACATATTTCTGTTGCGAGAAGAGGAGTCTCGATGTTCGCGTGGCCTGTTGCTGCGTGTAGGGATGGATGACAGACAGGTCGATGTCGAAGTGGAGCGCGTCGGAGAAGTAAACAAGTCGTTTGTTTGTCGGTTGCTATGCGGGCGGGAGGTTCCGCACCTACTTTTTTTTCTACCTGAGTGGCCTGACTTCTCATATGGACACCCTCACAACACAATATTTACTTCTTCGCATACAACAGCACTGGCGGCCTCTCTACTGCGACAGAAATCACACCGAAGCTAGCACTAGACACTACTATGCTCGGACTCGCGCTGGAATCTTGGCCTCGAATACTTCCCGTCCTGCCGGATGGCTGAAAGAGCCCAGCGCACCCTGCCATACGGTCATTTTGGTCGCGCAGCATATTCTCTAGATGATTCAGAATGGCACTTTGAGCGGTCCTTCGCGGCGCCTCTATCAATCAAGCCTCTTGGCGATCCTAAGCAGGTCTGCCCTCCAGATGCGCAATTCCAGCCTGAGCAGATTCGCAAAGAGCCTCCAGCACTTCGCCAGCGAAGGCAAATCAAACATCTCGTGGCCCGCATACCTGAGCTTCAGCCGGCCGCAAGACTGTTACCAGAACTACTGCGAGTCTCCGAAGCCACACAGACTGCGTTATCGAACCATGATGCGACTCGAGCAGGCCTTATCACGACAACCAACATCCGCTCTGAGCTGCACCATAGATGGATTCAGATAGCTGCTTTACCAGCTGGTAGCACTCGATCTGACTTGCGTTTGGTAAGGGTGCAGAAGCAGCGTCGGGGCTGGGCCGAACGGGAGATGTGCTGGATCAACGTGCCTACGCTCTACGGCGAAGAGGTCGTGTGGAAAGGTATGGAAGGCCCAATTCAGCAAGTCCTGTTCGCACAGCCTTTAGATCGCTGCGAAGCGCTACTTGGCGTCCGGTTTCTCACAAAAACAATGATATTCCGCCCAAGGCACGGCTTCTCTACGGAGAACGTCGACGCTGCATCTGCTCTCCAGCCAAACTTGTTGTATAATATCGATATGAGTTCTACTGGAGGTAGTGTGCATGTGGACATTGCCTTCAATCCTTGGTTCTCTCAACAAATTGCCATCGTCGATCAGGATGGTTCGTTGACCGTCATGGAGTTCCAATCACGCAAGCTTGCACGTATTGCGCGATCATGGAAGGCTAAAGTGAAAAGCACTGCACTGAGTGACGGCTGGGCACGCGTCGCCTGGATGTTCAATCTTGAAATCGTCGCAGTGTGCAGCCGCGAGTCGTTGGTCTTGTTCCGAATTGCTGGAAAGACCCTGACCATTTTGCATACTGTCACGCCTGAAATCGAACACGGTGCTCAATGGATCCTGGACTTTGCAACAATTCCCGGCCATCCGGACTGCTGTGTTCTCCTGACTTCGACTCAATTGTTGGTGTACCAGGTTTCAGGTGTGGACATGCGACAGATCGAAGTACACACGAAGTGCACGATTGATCACTTCAAGAATCCTGAGGATATCGGCATGCGACTACATGTATGGTCGAGCCAGGAGGACATGTTTGTCCTGTTATATGCAGGCAGAGGCAGCACAAAAATTGTTTACCGCTTCGGCTTCGCCCACGAAACTCAGTATCGCGTGCATGAGCCCTTGGAACTGCAACTGCTCACCAACGATCGTGCTGCTCGCATTACGGAAATAAAATTCTTGTCAGCCCCTTTCACCGACAACAGGCCTCAGTCGCATTCTGAGTCCGCGTTCCAGGGTCAGTATTTTGTCGCTACGGTCATGTACTCGGATGGTTCCATATTCGAGCAGCTCCTGTCCTGCACATCCACCCACCCACATGCAGAATTGTCTGTTCCATCGTGGGAGTCAAAGCTAGTTGTGTCAGGCGTCATATCCAAACAATCTTCATTCATCGACGACACTGATATCGGAGCCGATGTCGCAACCAAGGCCCCGGCTTCGCGTCGCGCTCGCTCGACGGCACCTAGACGACAGCCAGAAGAGCGGACTCTCGAATTAGGCCGAGTCGCTGGACAACTATCTGCACTTGCGCCTAGTTTACAGCCTATCGAACACGCTCTTGAAGGAGTCAAGTCTGCGTTTGACGTGGAAGAGAGCACCATAATGCCCTTGCGAACACTAGACAGTCTTATACCTGACAAAGTCGATACTTCAAACATCGATGCCTTGGCCGCGGCGTTGGACGGGGCTGAAGGATTGCTCTCACTTCCTCGCGGGTCTCCAGAAGGACAGGACGGAGTGATCAACACTTTGCGCAGGCTTCAAATCGTGCGCACTGCCACGCCTCCAGTGCTGCACCTCGACAGCGAATTTCGCGATGGATCACTTACATCAGTATACAGCACGATCGTTGCAGGCTGGCTTGGCCCCTTGTCCGATCAAGTATCTGCTCGAATCAGGCTTGCAAAGGTTGCGCTGGCGCGAAAAGTTGCGACGGATCTGACGCTATCAAATCTCGTAGTGCGTGTCGACGAGAGGGAGTCTCCTACAGATGCGCCTGTAAACCACTCGGATGCGCGACCAACATGGGAGTTACCTGTCCGTTCATCGGCATATGACGAACCTGAAGCTGCTTCGAGTACCATCCACTCTCCACAGTATTCAGCGCTGCCTACCCCATCAGCAACCGCGACTCCGTCTGTGGCCTCGATGTCTACGGGGATGTCGAGCCTCGCAGCACCCGAAATATATCGCCTCAGCAGATATGTCCCGATCACAAAGCCATCACCAATGCTTCTCGCTCGGCCAATGCGGAAAATTCTATCTCACTGGGTGGAAGGAGAGTCGCCTGACGATTACGACTGGCGAAGAACTTCCAAGCATATCAACCGCGAGGAAGAAGACGAAGAAAAGGAACATATGACCGAGAAAGAGCTGCGGCGCCTCCGCCGTCATGCAGAACGACACATTAAACGCCAACGCAAGGAGGCAGAGGCAAGCCAGGCTCAACAGCTCGCGAGTAGCCAAGCACCCGAGGTCTTGGCAGCAAGTCAACCCAACTTTTTCGCAGTTGAAAGTCAGCCTACTCCCGCAAGTCTTCAGTCTTCTGTTCCGCATGCCAATGCTGCTAGTCAGGTTGTGTCTGGTCGTTTTGGAGGACGGCCACCACCCAAGAAGAAACGAAAGTCGGGTTTTTGAAGCATTTGGCATGACGCAGGACCCTTCAAAGCACGTGCAATCACATGTGAGATCTGGGGAAAGCTAATCTGGCCATCGATTGTCGATCTGCCTTGTGCCTAGGCATTTTGGCGTGTGGAGAAAGAAGTGTTGACGACATGATTACAGAGGGGTGCCCGTGGTTCTGATGGGCTGTTTGTTTACAGCGAAACGATATAGCATTGGTCCCAAAGTCCCTTACTCTTCTGTATCACGACACTTTTGTCCTCGAACAAAGTACCATAACCACCTAGTCACCCATACCTATTTCCACATTCACTCTTCTGATTAAGAAAAAAAATGCCTGCAGCAAGTCCTCAGCAACCGAAGAGCTCAATGAATGTCAAATCAGCAGCTAACATCAACAACAGGGAAAGAGCCTCAAAGATGTCGCAAAGGAGAACCCTACCCTGATAGGTGATCCCGTATCCCTGAAAGCCGAAACATCCAACACTGTATGTACATACCATACCCTCTCAACAACCCCAGTCATTGCATTACATTTCAATACATTTCCATCAAAAACCACTGACCAACCCTCTCCATACAGGAACCCACCGACCAAGACCGCGGCGCCAAAAGCACCTCAAAATCCTCCTCATCATCATCCCAAAAATCCACTCTCGCTCCCTCCCCCACCGAAGGAGACTTGGACAGTCGCACCAACAGCTCCTCCCTCAAAAACCAAGACCTCGCAGGAACAGGCGGCAAGAGACTTCCCGATCACATCTCTGCAGCTCCGGCGCCCACGGAGGGGGATTTGGATGGTGATGATGCACAGCAAGGTGGAAAGAAGGGAAAGAAATCTTTGAAAGAGTTGGCAAAGGGAAATCCGAGTCAGTTGGGTGATCCGGTGAGTTTGAAGGCTGAGACGTCGGATACGGAGCCGACGGATCAGGATCGGGGAGCGTTGGGGGGTAGGAGGGGGTCGAAGTTGTAAATTTCTTTTCCTTTTTTTTCTGCTTTTGTTCTGGTGTTTTGGTTTTTGAAGAACGGGAGGGAAGGGGGAGGGGAGGGGATGTGAGTGAGGTGTGTTTTTTTTTCCTTTTGAAAGAATGAATTGAAAAGAACGAATGACTTCCAAAGTTGTGTTGTGTTATGGCGTGCCTGCTGCTTCTGCTGCTCGTGGTATGGTCAGTTACCTGCCTAGTTCACCTCACTTGGACGATACGCAATGTGCCCGCAGGCACGCAGACACGCACACATGCACATATGTATCTAGTAGGCACGACCTCACTCATTACACTCCTCCTTCCTATCATGGATCCTTTTCAATCAATCATTCGGTCTTCAGTCTCTCAAGTCACTCGTCATATCTACCTCATCCCCCATAGGTTACCACGAATTGCAAAGTCCATCAACAATTTTCCCATCATGTTCCAAAACTATCTCCTCACTCCACCGCGCTCCCTCCCACGAAGGCGTTCCGGAGGCAATGGCATCTTCTCTGGACGTCATACACGCATGGGAGGATTTTACGAGGATGTCTACGACCCCCGTAACATAAGAGAAGAGAGAGAAGCAGAAGAAGCGGGTGAAGGTCCTGGTGAGAAGTGCGAATCGGAGACTGAGTCGGAGTCGGAGTCGGAATCTGATGTTGCGGTGAAGAAGGATTCTTCGTATGAAGGGCGGTGGGGAAGGAATGGCAGGAAGGCAAGGGTGTCAGTTGGAGGAGGGGATGTGGTGGTGGTGGAGGAGGAGAAGATGAAGGCGAAGAAGAGGAAGAAGGGCGTTATGGTCGTCAATGACAATGACAGTGAGGGACTTGAAGACCACGAAGATGATATCTTCAAAATCGCGCCAAATCTCAACTCAAAGACTTCAATTCCTCGATCGGAAATCAAGAAGCCGAAGGGGAGGAAGCAGTGTGGCTTTTACCATAGCAAAGCCCATGCCTCCGACAATGAAGACGAAGTTTGGACGAGAAGCAGGCGGGGAAAGCGTTCAAAAGTCGCTATTCGTCCAGCGCACCGCACTCTGTTCAAGCAGCAGCTCAAAGAGCGTCTCACGGAGAAGAAGAAAGCTGAACAGGCTGCCAAGCGCGCTCAGAGACAAAATAAAACTGTTACTGTTAAGAAGAAGGACAGGAGGGGGATTGCTGCCAAGGCTATGGTGGTGATGGTGGATAATCGTGGCATAAATTTCTCGGAATATCAACGATTTGGTTGATATGAGTGGAGTGGAAGGCCTGAGGCAGCAACACTCATCCGCCACACATCATGACGGTGTCCATATCCAGAAACGAGACTAAATTCCAACTTTTCCAAGCTTGTACCCTTGTACCTACGCGACTACTAATGGACTAGTAGGTGGCTCAGCCACTCAGCCACATTGCCGCGGATCCCCCCCAAAGCCAATCTTTGAAGCCAAGTCCCTAGTTCAGAGAGCGGATGTCTTGGCGCATATGCCGTGGCCCGGTTCCCGTTGTTGTTGTTGTTCGTGTTGACTGGGAGGCAGGTCGTCAGCCACTCGTTGCTGAGTGCTGGCGACACGTTTTCTGTGATCTGCCCATCCTCCTCCTCGCGCGCCACATCCCATCCCACTGTCCTTATCCTCCCTCCTACACACTTCTTATACTCGTACACATTGCTCTCATACTTCTCAGCATACCAGTATCACAAGGACCGCGCTCGCGCCCTTCCTACCCACACCACGCCGGTACGCTTCGCCCCATCCTGCAATCACGCTTTCCGCCTGTCGACGAGACCAAGCCTTGGACGTCAAGCAAGACAGAAAAAGCACGAGCGAAGCGACCAGCATGGCACCGGCTATGGGAGATGTCCACCAAAGTGATGTTGAAGGAGGGAGAAGTCGCGAAGCCCCCGACGCGCTGAACAACGACACGGGCCTTCCCGGCGCAACACCAGCAGTGCAGCCAGAGGCAACGCAGCAGGAAGTGCCACGACACGAAAATGGCATTGGCAATGGCCCGCAAGTGCGCGGCACCAATAACGGTCTGGAGATTGTCTGTGGACCGTTGCTGAACTACAAGCACATGAGCAACGAGTTCTCCGACCATCCGCAGTGGCATGGCAGTGTCCTGATTGTCACGCCACCGGGTCAGCAGCCTGGCCAGCTCTCACTCCACTGCACTGGTGCGTGGACTGGCGCCGCTGCTACCACCAACGGCAATGGTCACGTCAATGGTTATGGCAATGGCACTTCTGCCTCTCAGGAGCGCACGTTTCCCGCCGAGAGGTTGTACGAGGATCCTAAGAAAGCCTTCTGGCGCTATGTGATCGATGTGCCATTTCAAGAGCAGGAATCTACGTGGCAGTACAGCATTCCGAATATGATTTCAACCAAGGATAAGACACCCATTCAGAAGCCGTTGCGCTTTGTGGTGCCATCACGCCACGAGTCGATGCGTATCATGTTTCATTCTTGCAACGGCTTCAGTGTAGGTACGGATATGAAGACATGGACGGGGCCAGTGCTATGGAAAGATGTGCTGCGCGTGCACAACGAGCAGCCTCTGCACATCATGATTGGTGGTGGAGACCAGATCTACAACGACAGTGTGCGTGTCGATGGTCCCCTGCGTCCGTGGACGGACATCTCGAGTCCGAGGAAGCGTCGCGAGTTTCCATTCAACGAAGAGATGAGGAAGAAGTGCGATGACTTCTACTACGACAACTACGTGCGCTGGTATGGTACCGACGAGTTTGCGCTCGCCAATGGCCAGATCGCACAGCTCAATATATGGGATGACCACGACATCATTGTAGGTACCTGCACCTTGTATTGGAATACAGTAAAAGGCATTTCACTAACGGCACGCAGGATGGCTACGGCAGCTATGTACACCACTTCATGAAATGCTCCGTCTTTCGCGGCATAGGAGGTGTGGCACACAAATATTACCTTCTCTTTCAGCATCACATTCCCCCGCCCCCTTCGACATACAGCACAGATGCTCCCCAGACGACGCAGACCACGGGCGAGACCACGGCACCCGATGCTGTGCAGCTCCAGGACACCTATGTCATGACCCCCAAGACCGAGGATCCCAGCTGGATTATTGGTACACGACCAGGGCCATATCTGGAAGAGCGAAGCCGCAGCATCTACTGCCAGCTGGGCAAACGCGTCGCATTTTTGGGTCTTGATGCTCGAACCGAGCGCACGAGACATCAAATCAATTACCCGGAGACATACGACCAAATCTTCAAGCGAACAAGTGAAGAACTCCAACGATCGAACGGCAGCATCAAACATTTGGTGCTGTTGCTTGGCGTACCGATCGCTTACCCAAGACTCCAGTGGCTCGAGAACATCATCTCCAGGTGAGTGTTCATATGCGTTGTGGATTGTTTTGGCTGCACTCTGCTAACAGGTCGCGTAGTCCCATCATCGGCCCCATCAAGTTTCTTAATAAGCGCTTTGGTGTTGCAGGCGCTCTCTTCAACCAGTTCGACGGCGGCGTCGATTTACTTGACGATCTTGACGACCACTACACGGCCCACCAGCACAAGAAAGAGCGAAAAGCTCTGATTCACAGGCTCCAGGAGATCTCCAAGCAGCACAGCGTTCGCATCACCATCCTCGGCGGTGATGTGCACTTGGCAGCTCTCGGGCGCTTCTACAGCAAAGCTTCACTCAACATCCCGGCAGAGCGCGATTTCCGCTACATGCCCAACATTGTCAGCTCTGCAATCACCAACAAGCCTCCACCAGCAGCTGTCGCCAATTTACTCGCTCGACGCAACAAGATCCACCATCTTGATCACGAAACCGACGAGACGCTTCTTGAGATGTTTGACAAGGATCCGGGTTTTGGAGAAGAAGGAGTCGATAGCAAGACTGCGAACAAGAATCATGCCACGATGCCGAGCCGCAACTACGCCATCATCAGCGAATCTCACTCGCATACTGGTGATGTGCAGACAAACGGCGCGGCCACGAATGGTACCACCAACGGAGCTGGTGACGCTTCCATCGATACCAACTTCTCCTTGCCAAAGAACATGCGAGAACCTATACATCCGGGCGAGGTCCAAGCAGGTACCCAGCATCCTGCTGCTGGAGGCATCAAGAAGACTGGCCTGGGCGGACGCGATGGTCTCGACGTTTCCATTCGAGTCGAGATCAAGCCGGGTGCCAGTGATGGAAGAACCGAAGGATACGGCATTTCCATTCCTGCTCTTGAGAGTGGAGCTTATCAGGGCCAAGGCACCTCCTGGTAGGACCATGATTGTGCAGAGAATACGTCGGACCAGCATCGGCGGCAACATGCTGCTGCTGCTGCGATGGCACAAGTAAAGTGGAAAGTGAAATGTGGCTGTTTTTTCTTCTCTCTGGAATCTTGCGATTAGGCGCATGGCGCACAGCACATATTGCGTTTCATTTTTTTGTTTTCTTGTTTTGGGAGATACCCCCCGTCTGTACAGTCCTGGGTGTATGTTTAGAGAAAACAACGCTGCTACTACTATATGCCACCATATCCATATAGTGGTAGTGTTGGAAGGAAAATCATATATAATACATGTAGGATCATTAAGAGGCATTATTACCCTACCTCTTAGCTAGCTGGCAAAGCTGTATGTCTCTTTTTCCTTATATGTGCCGTTGTACGTACTGCTGAGTGAGTGAGCACCGTATGGTCCAATTTTCCACTTTGGGTACTCTTTTATTTTATTCCCCGACGATGAATTCTTTTGTCTGCCATGCCATGCCATGCCCACGACCCCCTTTCGGTGCTGGCTGGCACACGTCATCCTTTCTAGTTACCTAGATATCTCTATGTACATAACTGTACCCCGCGCGTTTGGAGATATGTGTATGGGTCGAGGATGGTTGGGAAGTGAGGCAGTAGCAGCAGCAGGAAACAGTGACAGAATCTGGAACTCTATATGTACCCCGTGAGAAACGCGAAGCGTTTATGACAGCTGTGGGGGGTTTTTTGGCAGGAGGCAGAGCGCGCCCTTTCCTTAATCAGTATCCGGATACATGCAGCATGTAGGTCCCCCGGGCTGGCATTTCATCACTTGTGTGACATCGGCTGCTACACACACAGGCATACACGCACAAGCTGTGGTATCTCGTCTTATCGTAGACGGGGGACTTCCTCCTCACTGGTATCCGGCCATGTGAGGTCGTGCCGGGGATAGTGACAATGGAAGGTGTGTGGATTATCCGGTCTTCAGCCTAAGCCGAGAAAGAGAGAGAGAGAGAGAGAGAGAGAATCCGGGACATGAGATAGAGACACGGCTGACTTCTTTCAAGCTGTCTGCTTGTTTCGCATGAACATCTGGTAGGTCTCGTTTCGAGTTTCCTCGGTGTAGCCATAGCCCAGATCCTGGAGGAACTTGTTCAGCCCATCTTCCTCGCCAGGCGGACACTGGATACCGGCGAGGATCTTTGCGATGTCGCCACCGTAGTTGCGATAGTGGAAAAGAGAAATGTTGTATTGCGGCTGGAGCATGGTCAGGAACTTGTGCAGAGCGCCTCCTCGCTCGGGAAACTCGAATGCGAAAATGCGTTCGTTCTCGGCATTGCTTCGTCCTCCAACCAGATAGCGAATGTGAGACTTGGCCAGCTCGTCACCACTGATGTCTCGAGCGGTCATGCCGTGGCTACGAAGTCTGGAGAGGAGGTCTTGCACTTCCAATGTCCGGGTGGTAGGGTTGACCTGGATACCGATCAAAACATCGGCTGACGCATCTGACGCATACCGGTAGCTGAACTCGGTCACCGCCATAGGCGTGACTTCCTTGATGAGTGTTGCAAAAGCTCCGGGCTTTTCGGGGATGTTCACGCAGAGTAAAGCCTCTTTCTGCTCTCCAATGGCCGCCCGCTCAGCCACGAAGCGCAAGCGATCGAAGTTCATGTTCGCTCCACTGGCAATGGAAACAAGCTGTCGTCGAGTGTCTTGAGAAGGGTGGGCCTTGACATACTTTTTCAAGCCAGCAAGTGAAAGAGCTCCGGCTGGCTCCAAGATAGATCGTGTGTCCTCAAACACGTCCTTGATAGCAGCACAGATATCGTCGGTATCGACGAGTATGACCTCGTCCACTACTTCCTGGCAGAGACGAAAAGTCTCCTCGCCCACTGTTTTCACCGCCTGGCCGTCGGCGAAGAGCCCGACCTCCTTGAGCGTGATGCGTGTTCCAGCCTTCAACGATCTCACCAGAGCATTGGCATCGTAGCTCTCAACCCCAATGATCTTGACATGAGGTGCGAAGCGCTTAATGTACGTTCCGATACCAGCGATCAGGCCACCACCACCGACGCAGCAAAAGATGGCTTCGAGCTTGGACAAGTCGGCCTGGCGAAGAATCTCAGCGCCGATGGTGCCCTGGCCAGCGATGACATACGGATCGTCAAAGGGTGGAATGTTGGTCAAGCCGTTAGCTTGTCCCCTACGATTACACTCTGCTTTGGCTTCGTCGAAGTCTGCACCATGAAGGACGACGTTACCGCCCAGCCGTGAAACGTTGGCGTACTTGATAGCGGGCGTCCCGGTAGGCATGACGATGGTTGCAGGAATCTTCAGTTTTCGAGCAGAGTACGCCACGCCCTGAGCATGGTTACCAGCCGAGCATGCGATGACGCCCTTCCATCGCTCTTGGTCCGTCAGATGTGCCATCTTGTTATAGGCGCCGCGCAACTTGAATGAGAAGACAGGGAGCAAGTCCTCTCGCTTGAGCAGAATGGTCGTTTCCATTCGATTGCTGAGATTGACGGCGTGCGTGAGTGGGGTTTGCTCGACAACATCGTAGACTTTGGCGGTAGTGATGAGTCGAATGTACTGGACATTCAGTCAGCTCAAGTCAAGGCGCCGACAACGTTCCTAGAAGCTATTCTGAGTCTGTCCAGACCAGCAGCTATCTTCGGATCTGGAAAAAGTCGAGTAGTGCGGTGCTGTAAAGAACTCGAGGAAGTACTCGAGGCCATGGGACCGTGAGCAGGTGACTCACATCTGGGTGACCATTGGGCAGAAGCAAATGCTCGGGTACGATGGTGGGTGCTCGTTCTTTCGACCTTGATGACACCGGCGAGGTATTTGCGGTATACTCAGTCAAAGCAAGAGTAGTGTGTGTTGGTCTTGGAGGAGTTTTGGGGCAAGTCGCCTCAACAGGAGTGTGCGTGCCATTCGTGCCATTGGTGCCATCAGGCACTCCATTGGCTTCCGTCATGTCCGTAGTCTTCTCACGTGTCGAATGCAGTCCACAGGTGTTGTATTCGAGCAGGCCAGATGGAACGATTGTTGTTGTTGTTGAGTGGTTGTTGTTGAAACGACAGCGGACTCATACATGTATCTATCAACGCCAAGAATTATGCAAAATATGTCGTTGCATCAGGTACCTAGTGCCTAACTCCGTCGCGACTCTTTTAGAATATGAACCCTGCTAGCGGCGGCTCATGCGGGATAGCATCATCCACTCCGAAGAGTGAATCTCGCTCGGGAGTGATCGAGCGGGATCGATTTGGCGATATGAGTTGACACTCAGTGAAGCCACTGACCATTCTCATACTACACCTCACAACCCAAGGAGTACCACAGTAGACGACGATTTTCCCAGAGAAAAAACAGCCAGCCATGTCAGTACCGGGCAATATCAACACGGCGCCTCCGCCATCCTCATTTGACGAAAACAATGAGTTCTACGAGGAATCGCGCATGGCCAAGATGAAGCGGAGGCTCGCAGAAGAGCCATTGATCCCACTAGGATGTGCCCTGACGTGTTGGGCGTTATATGAAGCGTAAGCAGCGGCAGCTCTCGCAAGTCATCATGCCCACAATGCTGAGATGTCGATTTGTACAGAACGCGATCGATCAAGTCTGGAGACAAACACCGCACGAATCGTATGTTCCGTCGACGAATCTACGCGCAGGGGTTTACGATTCTTGCCATGATAGCGGGGAGCGCGTACTACGAGGGCGATCGTTCAAAACGAAAGGAGTTCGAGGGTGTTGTGGCAGACAAACAGAAGAAGGAGCGCCACGAGGCGTGGTTACGAGAATTGGAGGCGCGAGACGAAGAAGAGCAGGAACTGAGAGCACTGCGAAGTAAACTGATGAAGGCACGCACAGCAGAGAGGAAGGAGTTCACACAAGAAGAGCGTCGCATACTGGAGGAGAAGCAGAGACGAGACAGCGGCCAGTCCGAGGGTGGCTGGGGCTCTATCAAGAGCGCACTCGAAGACAACGAAAGGCGAAAGATGAGGATATTGAGCGCAGCCATGGAGCTGTGGCGGAGCAGGTGAAAGGGTCGGGGAAGATGCATTGTAAGCGTAAGGTATAGAGGGGGAGAAATTCGTTCACATCAGGCCAGCGAGCGACGTGTACCGTATACAGAACGGGTTGACGCAGGTCCAAAAGCAACAAGGCATATGGTCTTCTATGTGACTATGCTCAGTCAAAGAAGTCCACCAAAGTTCAGGTACGAGTACGCTCACAAGTTTTCGAGTCCTAAAGCTGAGACTCGGCCTTTCCGAACGACAGACTGGCACACCTGCGGGTTGCGGACTTCCAGATATAGGGTAAGCAAAAACTGATGCTGAGTATATATTATCTGCTATCAGTTCTCATCTCTGCTGCGGGAACCTTTCTCCTAGCGGAAACTAGGTAGGCATACACAGAGAGAGGGTGGAGACTCTCTATAGGTAATCCAAACGCGACCCTTTTTGTTCTCGTTCCAACTACACATCAATTACGTGCCCGAGGATCTACCTTTCTCAGCTATTCCCCGAAAAGTGGTCTCGACCGCTTGGTAAACGCCTAAAACAACGCATATGCCCATTCGCGGGGTTAACTTTGCCAGCCGCATCGCCGTGAATGAGGGGGTGATGCAGCCTCCCTTATAAAGAAGACCGAGCTATATGTACCTCGCTCATATCATACAGGTCAGGTAAGGCAAGGTATTGGTAGAAAAGCACAAAGAACCTTCATCGTCGTCAGTACTCAGACTGGCGTGTCATCACCCCAATAGCTGACTCTTCAGAACAACCTACATCAAACGGAGAGACCGTCAAGATGAAAGCCGTCAAAGTGGTGGGATACAACCAGAAGTTGGAGATGTCTGAGGCTCCCGAACCTCAGATTGAACATCCTCTAGATGTCATTGTGAAAATCGGTGCAGCGGGAGTTTGCAGGTTTGTCATTTGCTTGAGTGCTTCTCACTGAAAAGAAAAAAAAAGAGAAAAAACTGACCACCAGCGAATTTTCCAGAACAGATATTCACATTCTCGAAGGACAATGGGAAGAAAAGTCCGGCGTGACACTCCCGTATACCATCGGGCACGAAAACGCCGGTTGGATTCACGCCGTGGGATCCTCCGTCACAGGCCTCGCCATCGGTGACGCCGTCATCTTGCACCCGTTAGTCACCTGCGGACTCTGCCGAGCATGTCGGTCGGGCGATGATGTGCACTGCGAGAATTCATCCTTCCCAGGCATCAATCTCGACGGCGGATATGCCGAATATCTCAAAACGACGGCGCGCAGTGTGATAAAATTGGACGCCAACTTGCAACCGGCAGACGTTGCTGCGCTCGCGGATGCCGGGTTGACGGCATATCATGCTGCTGCGAAAGCGGCACAAGGGTTGCGGCCGGGGGAATTTTGTGTGATTATTGGGGCGGGAGGATTGGGTCATATTGGGGTGCAGGTCATGGCTGCGATTAGTGGAGCGACGTTGATTGTGATTGATCGCAATCCTGATGCGTTGGCTCTGGCGAAGGAAATCGGCGCCGACCATGTGGTTTTGTCGACTGAGGATGGCACGTTTGTCAAGGAGATTCTCGATCTGACCAAGGGGAAAGGCGCCGAGGCTGTGCTCGACTTTGTCTGTGAAGGTGGCTCGATGGTGTCTGGGGTGAAAATGTTGCGTCGTGCAGGCAATTATTACGTCGTGGGCTATGGAGAGAATATCAATATCCCTACCATTGGTAAGTCTTCTTTTTTTTTCTTTTTTTTTTTCTTTTTTTTTCTTTCTTTTCTTTTCAGATTTGCAGCTACCTACCTACCCACCTACCTTGGATATTCGTCGAGACTGACCAACTACCTCCAGACATCATCTCGAGCGAGATCAACATCATCGGCAACCTCGTGGGGAGCTACAATGACCTAGCAGAATTGATGGTCCTTGCTGCACAGGGCAAGGTGAAACTCCACACACAGCAGTACAAGCTAGATGATTTCCAAAAGGCGATTGACGATTTGAGCGCGGGCAAAGTACGTGGACGCGCCATCTTGGTGCCATAGCTATGTACCTAAAAGTACATGGTAGTCAGGTACTAGTAGAGCGAGGCCATCCGGCAGCATACCTACATTACTCGGATAGGTAATTGGGAGTAATCAAGCGGTGTTCAATACCTACTATTAAAAGAAGATCCACTGGTAGAGAGGGTCTCACGTTTCGGTCAGGATCATGTCGTGCAGCACGCATGTCAAAGCGCAATTCCAACAGCTTCTGGTTGGATGTCTTGGCAGAGAGTCGGTACATGTATTTGTCTAGGTATCTATACCAGCCTGACCAGGTAGGTACTGTAGGTAGAAACATTGGAAGTTGAACATCGCTCGGGACATTATCGTGATTACAACGGCCATCTCGGTAAGACTAGATCGAGATATTCTGGCTAATGCTTTGATGCTATACATGAGCTTGCAGGGGTACAGTAGGTCCTGGTCGGCGGTCGCATCATCGTGACTGCCAAACACGGGTGACGGGTCGTATCACCTCGTACTACATGTAGGTACATGTTGATGTACCCTATGGCATTGATATCCTCGCCATATCGTTTTTTCTCTTATTTTTTCTTATTTTTTCCTTCTTTTGTCCGCCAACGGAAATGCTCCGTCGGTCTCATTTTTGCGGTTCCCACACACAATACCTCGCTTCGGTGCTCGCAGCAGCACAAATAGCAGCATCTCCGGCTTGTGATCAATAATATGTATGTGGCGAGCTAACTAGTGGGTGTCTGCGATTCCTCGACTGGGTAATTGCAGTCAGACACGACATCACCGGCTTCATCCGTCTGCTGTGGAGGGAAGTGCGCAATGCAACTTCCGTCGGTGTCTAGAAGGGAGCATGTCCTGTCAATTCCCGGAAGCGAGACCAAGTCGGTACCGCCCTGAGCTGCAGTCCGGTCGGTATTAGTGCTTGCGTCGACGTGGCTGGTCATCTCAGACCTGTCTCTGCCAACCCCCCCCCTCGGCGACTACGGTACCGTCTTCACCCAGCTTGCCATGCCGATTCTTGGCTTGGAAGGTGGCCCAGTGTGTGCGAGGCACGGAAGTGCCCTTCGTGAAGCATTCATTGCATGCGGACATTGTACTGTCCATGCCTGGCTCTGATTTATCCCCGGGCACACTTGGTCGTCTTTGTCCCATGTTTGACGACCCATCATTTCTCATCGCTTGGTCTGTCAAGGGACATTCCGCGTTTTCGCCCTTCATCTGGCTGCAAGCCATTTGCACCGACTCTCCCCACAACCTATGCCTGCCATCATGTGAAGGCTGAACGTCCCTGCGATAGTGAGCCTGCTGGCACTGGTGACTCTTTTCATCTATCTCGGTCTATTGTCGTGGCCTCCGGAGGGAAAGTGGCTCGGCAGCCGATGCGGATCGGCGTTCATTGGTGCATGAGAGGGGATGGCGGAGTACCATTGCATCTGTGGAACAGACTGGTATGGGGCCGAGAGCATGCCAGGAGCGCCGGCGCTGCGTGGATCGTGGTGCATCATATACTGATGCTGTCCCGCCGGGGGCATATATTGAGGCATATGCGTCATGCCGGGACCGGGTGGCTGCACCGGCCGCTGCATGGGTTGCTGTATCTGTGGATGCATCGATGGTTGGTGAGGATAAGAGCTTGGTAGTGGTTGTGGTGGTGGTGGTGGTGGTGGTGCTTGCTGGTAACGCGCATTATAGCTTTGCGGATAATCGGAATACGATACTGCTCGGGTAACCTGACTCTGCGATTGCCAGCCGTGAGGTTGCTGCTGCATCTGCTCCATGTTATATCCACACGGCACTTGTGGCACGCTTGGTGATGGGTGCGCCGGTGACTCTGGTCCCGGAAAAGGCGCCACGTCCGCAGCTGGAGCTTCAGCGTATCGCGTAAAGGGAGGCTGAGCACTGGGAGTACGTGATATCGGTGTCTTTCGGCTGTGTTGTTCTGCAAAGTCTGCCGTTGCCCATGGTGGTGCGGGCTGGCCAGGGGCTTGGAAAGAATGGTCTTGCGGCGAGTAGCTACCTGTGGCAAGATCAGTGTTTGCACGCAGAGCCGCAGGGGGGAGGGCGATAAAGGGCATCATGTTACCTGGCACTCGCTGGTCTGCCCGAGGCATTATGGGCATGTTTTGATATGCTGCCGAAATGGGCGGCATTGCAGGATCTCCATAACTACCTGTAAAGGCGTGCTCAAAGCCCCGCCTACCAGACTGTAGCGGCGACGTTGATACTGCTGAAGACGGTGCTGATGGCACCCCTGGCTTTCCCGATGCCTCCGATCGCGCATCGAGCATAGCCTGCTGGTCAACAGGGTAAAAGACACATTCCTTTTTCAGTCGAATGCAGTTCTGGCATCTTTGCTCAGGGTCGTCTGCAGCTAAGAGACATCTGATCTTACGACGACGGCAGTGAGCTGGCTAGTGTCAGCGAAGGACTTGCAATGACGGACGGACGGACGGGATGGAATGTATGTGTGTGTGTGGCCGCGTGCTTGGACGGCAGGCATATAAGGTGGTGGGTGCGCGGCAGGATGAGTGAGCATGTCGCTTACCGCAGGCGATGGATATTCTCTGATAGCCAAGCTTATTCCGCTTCTTGTCGAGTTCAGACTCTGACATAATGGGACCTCGAAGATGGGGCGAAGAGATGGATTTGGTGAGTGTCCTGGTGTCAGGCTTTGTTTTGGGCAGCCTCTGTGTCGTCCGATTCGATCCAGGTGGCTGTGGGGTTCCCGACGCAAAGGTTGCATTATTTGGGCGGGCCAACGCATAAGGGTCGAATGCTGGAACGGCATCGCCTATGGCTCTCGAAGAGGAGAGGATGTAGCCGTAGTGCTGGGGCGAATCCGGAGGCATGATTATGATTATTATTGCAGTAGTGACACACTGTTTGAGATTGCGGTGTCGGTCCAGTGACTCGGGCCCAGTCGAGAAGGTTGATAGCTTTACAATGCAGGCCAGCCCGTGAAGATTACAGCCGCTGCAGCCAGGCCAGGGCAATGTCTGCGTCTGCCACGCTACGCTAGGAGGTATGTGTTGGTTCGGTGTGCCGTTGCGTTAAGAGGGACAACGGGATCTCCACTCTTTGCGCTTCCACGACTTCGGCAGATACGTGCAGCGAGCGAATGGTGGAAGGATTCCACTCCTCACAAGTGCTGCCTACACCGTCTGACGAGGAGTCCGCGAGTCACGGGAGACGTCTTGAACGTCCTGTCCTGTGCGGCGTGGCGCACCCAGGATAATGGAAGCGCTAAGGCAAACATGCACGCCAGTAAGGAATGGCTGCACGATTTTGGCGAACAGACAGGATGTGTGACCAACGGCTGGCAGAGGGAGTATATTGTCTTTCTGGGGCACAGTAGTAGTGGTGATGGTGGTGTTGGTGGTGGTGGTGGTAGAAGGTTAGGTAGTAGAAGGTTAGGTAGTAGAAGGTAATGGTAGTGGTAGTAGCAGTAGGTAGTAGCAGTAGCAGTAGCAGCAGCAGCAGCAGTAGTAGTCAAACCTCCGGCCGAGTCGTTGCAATACTTTACTGCAGCTGGGATCGCGAATTCCGCTGAAGAAGGAGACAGCCAGTGGGCTCCGTGCTGAGTCGGTGGTGGTGGAGATGCTGACTTGAACTAAGTGAAGGTATAACCAACCTAGTCGGTGCTATTTGTCGCAGGTTGCCAGGTCTGATACCTGTGAGCTTACCTATTACAAGACAGCGTGTGTGCTGGTGACGATGGGGGGCTGTCGGCCTACGTGCGGCGCCACTAGCTTCAACGATAATATGTCCTTCTGCGCCCAACAACAACAAGTGTCGACAAGACGCTCGCACTTTACACTGCCAAAGTCCGAAGGGGACTCCAGTGCCACGCTAGTCCTAGGTACTGTATCCTCCCAGGCGTCCACTATCACTTAAGAGGTCGTGTAGTGCTTCCTGTTGACCATGCATGCGTGATGAAGCATAAAGGAATATCTTCGCCGGCGACGGTAGTGGTGGTAGGAGGTACTGATTGATGATATCCATTTCTGAGAGTCTCGCGTAGCCACATGGCCTTTGTCGTGCCGTCGATTATGGTGGCAAGTGGCATGCGAATCCACTTGCCTGCGTGCGTGGCTTTGCGCCCCGGAGCACGGGTCAAACAGCGTCTTTTCGCTAACGTAGGTACCTCCTACCTCCCTATGGAGACGCTCGTCGGAGGTATTCAATTATCCTTACACCGAACGAGTCCACCACCGCTCCTGACTACGACACTACCTTTATCTGGCGAGCATCCCGCAACCGCTCTCCGGGGCTTACCAAGAGCGGCGTCTCGTCAGCTTGACCTGAAAGGGAAGGCGGATTGCTCACCTCGAAGCATCTGTCGCGAGAACGTGTGTGCGAGAGAGATGAGGAGATAGGATAAGGTACCTCTAGCTATCGCTGGAGCCAGCTGGGTATCTGGATGAATGCAGGTGGTCTCGACAACGGCCACGATACTCACACATACCTAGGTATTCTCTGATTCTCTGGAATCTGGACGACGCTGCTGGCCTGCCTGCTGCTACCTCCCACTTGGCACCGCGACCGGGTTGCCGGTGTTGAAGGCCGCACCAGGCCAGGCCACCAGCCTCCTCCAGGGACAGGCATTGGCAAGACGTGGCGTTGGATGTGAAGCAGATCGTGCAAATCGTGTCGTGGCGGGGCTAGAGATCTCGCGCCAAACCTAACCGAAAGCACCTAATCGGACGCGTTTGCCCAGTAGGGACGGACGACGGGGAGGGGAGGGTCGTGCAGCGTCTGGCGTCTGCACGGCTGCCTCTAGCCGGCTGGGAGGGAGCGTAGGTGGGAAGGCAAGGCGAAGCGTGTAGTATACCTACTCATTCGCAGCCCCGCATCATATCACGTTGGTGCTATACATACATGTAGGAGGTACAAGTATGATGTAGGTACCTCATAATACATGAACCTGTGAACTATATGATGTACGTCTCTGAGTCTGTGGTGAGAGCCGACGGTGCAGACAGGCTAGTAGACATGTAGTCGTAGTTCGTAGTCGTACCTCTCAGTCGCAAGTTAGTGTAGGAGAGGTAAGGTAGGACTTGGAGGTACGGCAGTGCAGTGCCGATTAGTCGGATCAGATTGGGAAGGCCTAGCCACCAGATGCCGCGGCGAGATGCCGCCACGAGATGCCACCACATGGCGAGAGAGGAGGAGGGAGAGAGGGAGAGGGAGAGAGAGAGAGAGGGAAGGGAGAGGGCATAATAATGGAAGGTTCCGTCCGGCAGCAAACTCAACCACTGCAGACATGTACATCGGTACCTACCTCCTACCTCTAGGTGTAGGAGGTGGTAGGAGGTACATGTAGGTGGCAGTGGTAGGATGTATCATTCTTCCGCTAGGCCCTGCAGCCATCCACCGAATAATGGCCGTCCTGACCTGATGAGTCGTGACACGTCGCCTTGCCGCTCCACGTTGTCTTTACCGCTCCCCACGTGCTGGAGACGTGTCATGTGTGGTGATCTGGACGACTAAGGGAGGTACATGTATGTATGGATGCAGTAGGTCGAAGCACAGAAAACAAGACTAAGGTAGGTACTGAGCCTGAGGGACGACTTGTCGACCACCTACTGGCCACCGCGGAGGGGCATCCGAGGGAGGACTAACAACAGCGCATACCTCCGCCAAGCGCCGAATGGTCCCAGGACGAAATACTGATAATGGAAACAGAGGCAGAATCCGCGGGCGCACACAGCATACAAATTGCAGAGCCAGCCAGCCAGCCAGCCCTGAGAGTGAGTGAGGGGCGCACTTGTGCAAAGAGGAAAATAGTGCACAGGGCAGTAGAAAAAAAAATACGGTAGGTTTCGACACCTTTGAATCCTTCAATAACTCATCTCACAGTGTACAGACGCATTCATTGGCCACCTCACGCACGCATCTTATTATCGCAAATTGCGCCTCATCGGGCCATCGCGATCACTTTGTTGAAGGAGCACTAGGAACAGTAAGGTATGGTACGTTAGCGTGCTGCCTGGGTGATCTACAGACGTCGCGAGAACGCGAGACGCGGCACTTCGGCGACCACAAGCACGGCGTTCGGTACCTTAATTCACTCACCTACGTCTTGGCAGTGGAACAGGAACCCGAACCAACCAAATCCCATTTTCTTTGGTCGCTGCTAAAACACATTATTGAGAAGAGTACCTTACTTGACCTGAAGAAAAGCGCTACCTCCTATAGTGGACCAAATACGGAGAACGCAATAATGCCCCACCACTGCAGATGCCACTCTTAGCACGCACGCTACAGAAGGTAGGTAGTGAATGGTGAGAAGAGCTACGAGGTAGAAACAACTTCGCTCATCGTCACGCTTGTGTACGTAGAAGGTACGGTCGGGTACGTCTCTTCGTCAGGCAAACGCTAGCGATAGAGAAGGGGAGGGGCTGTCCTCTCAGCGCAGAGCATACTCCCTTTGGGCTATAGTGGTATATTGCGCCTTCGCACTGACTCGCCCAGACGGAAAGCTTCGCAGACAGATCAATACGAGGGCACGAGGGCACAAGGCACGATGCACGAGGCACGCGGCACGCTATTATAGAAGAACTTACCTCCTAGCTTTGCTGTTCGCAGTGTACGAATCTGTCCTTTTCAGCTTAGTAATAAACGAGGTGATAGACACGTCGGAGCGAACAGTCGTTACCTGTTAAGTACCTGCGACTCATGTCCCCAATTTTGAACATGGAAATGTAACAGTAGCAGTAAGGTAGGATGGGGGAATATGGAATCTGGACATGAGGCTTGCAGTTGCACTGCCTGCCAGGCGAGCATTTCCGGATCCGAGCCTGCTTGTAATTTTTTATTTTTTCAATTTTTTATTTTATTTTTCAAATTTCCTGCTGTGTAGTGCCTCGGTATCGGTGTACATAGGTACTGGTACTAGCTGGTACCACCTCACCAACATTGTTATCTCTCGGTCTTTACTCCGAAAAGCATCCCCGGGCAAATTGAAATCCTGCTTTTCTGAAACACACACACACACTTCTTCTCTGATGATAACAACGCTCACTACCTAACTAATACTCAGGTACTAGTAGTAGACCAGACCAGGTACTGCGAACATCATCATCACCACTACCTATCATCATTACATATTGGGTGTGAGAGAGAGGGAGATAGAGCCCCATAAAACCTCGCCAAAATCAAATTTCGCACCGTCTGCCTGCCTGTCTGTCTGCTCGGTGGGTTCATGCCCGTGGTTTCATTTCCTACCCAGATCCAAAGATTCAACATGGCAACACAGCAAGATCCAAGCAGAGCAGAGAGACAAGAGTACAACAATACCTACGGTAAGACCAGGTAACGTCTTCATCACCGTTTTGTTTTTCCAAATCAGGCAAATGCACACATTGCTGGTTCGCTTCGCTTGTTCACACATGGAAAGAAAAGAAATGGTAAAGATATAATTGTAGGTAGGTCAGGCATATATAGGTAGCGAGCGCCACGCTGTTGGACCTAAAAGTCTTCAGGTAGGTACCGTACCTAGGTAAGTGTGAGGTAGGTAAGGTACATGTAAGAGTTGCCATAGGTTGGCAACATCATTATCCAACCGGGTCCTTCCACAGATTCCAGCTTCTACCTCAGGTACATCTATGTACGCTTGTACGTACGGATGGATGGTTGGGGGCATTTCATTTCATTTCATTCATTTATTTGGCTTTTTCATTTTACCAAATTTTCTCACAATACCTAGAGGTACCTTGATGAATTGTACCACCAACCACCAACCACCAACCACACCACTCACATTAGCCAGCCAGAGCCGACAGTTCTTCGAGATGGAGTTTGCACTGAGTAACGTGACACGTGGGAGAACGCATCAGCCAGTTGAGAGGACAGAAGGTGCGACAGGGACGTCTTGGAAGCAGTTTTCACTCTCTGTTCGGCCACTTCATGTTCCTTTGCTAGGAACGTCTCTGCCAACTCTAAGCCGCGACTCCGCGCTTCAGATTCAGTGCCAGCTGTGCCATATTTTCAAACGTGTCTAGCTGATCTGACTTATCCGGCATATACTCTCCACTTGCGATGCAATGCACCTTCATGTTCGGGTGGTACTTCAGATTGTTGAGCAGCTTTGGTGTGATGAGGAAGTATTGCGATGTGTGTTCTGCACATGCAATATCCACCATGCGAGAGTGCACCATTCTCTCATTGCGTGGATCCATGCCTTGGTTGATCTCGTCAACGACTCGAAAGGGCGCTCGTGCCATGCTTTGCATGGCCATGAGATAGAAGATCGTAGAGACAGCTCGTTCGCCTCCGGATTGGCGATGAGAATTGAGGACCTGCAGCTGTTCATTCTCTCTGTGTAAAATATTAGTATCTCTTTGTTCTCTGTGAGTCGATGAGTGAACTCGTGTGCATGAATTACCTGAATTTGACCTTGATCTGGATCGCCCAATCCGCAAAGTCCTCCTGCTTGTCAATGCCAACCTCTCCGGCACACGAGATGAATGTAAAGTTTTCCGAGAATGCATCTGATATCTTGCGGACCAGTTCATCAAGCTGGGGTTCCCACAATTCTCGTATCTGCGCAATCTTCGTGGTGAGAGCCTCGAGGTCGTCACCAAGCGTCTTACGTTGGGCACGTCTCTCCTCGATCTTCTTTGCGCGTGCCTCAAACTCTCTGACTAGGTTTGCGTTACCAGTGCCAGCCAACAGTTCCAAAGACGCTTCCACTGATGCAATCTCCGTGTCTAACGCTGGTGGCTCCCAGTCTTTGATCAACTCATGAATCTCATCCTCAAGTGGTGTAAGGTCACCATTACGCATTTCGGCGACAAGCTGGTGGACGGCTTCCGATTTGGCCTTTCCGAGTCGGCGGGCTTCCCTTTCTTTTTGGATAGCCACACGAAGATCGTTTTCCTTGGTAGTCAGGAGATCCTTGTCGGCCTGATTACGAGCCGTGACTTGTGCCAAGTCCGATGCAGCTTCGATGCCGTTGATTTCAGCCCTCAGAAGCTCTTCCTGGAAGTCTCGCAGATTGCGAACGGCAGTACCGTGGTCCAAGGCTTGCTGCCCCTGTTCGAAAATCAGTCGCATCTGCCTCTGTGCAATTTCCCATTTCCTAGCATCTTGCTCTGCCAGTTGAGCTTGGAGGTCCGCCAGGCGTGCTTTATTGCTTGCCAATTTAGTCGGAAGGCCGTCATATTGTGACTTCTGCTGCTGGAGATGCGCCTTCTCTTTCTTGATACTCTCTACCTCATCTTTCAATTTTGTGATCTTCTCCTTGAGCTGGGCAGCTCGCGCACGCACGCCATGCATTTCCTCCTTGATGTGACTGATCTCGCCTTCGAGAGTGGCGATTCTCGCCTTGCTATCTTCCTCGGCTTGGGTACTCACAGGCGCATCAGTAAGGAGTCTCGCTCGGTGAAGGGGCGAAACCCTTGCAGCGGTGCCGGCGTCTCCATACTCCCCTCGTCGAATCATTCGGTAGGTGTTGGTTGGAGTGCACCATGAGCTAATGGATGTCTTTTTGAGCATGTCATATTGATCCTCAGTGATATCTCGTTTGCAAAAAGCATTTCGGTGAAGGTTCGTGTTGTCGCACAACATGGCTAGGACCGGCTCTGGACCGGTGATTAGTTCCATGAGCCATCCATCCAAGCCGAGTCGCTTCATCTCCTCTGGGCTGGTATCGGGGGTCGGGTACTGGTCCAAGCCTAGGGTCGAGTTGCGAATGTTGACATCCGTCAGGCCCATGACCTGGTATGCCTGGTGTGTCAACACATTGAAGTCATTGCGGCTGCAAACAGTGAAAGCCTTCAACTCTCCCGCGCCTACCATAGCTTCTATCCAATCTGCGTCTCGGCCCCCCTTTACGGCACAGACGATCATGGGTGGGCCAAATACTTCGTGCTCAAACTTGTCTTTATTCGCTTGAACCCATCTCCATACGTCGGCCGAGGCCCTCGACACACCTGACAACTTGCTCTCAAGCCTTCCCGCCTGTGACTGCAAATGCGTCTGTTTTTCTTCCTCCTGTGCAATGATTTGTTGCCGCTGACGCGCCTGCTCTCGGAGCTCGCCCACCGTCTCATGGCCCCTGTTGAGCTCGTCCTCAAGGGTGCGGATTTCCCGCCCCAGCTGAGTCGTCTTCTCGTTCATCTCTACTGCGTTGAACTCTGCCGGCGGGCTGGCCATTGCGTTCTCGATAGTCCTGATTGCCTGTTGCAGCTTGGCCACGTCCTGTTTCGCCTTTGCAGCATTGACAGTCTCTGCCTTGGTTTCCGCATCACATCCTGCGACCGCCTCCTCAAGCTCCTTGAATCGACTCGCTACATGTGCCACTGTTTCCACACTGCGCTGCACCATGCGCTTCTTCGATTCGACAGCTCGTTTGACAGCCGCGACATAGGTTTCCTTTGCCGCAACGGCTCGCATGTTGGGCTCAATTTGATCCTCTACACGTCTCTTCTCCTCCTTTGCCTCCCTCTCGCGTGCTCTCGCCTCCTCGTGCTTTCTCTTCAGCTCGTTGAACTCTGTACAAGGTCTAAATCTCTTCAGCAGTTCGAGCTTCTCCTGGACCAATTCACGTTCTCGCATGCGTTCCACGTCCATCTCTTGAGCACGCTGCCGATCCTCCAGCCTCTTCAGCTCTTCAAAGAGATTTTGCTGGTCGTTCAGTAATGCCTTCTCCTCTCGACGCCACTTCTTGAGGTCCTCATGATACTGCGACATCTGTTCACCACCGGCAGCTCTCTGGGTTTGCACAAGCAGATCTACCGGCGACAAGGCAGCAAAATCGGCAACTCTGTCCTGCGGCAAGAATTGGCACAAATTGTCGACTTGAATGGAGAAGCTTCGGCAGAATTCCTGGACCGCCTTGTTCGAGACGGTCTTGCCGTTGATCTTGAAAGCTGTCTTCTTATCCTGGTTGTTTTTGCCGCCTCCATCACGACTGATCCTGCATCCGATGATGGGGTTTGTCTGCTGGCGTTGGGGATCTGCCTTGAGCTCGATCTCGATGATTGCTTCTTTGCAGCCATGCTTGACGAACTCACTGACGTCTTTGGCGCGACCGAGATGCTCCGGCTTCCAACCCAAGCCCAAGCATATACCGCACACCAAAGTACTCTTGCCTGTGCCATTGGGTCCAATGATCATGTTCAAATTTGGCCCAGGGTGAAACGTGGCGTTTGTGTAGGTGACAAAGTTCCGCATAGTAATCCGCACTATGGCACCAGGCTGGTGCTCCTGTTGAACATGGTCGTTGGCAGTGAGTCGAGCTCGTTGCTTGCCTTTCGGCGAGCGCCTGAAGCCGTCGGGCAGTAGGGGGCTTTGCTCGGACTGCCGACGCGTCAGTCTGCGCATTGCAAGCTCAGTAGTATCCGTAGTGGTTCACGCACCTCTGAGCGCGGTTCCTCCTCCTCCTCGTCGTCGTCGTCGTCTCTGGTGTCGTCGTCGCCGGGCTCATGGTCGAGACGCCGGCGTTTACTGGCCTGCGAGTCTCCATCGTCGAACGAAGTCTCCCCAGTTTCAACCTCGTCTCTCCGCCGCCTCTGCAGTGGCGGCGAAAGCGGCGGCGACGATGTGAACTCCACGTCGTCCATGTTCCCGGAGTATTGAGGGCGGGGTCGGGTGTTTTTGTTGCCTGGTGGAAGTGCACTCGAGAATTGGCGACGACGGGACGGGAGCGCGTCGAGACGCGTCTTGAGCCCGCGATGCAAAAGTCGACGTCGCCCGCTAAAACTCAATCATGGCCTTCACTTCACTTCACTTTCTACGCACTACTCGAGGTCACTGCGCAGTGCTCACCACCTGCGGACATTGATTCTGTGCAGCGTGACAGACACAGCCACGAGGAGCATGTGGTAGTGAGATGGCATGTCAGAAGGCGAGGCGCGAATTGGAAGGTTATCGTTCTGGACAATTGAATCACCATGGCCCAGCAACATCCACCGAAGACACCAGCAACGGGTAACGCTGGCTCGAAAAAGCGTAAAGATCCGCCGACAAACGCCTCCAACCTCAAAAGCGACAAGAAACGACCTAAAAACGACCATCGAGCCAAGCAACGAGATGCCCGGACACTGTCAACCCAGACGTCTTCGAAGGCCTTCAAGAATGGGCAGCTTGATGTGGACAACTTTGTCAAGTCGCGCGAATATGAAATTCGAGCTATGGAGGAGGGAATGTCCCGGAGCAAGCAAGCCCTGTCCAAACGAGCTTTCCAGCAAGTGCCCAAAGACTTGAGACGCCGCACTGCCAGTCACAATGTCAAGCGTGTGCCCAAGAGGCTACAGCCACGAGCGAAGAGGGAGGTATGTTGTGCGTGATCTTGGCCGAAGGTGGGTAGAGCTGTCACTGCTCTGTGCCATATACTGACGCCCGGTAGATGGTCGAGGACAACACTCCAACAGTGACATCAAGAAGGCGAAAGCCGACACGACACATGCGTTTGCGCCTAGAGACGGTCAAGAAGCTTCGGGCGCTAGGTTCCAAACGGAAAGAGGCCAAAGAGAAGAGTGCTGATAGCAATATCACTGTGCGACCTGTAGAACAGACCGTGCGACCTGAGACGAAAGTCGATGCAGCTGTTAAAGCACGAACTCCCAGGATCAAGAAGGCAAAACTTGCCGCGCCTCCTAAGCCGAAGGCCAAATTTCGGAAACGTCAGATAGACAAAACGTGGTTACCGACACACATGTTCCATGCAAAACGAGCTCGGATGACCACACCAAAGGAACCGCTCTGGCGATTTGCGATTCCATTGACGCCTACTGCGAAAAGCTATCGTCCTACTCACAGAGCAGCAAGCGAGAAGGGCGCCATCGCTTGGGATATGAGCTACATGTCGACTATAAGTCTCGATGGTCAGCAAAGAAGCATTGAAGGAATGCTCAAAGCTCTCTGTTTCAGTCCCGTGTCGAGCAGCGACGATCCATGGGGGTCAAAATGTGAGAGGTGGCGGAATGGCATCACAATGATGGAAGGCATGATCTTTGAGCGTGAAGCGCCGCACAAACCAATTGCACCGACAGCCGCAATTTGGTCTACATTGTCCGCACCAAAGTTCTCTGGGCCAGATGAGCTAGTCGCCAAACGCAATCGCAAATTAATGTTGAGGATGCATCCATCGGCTTTCCCGCAAGTGTGGGAAGAGTTGGTCAGGCTTGGAAAGGTAGCTAAGCCTCAAGTCAGCGTGGAAGACCTGCGATATGAGATCGGAAGCATCGAGGTCGCCGGCGCTGGCGCTACCGAAGCGTTGGTAGGCGCTCTGTGGCCTTCGACAGACTCCGCCACTTCGATCGCTCAAATTGCAAAAGTATGGCCAGCCTTGGCTGGCTTGACGGACCCTTCGCTACTCCCGTCGAATGTGATCATCGCTTGTGATATGCAGGACCCTCGCCTGCATCACCCTCCACGAACTATCAAGATATCACAGAACTCGGACGAGCAGCAACGACTCTCAGAGCTTGCGGCTGCTTGGCCACTGAAATCTGAGCATATTTCGGCAAATTTGTTCGACCGGCATGCTCGGCGTATCACCTCCTCTGCTCTCTCTAGTCAGAAGGCCATCAACAGGCGCAAATCTGCTGCGTTGCCTGGTCAGTTTCCGGACGCCATCTCCACCGATCCTAAAATTCCGACCATGGTCTACTCCACTTCCACTGGCAAAGGAAGCTGCGGCTCGTGGACTGTGCTACTCCCTTGGAAGTGTGTGCAGCCTTTGTGGTACAGTATCTTGTATTATCCACTCTCAAGTGGTAGCCAGCCAAGATTTGGTGGCCTCGCCGAGAAACGTCAACTTGCTTTCGAGGCCAACCAGGCTTGGTTTCCTGGTGACTATCCGGGCACGAGCGCAGGCTGGGAGTGGGAAGTAGAGCAGCGTAAGAAGAGAAAAGATGAGTGGGAGCGTCGGCCAAAAAGTAAGCGGGTCAACTGGGTCACTGTTGCTACTGGCAGCGCAATCAAGGGCGAAATTGGGAGTGGCTGGGCGTGTGACTGGGAACAGTTGCTCGGCGGCCCCAACACGGAGGCGCATGCGGGTGGTGCTGCTGGCCAAGCTGCGAACGAAGACATAACGATGGTCAATGGTAATGCTGCTGAAGCCGCAGGACCTGCAATGCCTGTACAAGTCACGGCACAGCCTCCAGTCACCTTTCTGCCCTCGTTGGAAGCTGAGAGGCTGTTTCAAACGATCGCGGACAATGATTTGCCCCCGAATTTGCGCAATCCCGTTATCATCGTCAGTCTGTCTTGCCTGACTCGTGGCACACCACAGACATGCGCGCGCATATATCGCCTCCCTTCCACGACCACATCTGCCCCTCTGCGCCGGAAATGGTTGGACCTGCACCCACGGAACAAGAATCAAAAAGGCCCAAAGAACAGTCTGCCACGACTCCCCAAGGATGCGCCCCCTTATCTCGTTCAGAGACGACTCGCACAAAGTCTGCTCGAGCCTGTTCGAGCTGGGGAGGACGACTACCCGACCTGTCCCGCAGAGGAAGATCTGATTGGATATGTGACAACGGGCAATCTCAATCTCAGCGAGGGAAGAGGAACGGGCATCGGCAATCTGTTGTTAAGCAGAGTGCTCAATGATGTCAGGCAGAATCGAGATGATGGCAGACTGTGCATTGTAAGGAATGCCGGTCAAAGTGTTGGTCGACTCGCGAGATGGACCCTCGCGTGAGAGAAACGCCAAATTGCCCAAAACAGAACCAAATAGGGTAGTAAGGTAATGAATTTATTACTACATCCCTTATTCACCATACCGTAAGTAGAGCGAGCACACATCGGATATACATACCTGGTTGGAATACCTACCAGGTACCTTACCTTACTGTATGTAAATGTAGTCGTTTCTGCTACCTGACCTAGGAGGTACCTACCTTACCTGACCTTCCTTACCTATGTACCTTACCTGACCTACCTTACCTCCCGCAACACTGGTAAGCTAGTTCATGTCTGCCTTGGCAATATGTATTGTATGACAAGGATGTTTGCGTGACTCTTGTTGCTTGTGGGTATTTTTGGCTTGGGCCCCTGGGCCCCGTCTATCAGTACCAGTAGGTATGTGTATTGTTCACGCACTCAGATTGTAATCAGAGTTTTGGGAGAGGCACATGCCGAAATCTACCCCGAAGCATGGGATGGTGGACCTGCGAAGGGGAGGGGGGGCAAGGATGAACTGTTCAAAGGTGAGTTTCAATGTAGTCCTGAAGTGGGACGGATGTTGAACTATGGGTAATCTGGCTGTTACAACAGTTATGTTGGAGTATAGTCTCCTCTCCATGACCGTGGGCCTGTCCATCCAGCGCATAATTGACCGCCGCGCAACAGTCATTAGTCCTGCCAGCATAGTGCCTATCTTGCCCATCCGAAAAACGCCTTCAGATACTCCTCGTCCAGCCAATGTCCAGTCTTTGCAGTTGGGGGCGGAATCGCAGTGCTGGTCACCATAGTTTGCTGGCCGATGCCAAGGAACTCCTGCACTTCGGACCAATTTCTCACAACCCAGTATGCTGCTGCGCCTAGCAGACCAGCACTGCCAACAACTTGAAGGACGGCATAGCCACGCTGTCTGAAAGTCTGAGTGAGAGTAAGCACACCAAGAGGATCTCGTGGATCGAAGACGCTGATATCGCCGCCCAGACGACCTCTTCTCGAGCTATGGGTATCCTTGGTCGGCACAAGAGCCTGCTCATTTTTCTCGCTGTCAGTAGAAGGCCAACCGGCAGGATTGCCGGTGTAAAGCTGCTCGTACTTGCGCCGCTCGTTGTTGAGACTACGCTGCAGGTCTTGCGCCCATTTAGCAAGTCGCACTTGTCGGAATGGCTCATTTGGCTGCTGAGCTTGGGTCTGCTCGTTATATCGTGCTAGGGCTTGTGTGGAAGCGCCTGTACCCTGCCCAAATTGTCCAGAGAAATCAGAGATGGCCGGTGAGGCTGATCTGTAGTAACTTGACGAGGAATGCGGCACGAGGACCTTGCTAGGCTCGTCCAGAAGACTGCCTGTGCTAGTAACACGGCTGTGGTAGCCAAGCTGTGGCGACTGCAACAGCATTTGCTTTTCCAAGTCGATGTGTTCGACTCCGTGTTGCTGCCGCCAGAGAATGAACTTTGTCGCTGAGGTATGTCGCATGCGGGCGATATTGGAGGGCTTTAGTAAACTGTCTGCGAAAAAGCCGAGGTCGCTGGGAATCAGTGGCTGCAAATATTGTGATGACATGAGAACACTGGCATCCACTTCTTCAGCGTCGTCGCCCGTCGCAACCGAGACTCCGAGCGGATAAGTCTGAGCAGTCTCGCCAATTGGTGACTCTGCCAGCTCGAAACGTGGTATCTGAAGCTGCTCTAATGTTTGGGCCACCTCAAGTTTCCTGCTGGCTAGCGCATCTGCTGACAAAGTGTCTGCTTGTGCGATCAGAGGTATTAGATTTGTCCACTTGCCAAAATATTGTAGCATCTCCTCGTGGGCAGCACTCAGATCTGCAGAGTCATCGTTGTTCTGTGGCGCCACCGGCTCGAATAGGTATACTACAGCGTCGAGCTGGATTCCGCCGTCGCCACTAAGCAGACTGACGAGCTCACTATCGCTCATGCTTTCCAGGTGTGCCGCGCGGCGAAGCGTCAGCCTGACGTGGTTCAAGACCTGCTGTATCTGGTCATCGCTCTCAAGTCCCGGCGTATCGATGAAAGTGAGATTTCGCTCGAGGACAGCTTCTCCGAGGCTCATCCTGCGATGATGCAGGTGTCGACTCTCAATATTCGTCCACCAAGACGGATATGGTCGCGTTGAAGCTCCAATTTCGTTGAACATGGTGGTGGGCATATAATGTGAGCTCGCCGTGGCAAAGGATGACTGACTGGGAACGCTAGGTGTGACCTGATCCATGTGCACTATATGTTCACTGGATCTGAACAGGCCGTGTATGAAGCTCGTCTTGCCAACCCGTTTCGGGCCAACAACCATGATTTTCGCTCTGCCGATACGTCTGCCTTGCTCTGTGAAGGGTCGCCGCACTGGCATGGATAAACTTGGCATAACAAGCTGCGGCGTCCGTTCGACATCGTGAAGATGTTCGTCGTCGCTACTGGAAGAGCAGATGGCAATGTCATCCATTACGCTAATCTCTTCATCACTCAGCCTGAAGGACTTTGGAGACCCCGATCGAGGTGTGCTTGGAGATACTGCTCCGCGGTGCGGGCTCAGCTTCATCGGCGTCAGTGGGGCACTCATGTTGGCCGATGTACCAGAGAGTCTCCTGAACAGTAGGTTCTTGGAAGAGGGAGAGTCTAAGACGGTTGGCGATACGACGGAAGAGGTTCGATCATGAGATATCAGTCGCTGGCCAGTTGCGAGAATCGTGGGGTGCACACGATTGCCCGACTTGCGCTTCTTGCCACGTGCAGGCGACAGTTCGCCATGGGAGTCAGACGACTGCGCACTGCTGTTGCTGTTTGTCCTCGACAGAGTGTTTGCCTCATTCATGGCCTCGTCTAGGCTCTGAATGCCGCACGAGCTGTCTGCCATGCTGTCTACAGAGGTCTGCCGCTGGTCTTCGGCTGACACTACAGTGCCTCTTGCCTTCTTACGTCCTCTCTGGGCGACTGTGTCCACGAGCTCCTTCTCCGTCTTCAGAAGGAAGGTCGTGGGTCCTAGCGATCTCCCTGGGACCGGAGGTCTAGTACTCTTCTTCGCCTTTGCGACTCCTAGATCAGCGCTTTGTGCCGAGTTCATCGCAGCTGCCACCGGTAATACGAGGTAGGGACATGCGGTCTTCCACTGCCGTGTCGCTGGTCAGCTCAGCTCAGCGTGCACTGCGGTGGTCTTTCGAGCGATTGCCTCTGGACAACGGCGTCTGAAACAACGTGTGGTGGAGTATGGTTCGACGGGACGCTGCGGGCGCGGTAGGATCGTCGTGGGGACTGTCTTCGTTGCGGAGAGATGTCGTGGTCGTCAGTACGGTAACGGCAAGGCAAGGTTAAGGCAAGGCAACAGAGGCGCCGAGCTTCCTCCCTCCAATCAATGGGAAATGGTCACGCGCTGATGACTTGTCATGAGATGTTCAGGCACACCCTGGCAGTAATTCACTCTGCCCGCGTTGCTGGTGGCCACTGCAATCAATGTAGGATATTAAACACGTCGCTCCATCATGCGTGAAGTCTGTATCCAGGCAACAGGCAGCTCGTATTCGTGCCTCGGACGGTGAGCGACGGAGCGTATCGGTGTCGATAAGCGCTCGTCGCCCAAAGGTCCCGGGATCTACAGCGGGGCTATAGTACCTAGTTCTAGGCTTTATTGAAGATAACAACGACAGGAGCGAGCAGGTATACCGTATCGCTGGACGACCGTATGACTTGACTACCAGTCTATCACCCCATCTACTGAGTCCAGCATACCACCTATTTAGTTACTCCGTGTATTACCATAAGACCACGTCATTTGCATAGCAGATCTACATCATTTTTGGAAGAGAATGAAAGGGCTGCAACCACATTGGGTTATCGCAAGTCCCATGTGATCCCGTTTGAACTGCCGGAAACCATTAGCAACAGATTACAGCCTTACAGGTACCTGTACTCGTTGACATTTATAGAATGATGAGGAGGAGCGATGCGTCCTTCAAGTCACTTCTGTGGGTTATCTGATTTTCTGCCAAGCTCCAAGAACTTACAGTAAAACATCACCTTATTTATCATCATGCTGCCTGGGTACATGTGTCCAGTAATAGCTGGGTACCTACCTAGGTGAATTGCAGCTGAGCATTACCTACAGCCCCAATAGCCTGTAGGAAGCTGGAAAGGGTGAATAATTCCATACCATACATCGATTCTCTGCTCTATGAAGGTCCTACCTCCTACCTTCGTCGCACCACGTCACAAGTCCACAAGTCGAAATAGGAGGAAAAAAGAAGTCCCTCTACCTCCTAGGGGCCGGAGCTGAAGTGGAGTGTTTTGATCAGGTGTCGGCGGGAGTAGAGAGAAAGAGAATGTAAGTAGAATGTCCCGGAAGATACTACCGGTCGATCGAAAACCATGTCTTGCTCGGACCTTGGTGTGAACATTCCTGCTTTGTATAAGGTACGCAGAGTGGACTCCAGGTGGTCAATGGCGTCCTCGATTGTCCGGCCGAATGGTGTTACTTTTGGCTTGCTCTGTTTGTGCTACTTGACTCCCAAAGCATACAGGGGACAAAACTCCGGTACCGTAAGTGGGAGCCTGTAGACCACCATCAATCACGAATGTAATATCACCTCACATGCAACTCTTTATCTCAAGCACGTGGAAGTGTCCCATCGAACTGTAAAGAACTGATGTATCCCAGGAGCTGAGGAGCTCTCACCACATGTAAGGTAATCATGTATCTCCGTGATGCAGTACCTCTAGGTTTCAACGTGTGCATCATTCGTGGCGCCCCAGCCATGTCATTCCACACGTGGCGATGGCGCGAGCTGGAGCGCATGATTTGCTGAGAGAAGGGTTCTCGGTCCGTTGATGATGGTACCTAATTCGGTGGTTACAGGTACCTACCTCCTAGGTAAATGGGACCATGGGAAGGCATATCCCTGAGCGTGCCTACTGCAGTACACTGTATAAGGTCGGTTGCGGTACACACGATGGGTATGCAATCGGGTCCCTGAAGCAGGTGAGCAAAGGCGGGCGGCAACCATTGTCATCTTGTCGCACACCGCCCCTCTGTTCCACATTGCCTCACCAGACAACTGTCACCAACCACCCAGTTGTTTTTGTAGGTGGCCAGAGGACTCTACCTCTCTCCTGGGAGACTTCGGAGTCCTCGCCGCCGGATATCGAGAGACGAGAGCCACGGTGCAGACAGTGAGACTAAGAACGCCTTAGTACCTGACTCAAACCGTCCACTCTCTCTCGCTCTCCAGACACCTGCCTCTCTCTCTTCTTCGGCATTTTCCTGCTTCCTTGCCTCCTCCTCCTACATGTACTCGCCTTGCTGCTGCTCTTCTCTTCCGCTTCCCCAGTGACTAAGGTACCGACTTCCCTAGGCACGCATTGACGCTGTGCTCCGCCCTCTCGACCCAGCGGTGCCACTCCAGACGCAGAGCATCCCGGTTTCAGCAGCTTGTCTCACTTGCCTCGAACGAGCACATATTCCGAGCCGTCAACAAGTGTTCCTGCTTGCACGCGCGCTTTTCCCAGGCTCCTGTAAGCATTGTCACCTCTTTCTTTCTTGTTGCTTTCTTTCTGTCCCGTCACTCGTCCGGCGTTCGCAGCGAGCGCAGTGTTACCCCGGCACCGCAAAGATAAAGAGGCTGCTATAGTTCGCCACGTTTCCGGCAGCCCACCCTCCACGTGTTGAAAGGGAAGCTTTGCCTGACCCGGACCGCATGCAGATTACCACGAGGAAGCCATATCCGATCCTCGATTTCTTCCCAATCAGGCGAGACACCCAACCGCCATAGCAATCACAATGGTATGCCACCGGGCGCAACGCCACGACCCTAGTCCCACCCGCGTGGCAAGGGTGTGCGTATGACTGCTAAAAAGACGATGTATATCTGACCATGGGTGCCCCCAGACCCGCGCCGACGCTCGGTTCAGCAGCATCAGCACCTACTCTGGTGCGCCCTCCCTCCAGCCGTCCATTGCTCCCACGCACGACTCGAGTTCGCACCGCTCCTCTTCTCAGTCTCACCAGTACACCAACTCGCGCTTCAGCGAGCAGACCTTCCTCATGCCTGCGACTATACCGGAAAAGGGCCGTTCGCTCTACAGCAGCAGCAGGAGCGACAGCAGCTCCACCCTAACGCTCTCCTCCACCGACCCTAGGACGGCCGACATCAAGATCTTTGCCAACTGCCTCGACCGCATGAGCGACGAGCGCCTGGCGGACAAACAGCGCTATCGCATGAGCACCAACAAGTCAGAGGACATGGGCAAGATTGCGCTGGGCGCGAGATTGGAGCGCGCGCTCTCACGAAGAATGGTGGGACAAGACGCGATCCTGAAGCCTAAGAAGTCGGCAACTTTACCACCGGACGAGAAGCGCGCATTGGAAGTAGAGGTCAACTAGAAAGTTTTTGCGGTCTCCGACGTTACGACAGCACAACACAGCTTGAGTAGAAACTTGACCAGCAAAGCGGCATACGACTACATGCATCTCCTTTTCACCTTACAGGACCCTGGCTGAGGATGATAGCGTCGGAGAAAAGAAATGGGAAGAGGGAGTTTTCTTTGGAGTTGAGAAGTATGTGTTGCTTCCAGGTTTCTTGGGTTCTGGTGTTTTTTTCGAAAAACACGGCGGCGGTTGCATGATTACTTTTGGTTGGGGGCTGGAACAGGGCTTGTTTTTTGGAACTTCGAAATTGCTTGCTTGCTTGCAACCTAACGACGACGATTTTGGAATTTTGTTTTTTGGCTTGCGAACATACCCTATGTTGACTACCTACCTTACTGTTGTTTTGTTTTTCAGTACCTGGCAGTTATCTTTCTACTTACTAGAAGCAGACTTACCCTGCGGCTGAAACAGAACGAAGAATTGAAAGCTGCTTTCAGCACATTTTTGATTCTTGATGATGAGGAGCAAGCAAGGTTATGTGCGCTACATGTACTTGATCAGGATATACCAATGCGTCCGCCGACCGCTGACATGCAGTGTATGGAGCAGAGTAGATTATACCTTTAGTACCTACAGGTAGTTGTATGATGGCACAGGCACACGAAGTCCACTACCTATGTGGAGAATGGAGACAGACCTCGGGAGCCCAATCACTTGGTATTTACCTACATGTAAGTCAACATCGAGTATATGTAAAGCCGTTGTTCAATAAGCTAGCCTCATATACATCAAGTGAAGATTGTACAAATGTGCAAGCAAGCGAAACAACGACATCCCGGGCAGAAATGGTGATGGATACAGGTATGGCCTCGGAACCATGCTGACGCATATACCTATCTTCTAAGCTTCGCGCTTGTTATCTGGTACTGGGAGGTAGGCCTTTCTTCTGACAGCACACGCAGCCTTTTTAGCTCCCTCTTGTCCAATTGCAACAACAAAACAAATCTCTTTGCCCAATATCACCCAGTACGTAGCTCAGGAAGCCAGTTTTTCCTGTTTTTCTCGCTCATGCTGACTGACTGACTGACTGTGCAGTATTCGATCTTGCTCCTGTGGTCAAACCCTTTTTTTTGCTTCGAACTGCGGACGTGTACCTAGGTAGGTATTTTGCAGCTTACCTGACTGTCCAATTTCTCAAGCATTTGCTGATCATCCAAAGAAAGAAATCACATCTAGGTTAATGCAACCAGCAAAAGCAAACTCACGGCATGCTCCATCGATTGTCTATCTCATGGCAACCTAGCCAGTCTTGAGGCAGGGTCAGGTCCTGCACTTCCAAGAGTATGTTGTTTTGCATGTCGACCACTGCTTGACGATTGAAGCTACGCTGGCGACCTCGGTGCAGCGAATATGGCACGAATGTCCTCGTCGTATCGATGTTTGTCTTGGATCTTTGCAGCGATGAATTCCTCATAGTTCTCGCCCCACAGCTTCAGAAGTGACTCACCCTCGACATCAGGGTCGAACTTGGCGAAGAAGCGTGGTTGGATGTTGTGTTCAAAAATGAGTGGGAAGCCGTTGCTACTGCGCAACGCGTCGTTGTACCATATTTTCCCTGTCTGCCAGTCCTCTCGGAATCGTCTGCTTATACGATGGTCAACTTTCCGGGCTGCTTCCTCCTCTTCGAAAATGTCAACAAAGGCATCGTAGAGTCCTTTGTATTCTTCGAGAGCAGGTCCGACAAGCTCATCGATGCTTTTGTTACTCAGCCAGTGTGGAACATTCACCATCTGTTGTGGCTGAACTGGTGCAAATTCCAGATCGATGACGCCTACGATATTCCAGTCGTCGTCGACGAAAATATTGCTCTGATGCAAGTCGGGCAACGTGAGGACGAAGGCATCATCTCGTACATCTTGCTTCCAAAAGACGGGAAGCAGAGCTCTGAGCGCCACCAATGCCGAAAGTTGGAAAACACCGTCCGGTCTCCCGAGGATAGAGTTGGGCTGGAAGCGTAATCGATGGTCTTGGTAAGCCAGCATGTCTGAGACGAAGGGCTCTGCAGAGCTATATGTCAAGTCCTAGAGTGGTAAATGAGTCAGTACATTTAGATGAGATCGGGAGGTAGCACAAACCCGAGGTATGCCAGTCGGAATCTTATGCCTGTTCCAGAGCATCGTGAGATCCAGAAGCGGGCGATTTGTCAAGGAGATGGTCCCGCGTCTTTCGAGTCTCCAAGAGCCAATCCGAGGAAGTGGAACATTCGCAAGGTCAAGGAGAATGTTGGAGAGGCCGCGATATAGGTTATCACGACGAGCTCGATCTTCACGGTGCTGTTGCCAGGTCGAAGACAATGGGTCGCCATCCATAACATATTCCAAAAGCAGGTATCCGAGGTCAGAAAGGCTGTCTCTTCTTTCATGGCGAAAATAGGGCACCAGAGCGTCGCCTCGGAACCACATCCAACAGCGCTGAAACTGCCAGACTAGTTGGTGCCACAGAGACTCATGCTCGATAGCTGTGTACTATACGCCGCAAGCTGTTAAAAAAACCCGAATTGAACAAAAAGAGAAAAAGTTCTCAACATACCGACTCTGCGGCAGGAAACCCGACAGCAAGCAAGCGAGGAACAGGGATCGTAGGGCAGTACTTCTGGAGCCAGATGTACGTGCCGGCCTCGCATCTGAGCTTTTCTTCCACATTGCCAGGGCTGAACTCCTCACCACATCTGAAGGGCAGTGGAAATCGGAGAATGGCTTGCCGAGGAAGGGTTGATGTTCGACGAGTACTCTTGATGTCAATGGGCAAACAGAGGTTGAATGAGCCCCACACCCAATTTTCCTGGCTCAGCAGCACAAATTCAGCCGGCGGAATGCCCAGATGGCGAGAAATGAGATGTTCGAGCTGAGTGCGATGAGACTCCAGAGTTTGGCAAAACTCACGTGTCTTTGCAAAGGCAGTCAGGGTCGGAATCATATCCCAATCGTCATCCAAGGCTTGCTCCTCTGTCACAGGTTCTTTCCATTTCGAGATTCGAATTGCGGGATGGGCCATCTGGAAGAGCTGTGCATCTATTGTTGGATTTGATTGTTGGATCAACGAGGGAATGTCTGAGGAGGAAGAGAGGGAAGTATGGGCTTATCAATGGGGCCGTGTATATTCCTGTCCTATTTTTCCTGTCATATTTCCATCAGATTCGTATATTCCAGATGGTCTTCGGGGACTCGACTGCTGACATTGATGATGGTGCAGCTCTGTATAATAGAGAAAGCGCGTTGATACGACTGTTGTTGTGTGTCCTGCAGCTTCACGCCAAGAGGCTCCTCGACTCGAGGCATGAGAGTGGGACTGTTTGTAGGAAGAAGATGTGCCGGTGATTGAGAACCATATGAGCACGTCTACGACGATGTGGGTCTAGATTAAGGATAGGGTTGTCTCGAACAAGGATGGTGGGCCTGGGACTGAAGCAGAGTTGTGATACTGCGATGACATGACATGACAGCGTGAGCCAGCGGTGCAAGTGGAACGTTGTGAGAAAATGAGCACACAAGAGGTTCCGGGATTTCCATATTGACAGTTCCCTTCTCTGTACAATTCCGCCTACTTAGTTCCACCTAGGTAGTTTCCAAGCTCCACGAGCACCCAACTGCTGCTCCTCGATGACCTTCACTTCCACCCATCGCACACGCTTGTCCTTCTTTCCCTCGCTCTGTCTACGACGAGCTGAATTGGATCTCTCCCGCAAGAATCACGGGGTCCTTGTCGCTGAAGTTGGAGACGTCTCCCAACACTTCCTTGGCCGCTGGTGAAGATGCCGCTGTCTGGAAAGATTTCAAGTCCTTCCATTCCAATGTAGCTTGCACGCAATAAGCTGCATCACTGGGGAACGACATGACCTTCCAGCTCGTCAAGCCGAATGGGCCCCACTTCTCTTGTACCAAAGGCATGTGTTTGGCCTTGTAGTATTCCATGTCGAACTTGGCGCCCTGAGGGTAGACGACGGTTACGGTTGCCGCAGACATGTTTCGTTGTGATGTTCGGTGGTGTGGATGAGGAGATCGCAAAGGTGAGGTAGGTAGGAGTTACGTGTAGCTGCGAGCATGGTCAGCTTGGGGGAAACGCTGTCCTGCCTCGAATAGCTATGTGGCAGCAGGAGGGCGAGCATACTGGATGTGTTGTGTGATTCCAGCGTTGCACGTGTTCTTCCAATGGGTAATCAGTGCTCCGGGAGGAATATTCTCATGGAGCACGAGGACCTGTCTGGTTATGTATTATGCGTTGCACATCACGGTACATGTGCTTGGTGAGCATGCCCCGCACACGTATTGCGTTGCAAAAGGTGGGGTTGCGTCTGGGGGGTTCCTTCCTCTCCGCCATGCCAAGTTGCCAACCATGGTGGCATGGTGAATGCCCCTTGACAGCGCCATATGCCCGAGCGGCCACCATATGGATTAACGTATTGGAGCCTCGACTTGACAATGATGATGGGACGGGATGGTTCGCCCGGAGCTCAATCCATCCATCAATCAATCAGCTACGATCCTCCGTGGAATCTGCGGCTATCGATGAGTTGGGAACGTCAACGCAGACAAATCACGTGCGTGGGATTGCGAGGGATGGTTATTGCTGGGCATTCTTGGTCTTGTAGAATCAACTCAATCAAGAGCATATCAGGCCGAGGTGATGATGCTGGAGCGGTTTATATACCTGACGGTCCTGACCTAAGATACCAACAGAGCACGTGAGTCGATGGTTGTTGCCTGAGGGCCTTAGGTTGAGGAATGGTTGCCAAGACTGTCTACCGAGGTCTAGACAGAGTCCATTCATCGCCATACAAGAATATCATATCAGTGATATTACATGCATGTTGAGGTTGATCCTGTTCATCCTGTTCACTTTGGTTTCCAGCATTGAAAGTCGTGCTTCCTCCAATTCTAGTCCCGTGGAGTCTCGCCGTTCATCATGTGCTTCCACTTGTATGTAGGAGGTATCGTCCTTAGCGAGGTCGACGGCCTTTGACGCCACCTCGTTCTTCGGTACGCCATATACGGGTAGGCCGCATAGCGCCCAGACTCACCGGGATCTTGCTACAGCCCAGGCCAGGCCCGCCGCCCGGACAAGGCGAGCCCAAGCCCCAAGGTGTGAGGTAGCCCGTAGGCTTGACACACACAAGCATCGCCAAAATTCACGCACTTCTGGAACTCCACTCCACCACTTCCACAACCCTCCCAGCGCCCTGATCACTTCTGCATCGAGTCCATATGTATTCCTCGTGCACGCAGCCACGCCGCCACGAAGATGACGGCGCGCACAACCAGCACCCCGTAGATACGCCGTCCCACAGCACTGCGACATGCACCGCTGAAAGAGCACAGAAATCTTCATGACATACGCGAAGCCCGCGCGAGAGTTCGCCCGAGCACTCCACTCAACCAACTCTCAGCTTCCATCATCCTTCGATCGCCTCTCAGCCAATTCCAAGCCGCGTACGGCACACCATCAGCGGCCCTGATTGCGGAAGGCGGCAAGCACGACTTCGAAGATCCATGCGGCCAAGTCATGATGTAGACCTCTGTGGCCCGGGTTACGTTGCCTTACGTCCTTACCTGCGCCTGCCCTGCGGATACTACCGATCGTTTTTGACGTAGCCCCGTGTGCATTTTTCCATTATCTACATGTACCTCTTGCGATCTACGTTCCCTCTCTCAGTCTCTCCCGTCCCTTCATTCCACCGACGTCCAGACCCAGTGTCACCAAAACAGCGCTCGACAGAGTGTTAGCATCGTTACTCCACCCGGACCGTAAATGCTACTGTTCGTTGATACCTTTTTCCACCAATTCTGCGGGTCTTGCGAGTCCGACTCCGACTAAATCTAAGCCATGGCCGTCTTGAACACAAACACGGCTGAAAAGCACTACGACGTGAAGCATGGCTTGGATGATGACGGATCAGGTAGCGGCTTTGCTCCCTCGCCAGATGCCGCAGAAACTGGTGGACGCAGGAAGGATTTTACCAAGATGAACCGCATCGACAAACCCTGGACCACCTCGATCACGGGCTCTGCTGCGGGAGGCGACATGACCGACAGCACGTCCGAGGATTTCAGCATCGAGAAGCAGATGGAGGCGGAAGAGGGCAATGCCATTCAGTACCGGACTTGCACGTGGCAGAAGGTGTGATTTACTTCGCTTGTGGCTTCTCGGTCCTCATGCCGCAACTTACTGAAGATGGTCGCGAGAGTACGCAAAGCTCAGCGCTAATCTTCTATGCAGACTGCGGCGCTGCTCTTCTCCGAGTATATCTGTCTTGCTATTATGAGTTTCCCATATTCGTACGCAACACTGGGCCTCGTGCCGGGCTTGATCCTGACCGTCGTCGTTGCCGCCATGGTCCTCTATACTAGCTTGATTGTTTGGTACGCACATACCATCCCAGTTGGCTCGCTGGCTCTCGCTGACATCACATTAGGGAGTTCTGTTTACGCCATCCCGAAGTCAAGGATGTCTGTGATATTGGGCAGATGCTGTTCTGGGGCAAGAAGTGGGCGTGGTGGTTCACCGCGATCATGTTCCTCCTCAATAACACATTCATCCAAGGCTTCCATTGCCTCACTGGCGCAAAATACCTCAACACCATGACTAATGGTAACAGCGGCGTCTGTACCATTGTGTTTTCTGCAATTGTGGCCATTGCTTCCTGGGTGTGTTCTTTGCCACGGACATTCGAAACACTTTCGACTCTTGCGGGTTTCTCGGCTCTATTTACATTCATTTCGGTTATCCTTGCAACAATCTTCGCTGGTATCGAAGATCACCCTGGAGCAGGCTGGCCATCTTTGGGCGCACCCACAGTATATGCTGTTACGCCAAGTACAGTCACGTTCGTGGCTGGCATGAACGCTTTCATGAACATCAGCTACACCTTCATCGGCCAGATCACTCTGCCATCGTTCATCGCAGAGATGAAGAACCCTCGGGATTTCCCCAAGGCACTGTGGGCTGTGACCATCGCAGAGATTATTCTCTTCTCTCTGGTTGGATCCATCATCTATGCTTACACGGGCACGAATTACAACACCTCACCAGCATTTGGCTCGCTTGGCAACGAAGTCTACAAGAAGGTCAGCTTCAGCTTCATGATTCCGACAATCATCTTCTTGGGAGTGCTCTATGCCTCAGTCAGCGCGCGTTTCGTCTTCTTCCGCTTGTACGCCGGCAGTCGCCATATGACAAGTAATACTGTCGCGGGCTGGGCTGGATGGGCAGCAATCCTCGCCGTGACATGGGTGTTCGCCTTTATCATCGCTGAGGTTATCCCGTTCTTCAGCGATCTATTGTCTCTCATGAGCTCGCTGTTTGATAGCTTCTTCGGCTTCATATTCTGGGGCACGGCTTATCTCAGAATGAGACATGCAGACTATGGCCCAGGCTTCTGGAAAGGAAGAGGTTTCCGCGGATGGGTTGGCTTCGTTCTCAACGTATTCCTCATTGCGGTCGGCTTTCTCTTCCTCAGTGCTGGCACATATGCGAGCGTCGAGAGTATCAAGCAGGGATATGCGTCTAACAACTTCGGAGGCCCTTTCTCGTGTGCGCCCAACGGGGTATGAGGAGATGGTCTACAGTACATGGCTCTCCCAGATTTACGAGTTATGAACACAGCAACACATTTATATATACGACGGAGTCTTCGGAACTCGACAACGAGCTATACAATTTGTTGTCCTAGACAGTATTCAGTGACTTCCCTTTCCCTAGAGCGCTGAGACCCATGCCATCTGACGTAAGGCAGAGCTACCTGCATTAGCTTGTGAGCTTTCTGAGCTATATTGTACCTTCCCCTCAACCGCTGTTCTATTTTGGCTGAATAACTTCTTCTGTGTCGAGAACAAACATCTAACAATGGCACCCGTCTCAGCGTCCTTTTGGGACTCAATCGACTTGAACCAGCCAACATTCTGGAGTGAGGCTCCCCACCACCACCACCACTTATCCACAAAAAAGGTGAAAAACAGCTCCCAAGGCTAATAACCTACCCACTACAGTTTCCGCCGCCTCCATCATCTTCAACCCCACTTTCTGGAATCTGGCAGCACGAAGCGAATACCGCAACAAAACGATCACGAAACTCGCCGGCGGCAAACCCCTCTATGGCTGCTACGCCCTCGCCGTCACCATCTTCTCGATCGGCATCATCCGCGACGCCCTCTACGAACGAGCTCTCCGCAATCAACCCTCTCACCCACTGCTTGAAGGTTTCCTACCTCAAGCGTTCGCCGTGGGCCTCGTAGCGAGCGGCAATGTTCTCGTGTTGACGAGTATGTGGGCTTTGGGGATCACGGGGACATATTTGGGAGATTATTTTGGAATTCTGATGGATGAGATTGTCACAGGGTTTCCCTTCAATGTCAGTGGGAGCCCGATGTACTATGGGAGTACGATGAGTTTTGTGGGGACGGCGTTGTGGTTTGGGAAACCTGCCGGGTTGGTGTTGAGTGCGTTGGTTTTGGTGGTGTATCAGATTGCGTTGAGGTTTGAAGATCCGTTCACCGCGGAGATTTATAAGAAGAGGGAGAGGGAGCAGAAGAAGAAGGGATAGGTGGGTAGCGAGACGAGGTGGATGAGGCGAGGGAGTGAGGTGAAGACGTCGGAGGGAGAGAGAGAGAGAAAAATGCCGAGGATTGAAAGCAAGAAAGATGAGATACCCCTTGAGCATTCGAAAGCTCGATTCAACATGAGCGATGGCGTTTGGCGTGTATAGAAGAAAGAAGTTAAAAGCAAGATGATGCATAGGTAACCACAGCTGTTGAAATCGAAGGCACGCATTTTTACCTTCTATTTCGATGATCGGTATTTTGCACTCGACCCACCCACAGATTTCCCAGCACCCGGAAGCCTGCCTCTAGCGTATTGCACGAAGCCAACGCGCGAGCCTGGCTACACTTGAGAATACCCAGACTTTGGGCCAAATGCGAGCTCCAGGCTTCCTAACCAGGTTTGCATAGACCTCCTCAAACTGTATAGGTAGCTTGCTGGATTGGTGGCCATCAATTTGCGCGCGCTTTGGGCATTCTTCTCGACCGTATCCGAAAAGTCCAGAGTACATGTAGCCCGCAATGGACCAATGTCGACGTGATTCTTGGCGGCATATTTGCCATGTTCATGATGATACCTTACTGAACTTCCATACCCAAGAGGACCACAGTAGGTAGGTACATGTACTGTACCCACCTAGTGTAAGGTAGTCATCTTGGATATAGGTACAGGGTAAGGTAAGGTACCTATCTTAAGAGATAGGTATAAAAAAATCACTTGATGCAAAGACCCATGGTCTCATTCAACTTGCGAATCGTTTCGTCAAAATCCGTATATGCGGATCGGCGCAAAAGAAGATCTTCTTTTTTCCTGTGAGAAAAATCTTGGGTAAGAATGATGATGATACGCGGTATTCGTTGATAGATTTGACACTGTCTTGAAAGGGGAATGATGAATGATGAATGATGAATGATGAATAAACCAGTAGACGGCAACACATGGAAGTAAGGTAACATGTACGTACACTGGACTCATACCATCCCCAGAGGAGGGACTTCTCGACCACCAGACATGCATGCAATTTTTCACAATGCGATGCTCTAAACCTCGATACTTGGCTGCATTATCGAGGAATTCCAACGTGCGAGAGATTTCTGCGGGTTGGAAGTGTTGTTGTGGGCTGGAGTTGCGAAAGGCGGCGCGGATGCGATCTCGGGCAATGTAGCGTGCGGGTTTGGAGTATTTGACGGCGCGGAGGAGATGTTGGTAAAGATGGCGATAGGCGAGGAGGATGGTGGATTTGGGAACTGGTTCCATTTTTCTTTTTGTTGTTTATGAAGTTGAAGTGATATGTCAATGTACAGTAGGTACTACTAGTAGTAATGGAGTTGTGATAGTTCCTTCGCTTGGACGATGGCCAATCAGTTGACACAGAAGCTGTATACCAGGAGAACCAAATGCCATCCATCCATCTCCCTCCTCCTCCTCCTCCAACAACAACATCAATCTCTCTTCTTCAGCAGCCGATGCTGCGCAGATGTCCATTGGCCGTGTCACGAGCACAATGTAGGCGCCATTATTCCGCCCCCATCAACCAGCCTCGACCAGTACGCGAATTGCCCGATGCCTCGCTCGAGACGTTTCAACATCTTGCCTTCGAACCCGCCATACCTGCTCTATTCCCTCGCAAGCAATTTTGTAGCCTCCCCGCCGTGAGCAAGTGGTTTCTGAGAAGCTCCAAGCACGGCCATGTCGTCCTCGATACCACATATCTGTCCAGATTCGGCGATGCGGTTGTACCGCTGGAGATCTCGAATGATGACGGCCAGTTTGCCAGAGTAGAGCAGTCTCTGAGCTTCTTTCTCGAGTGCGTCAAGGCTTCGCTCCTTCTCAGCATATGTCCCTAATGCGAGAATGGTCGCGAAACGAGTGAACGACTCTAACGACTTCTTTACCAGCATCCCGAACTTTACGAAGCCAACCGCCCGCGTCTATCTTGCGCAGGCCTCACTTGACGACTTTCCTAGAGCTTTAGCTGACGATGTCCCTACGCCCGAGGCTGTTCTACGTGCTGGCAAGGGAGACGTCTACGGCGCTTCTCTCTGGATCGGCCAGGCCCCGACTTACACACCTCTGCATCGCGATCCAAACCCCAACGTATTTGTACAGCTCGCTGGAAGGAAAGCAGTGAGGATATTCGAGCCACATGTTGGGCGCGGCATATTTGCCAAAGTGCAAGAGCAAATCGGCGCGACCGCCTCCCCAACGATGCGCGGCGAAGAGATGATGCAGGGCGAAGAGAAGGAGGCTTTGGACAGAGAAGTTTGGGAATCTGCTGCACATATAGGTGACTGTTACGAAGCTGAGCTCGATAGTGGCGATGGCCTCTTTATCCCCAAAGGATACTGGCACAGCGTGAAAGGTGTTGGCGAGGGCATGATAGGATCCGTGAGCAGCGCACGACATCGCCTATGCTGCTTCAATACTGACGAATTGCGTAGGTCAACTGGTGGTTCAGGTAGTGTTCAAGAGTACCTAGGTATCGAGAGATACCCAAGACAGCCCGCTTTTGCGTTGCAGAGAGGTACGCGCAAACGTGCAACTTGAGGTCATAGTGGTTGCATCTTCCCGACGTACACTGGTGCCGCTCTAGGTACGTCTCGGGCTGAGCGACCTGTTGATTGCGCCATTGCGTTGCGCAACAGGATCGATCACGAATTCTGCAAAAGCACTTGCATCGAAGGATGATGGATGACCCGGTGTGCATGCACATACAGTCGCACGTACGAGTACCTACCTGTTTCTCGCAGCCCACTCAGCAGACTTTGCAGCTTCGTCCTGTAATCTCGCATCGAAGGATCTCTGTGGACGTTGAGTGGCCGCTGCTGAACTCATGCCCTCGTGCGCAGAAGGCGACACCGTATCTGATGATGCTCCGGTGTGCTCGCTCCCTGCAACATTAGGCGTTCAGCCCGCTTGGCAAAAACGCCAGCACAACTCGCACAAGGCTGCCGATCGAAGTAGCACTGCACGCGACGTAGCAAAGCAAGGCCGACACCCGTCAAATAGGTCTGAAACCGATACAGATCTCCAGCAGCGTTTGGGCATTTGAAGGCCTACATAACCAAGCTGGTATTGCGCCGAAATTCAAGACTCCCAAATGCTTCTGCCAGATCAGCGAACCGTCTGTGAGCCGGATCATTAATGGAGGCTTGCGTTCTGAGAGAGAGCGAGCTGACAAGGCAGCTTACTCCTTCCTTTCGGCACAAATTCTTCTGGACAGTACCATGCCAGCCATGTGTTGTACGGTACTTAAATACTTTCACTAGGTCTTGAAATATTCGTGGCTCAGGCGATCTGCACTCGTACGTGAGGTCAGTAGTAAGCTCACTGAACATTTCATTGACTGTCCGCGTCCATTTTGTTTTTCTCCCTACACTCTTGTTCAGGCACAACAGCTTCCTGCATACCACCAACGATTCAGGCCTGATGAGTGAAACACCTGTCATGTCCTGTCCTAGCGGCGGAACATTCTATGCTTGTGGTGATGGTAGCAAATTCACGTACGCCAGCACGCAGTACACGCATTTCGATTTCACGCCCACTCAATCACTGATGACAATACAGAGGATGCTGCGGCAGTAATCCATGTACAGTAGGCTGTCCCGCTGGCTGGCTTGAACCCACAAGTTTCGATACATCACAATATGGCGTCTTTGCCGATCAACAATGCTCCACGGGTCTTTTCTACACATGTAACTTTACCTCGCCGCCCTTCTGGGGCTGCTGTTCAAGTTCGGCTTGTGCGAGCACGAGTGGTTGCGCCTCGACATCGCTGGCCGGAGCGTTCCTTACATCCAATGCGGCACTTGCAGAACCTTTCCTATCTCTGAATACGACTTGGAAATCGAGCGACACGGGTGGCACGAACGGGACAGCTTCGAGCGGGGACAACACAGATTCCACTCACCATGGGCCGAATATTGGGGCTCTGGCTGGTGGAGTGGTGGGCGGTATCGTCGGATTAGCTATCATCGTTTTTGCTCTCCTGTGGCTCCATCGTCGTCGAAGGAAGCAAAAGATGGCAGCTGCCGCCGCCGCCGCTGCTGCTGCCGACGCCGAGGATCGCGCAGAAGCTTGGAACAAGCCTCAAATACAAGAACTCTCGCACGATGCAAGCACAGCTGTGGGATTGAAGGAGCTACCAAGTATGTATATTGTTCTCCATTCAAAATATCGTCCAGACTTCAGATGTACTGACCACTCCCTTGCTGCAGCAAACTGGCCATCAGCGTTGCTGCCTACTACGCCTTCATACAACAACTCTCCGGAGTTTCAGAATGGTGAATGGTCGCCTCAGCCGCCGAGTTACCTCACCAATGAGCCACGAGCGAAATCACAGCATATATCTCATGAGCTTCCCGGCAGTCAGGCCGGCGTGGAGATGGATACGCCGGTTGAACGAGTATCGACAGAGAGGAAATCATTGAATGGTTCGACGAATTCCGGAAGCTGAAGTGTTCTAGTGAGGTAGCAAAAAACAAAAGCTGCAAGGCTGTAGTGAGGTTGTTTAGAGTTGATGGCGACTGAAACATGCTTTTTCTACCATGTCAGTTTTTGCGTGTGAGAAGCTTGCAGCTTCGCTGTTCTTATGTGCCCAAGGTAGCTAGCTCAGTTCCTGCATGTTGCGTATGTAGCTGTAGCTGTACCATTTTGCAGAGCGTTCATCACCAGTATGAGGAGGGTATGGTTCATGCAATAATAAGTAAAATCCAGGTACGAGAAGTCAATTCTGCAAGGTTACCTGGCTATATATTAGTTGATATGCCCTCGTCATGGAACACCTGATCCGTGCGTATCGATCGACAGTGGGCAGCGTTGCCCACCACAACGGCCAACCAAAACATCTCGAATCAAGAGAGCCATATGGGTAGTGAGGTCAAGTAGACTGAGAGGTAGCAGCAACACATACCGACCGAACGTACCAAAAAATAATAATCCATCTTGTCATCGTCTTTTGATAGTGCGTGGGTGAAGGACCAACGACGTCAGTAAAGTACGAAAATCGAGCTGGCTGGTGTGGCTGGAAAAAAAAAGGTGGTTGGAGGAACACAAGATTTCGCTGAGTCTCTCCCCGTCCGCCCTTTCCCTCACTCTCACTCTCGGTTCACACTGCTGATTGGAACATCTCATTTTTGCATGCACAGAAGAGACACTTTCGTCTATACCGTTCGTTACTGAAAAGAAATTTGTCGTCGAACGCAAGGAGGTGGAGGAGGAGTCAGGAAGTGTGAAGAAGGTCTTCTTCTTGCTTCTATATACCCCACCAAAAAGACCAACACAAAAGTCCGGAATCACCAGCAACGCACGCATTCCAACAAACCGACTTCGATCACATTCCGACAACCAACCACACATCGATATCGGAGGAGAGACGGGAGACAAAGAGAAAGAGAAAAGAGGAGAGGCCACGAGGGCCAAGGAAGAAGGATGGGAGGAATGCTACGAGCTCCTCGAGTGCTCGTCACCGCATTTTTCCTCCACGCACACCTACCCACCCTCACATCCGCCAACCCGAATCCACACGAACGAGAACTCGCCGGCTTCTCCTTCAACGAGCTGTTCGCGCGATGGGATTGTACCGGCACAGCTTGCGGTGCTGATGGCCAATACTGCTGTAGTCCTGGCACCGCATGCACCACCAACGCCGCCAATATCGCGCAATGTGTCGCTGCGCAAGTGACACCTGCTGCGACACCAGCTGCCGGTGGAGCATGGCAATATTACACAACCACATACGTGGAGACGGATCTGGTGACGAGGACGAGCATATGGAGTTCGTACGTGGGGGGAGCTGCTGCCACGGGCATTGCTTGCAACTATGCCCTCAATCAATCACCGTGTGGTTCCATCTGCTGCGCGAGTGATCAGTATTGTTATACTGCGGGACAGTGTGTTGCAAACGGCAATGGTGGGAGCTCTGGCGCCGGGTATGCCACATATACGACACCTGGTGCGACTGCTGGTGCTCCAATCCGACCAACAACTTCGGGACAGTTGACTGTGACCGCAACCAAGAGTCCCACCACCACAGTTGCCTTCTTGGCTCCGGTCGCGACTGGTGCCAATATCACGCTTTCGGAGTCGGACAACGACGATGACGGTGGACTCTCTGGCGGCGAAATCGCTGGAATTGTCATTGGAGTTCTTGCGGGCCTTCTACTCTTGGGTCTGCTCTGCTTCTGCTGCTGTCTCAAAGGCCTGTTCGACGGCTGTCTCGCCTGCTTCGGTCTCGGCGGTGGAAAGAAAAGGAGAAGGACAGAAATCGACGAGTATGAGCGTCACTCACACCACACCTCTGGCGGTGCCGGTGCCGGTCGGACATGGTACGGTACCGCAAGACCTCCCGCTCGAGTCGATCGACGAGACCGAAAATCAAACACTGGCAAGGAATTGCTGGGCATTGGAGCAGCTCTTGCAGCTTTGTGGGCTGTATTGGGGCTTAAGCGAAAACGAGATGGGCGGAGAAATGACGAAAAGTACTCGGAGTATTCGTATTCGAGTGATTACTATACTAGCGCCAGTGAGTCGATACCCCAAGCATGTCTGTGATGGCAGATGAGAGAACTGACATTGATATTCTTCTAGGCAGCGCGAGCTCAGACGATAGGCGGACCCACGGGACTCGATACTCACGGCGATGAGGGGCGCTGGTCTCCCATATCACGTCTCTTACGGCCATACGCGAATAATACGACGACAACAACACCAGCATACCAGATGCTCAGAAGGAGAGGAGCATCTCGTCCCAAAAAAAAACAGTATAGGAACTGGCGTTTGTGGCTTCTGCCTCAGCAGGTGGTGGCGAGCGCGAGAAGCGCCTTGGCGTACCTAGAGAAGGGTCCTGTACACACAAACCACAAGACTCCAATTCGTATGACATAGTCGAAAGAATTCTATCACGAAATGATGATTATTGAAGCCAACCAAAAACTGCCTATACCTGTGCATATATCTGTGTTGTGCCTTGAATCAATCATCATTCCACCTTGCAAGTCGAGCCTCTTGTTGATGATGATGATCCCTTCTTACTCAACCCTTGCTGCTCATACCTAAGTCGTCGTCGTCGTCGTCGTCTACATGTGTAAAGTAAATTGCCGTCGCGGGAATGGCAAATGTCCAGAAGAAGGCGGCTGTAGCAGATGAAAATGCATAGATTCCTCAGAGGTCGGGTAAAGGTCAGGTGGTATATGGAATTGGAGGAGTAAGGTATGATTGATTGATGATTGATGAGGATAATGATGATGGGAGACGAAAAGAATACCTACCTACGGTAGGTAGGTAGGTAATCGGATGTAGGACGGGAGTGTCGAAGGTAAGGGAAACGTCACAGGGACGGAACCTCACTTACCTAGGTAGGCACTGAATAGGTGTACATGTATGTACATGTACCTTATTATTTCATATACCTACCTACTATACTATATACGTTAGGATGTATATATACGTACTCGTATACTATATATATATATATCAATGTATATGTACTATTTGGAAGCAAGTAGTAAGGTACCTAGGTATAGATTGGTATAGGTACCTACCTGAGGTGTGTAGTACCGACTTATCCTCATGCTCACAACGCTCACAATCCATTTATCAACTGATAAAATATTGAATGAACAATGATACAACAGACTCAAGGACGAAGGAAGATAATACCTACAAGGTATGTAGATGCCATGAAGTAAATTCCTTTTTCTTTTGTAATTCGGAAAAGCGTTGGAGCGATATATGTATATGTAAATACCTAGCATTCAAATGTTCAACTTACTTTGGGTACATACCTACTTAGCTTACTCACTTACCAGTGATGAGACGAAGCATGCCCGTATTTTGTAATGGAGCAGAGCGGAGATCAGTTGAGTTGAGGATTTTGATGATTGATCGTGTACGATATGAATTTAGCGAAGAGGCATGGGATTGGGCCGAGGATATGTAGGTAGGCTGATATTGAGGCAGCGTTTGTGAAACCTGTAGGCTGTGGGGGGGATATTGGTCTCGCAGAGCAAATATGATGATTTTATTCATATCTTTCAGTGTGCAAGTTCCGTTCGAACATTCAACTTGAGCGGCACTAGGGAGCATTGGCTGTTCGACACTACTAATGTGTGAGTTCCACAAAGCCTGGACAGGGGTTGGGCATATGCTCGGATGGATCGTGCGAGGGGTTCGTGATCTGGGCGAGGTGTGCATGCTCAGCGGCAATGTATTACTTCGTTCTAGTCCTCATCTTTGGGCATCTTGAAGCGTTAGAACATCCCATCCGGGGGTGAGAAGTATAGACCGTTGCCTCCCACGAGCAACATAAATATGTTGGTGTTGGGAGAGCAATACAGCACCTGATTTGAATCATAAAGTATCATTCCATGAGCCTGTCTCTGCGTGTGACGAGGTTTCATTGAATCAGCATATAATGGCCATCCATAGCCCTGGCCGCTCACTTATGCTCAAAGCACTACCGCAGACAACGCCAATGACCACGCTCGCCGTTGAGTTTTTCGTCTCCCCGCTGTACTGACAATGCATCTAAAAGACCATCTCGTGCGGCCTGTCACCGTTTCTCAAGCTGAAGCTGGTCGAAAGGTAGCCTAAGAGCATCTTGTCCTTCTTGATCGTGGCCAAAAGTGCCTTGTCCACTGCCTTCTGATCCTGAGCACGGTCGCTGTTCACCTCCTTCTTCGCTGGCTTCTCTCCCTGTGCGAAGAAAGCCTCCTGGCTGCCCTTCTTATCAGCCTTCTTGTCACGGGCGAAGTAGTTCTCGCTGCCAGCCTTCTCGACAGTCTGAGCGTCGAGGCCGTCGAGGGGCACGGTCGTCTTCGTGGCGATCACGTAGCGAGCATTGACGCGGCGGAGCGGGACACCGTTGAGCTTGAATGGGCCTGTAACGAGGAGAACGCCCTCGGGGAGGGTCTTGAGGAGGACCACGCGCTTGCCTCGGAAACGGCCAGCGAGGAGGATGAGGACAGCACCGGGCTGGAGCGATGCGCGTGGCTTGTATGGGCGAAGAGCCTTGCGGGACTGTATTTGGGACCATGTTAGTGCGCGCTATTCATCAGGCACGGCTTTCCATTGCCATTGCGCCAATGCCTCCACCTCTCCCCATCTGTCCATGCTGTCTGATTCGATCGTACCTTCTTTGCTTGCGCCTCGTCCTCAGCCGGGTAGTATTTGCTGGCCTTCTGGCTGGCGGGCGTGATGGTCCGCTCGCCCTTCTGGAACTTCTTGGTCTGGGGAGCCTCGGACGACATGATGGCCACTGGGTGCGAGGGTCAGTGACGATTTACGATGAGTGCGAGGAGTGTTGTCGAGGGGGTGGTGTGTACCAGGAATGAGAGGTGCTGTGTGGGTTAGTAAATCGGTGTCGCTGTTCGTCGCCCGCAGAACCCAAACACAGTATTGAAATTCGCGAGTGAGAGTGCCAAGACAGAATTGACCGAATGAAGTTTAGTGTCAGGTCGGCACCACTAAACGCCGCTCACTTGAATGGATGACATGAGCTCCAGCTCAGACGCGAGCTTTGCTTTGGACAAGTACAACCCAAAGACAATCACAGAACCAAGCCCGCTCACCAACACAACACAACCCGCCACCATGGCCGCCACGCCGATCATTACATTCAAAGCCGGGCTTTGCAAGTTCACCGACCGCACCGTCACACCCGATCCCCGCCCAGGCTACATCTACCTCTACAGCGAAGATGAGCTGATGCACTTCTGCTGGCGGCCACGCTCCGCACCCTCCACCGAGCCCGAGATCGACTTGATCATGTTCCCTACCGATGGCCACTTTTACCCCTATGTCAAAGAGCAGGGCGCCGAAGAACTGCATTCGCCCACCAACGGCCGCATCTTTGTCCTCAAGTTCAGTAGCAGTAATCAGAGACACTATTGGTGGATGCAAAGCAAGACGCAATCCAGGGAAGGCGAGCACAGCTGGTTCAGCGAGCGTGATCAGCGGATCGGGCAGGTGATCGACCAATTACTGCAGGGCGAGGACGTGGACGTGACCGCCGAGATTGATCATATTAGAGGGGGCGGGAATGCCGGCACCGATGGAGATGCGGATGCCATGGAAGTCGATCAGGACCGCTCACTCGCACGACAGGGATCTGGCGGCGCTGGACAGGACGCAGGAAACGGTGATCCACGCGAGGAAGGCGAGGCCAGCAGAGAGGGCGGGGCAGATGGAGGCAGAGCGTAAGTGGTGCGTTCATACCAGTCACGAAAACTGCAAGGCATGTACTATTAGGTGGTCTGGTCACGGACTCATGTACCGATATGCTATGATGATATGATTATGGATCGCTGTTTCGTCTTTTCTATGTCGCAGCTCATTACTGATTCCCCTGACCTGAAGTAGTGATTCTTCGTCGTCATCAGCACCACAGCAAGACGCCAACACGGCTGTACAAAACTTCCTCCAATCCCTCAACAGCGGTGGTGGCTCTCTTGGTGGTCCACAGCAAGCTGTCGAGAAGCCGTTCACATCGCTACCCGACCTGCTATCGACATCAACAACTACGGCATACATATCAGATGCGTCGCCTGCCGAGATTGATAATCTCTGCTCTTTCCTTCCACCAGAGCTCTTCCTCCTCGCACAAGAGTCAACATCATCCACGTCAGCTGCAGAACCTACTCCATCAACAACACAGGCCGCTCTCGAGACCCTATCAATCGGGCAGAAGAAGGAAATACTGAACAAGGTTGTTCGTTCTCCACAGCTACAGCAGAGTCTTGGCTCGCTGACGATCGCTTTACGGGATGGCGGTCTACCCATGATCGGCGAGGCACTGGGCATCAAGATTGCGAATGGTGGCAACATCAAGGGTGGCAGTATGCCACTTGGCGGGTCAGCCGCGGTCGAGGCCTTTATTGATGGCGTTAAGAAGACTGCCGAGGAGCAAGCGAAGAAGCAATGAGAGAGGTATGCACATTCGTTCTTCAGCAGAGCTCTGGCATGGGCAGCAGCATATCACTATTGCTACGACTGTTACCGCATAAAAAGTGCCCTTGATCGAAGACGTATCAGGGCTACGGATGTGCCATCCCAGATGACATAAACTTTTGTAAAGACCACGACTTCATTCAACAGAACTTCGGATGAAGATAACACTTTATTCGAACATGATTTTCGTTTTTTTCTTCAGCCACATTGTAAACGCCACGCTGGCAATGCTTTCCGTCGCCCTAAAAATGAAAATAAAAAAAAATTACAATGCCCCTCATCGCTCATTCCACCTTCTCTTCACTCAAACTACTCGCATCCTGCGCCGCCGCACTAGCGACCGGAAACGTCGTCGCAAATCGACTCTTCTCTCGAATCTTGGACCCTCTCAAGTAAAACCACACAGGCATAGGTACACACGCAAACGCCAAACAACCCAGCAACGTTCCCGCCCATTGCACTCCCATTCCATTGATCATTTGCGTCGCGAATAACGGAAACCCGGCACCCGCGAGCGATCGGAGGAAAGTGTTGGCTGCAATGGCTGAGGCGGCGAAGACGAGGTAGGCGTCGATGAGGTAGTTGAGACATTGCAGGAAAATGGTCAAGAGGCCGAATCCCGTCGCTATGCCCGAGAGGGTGGGCGCGATCCAGTGGATGTCGGAGCGGAAACCTGTCCAGCCGAACCAGAGAAGGCCTGGAGGGTGAGGTGGTTGTGTTAGTGAGATTTTTATATAGTAGTCTTTTTTTTTGAGCGAGATAGGGAAAGAGGGATAGATACTCACCAATAGCAAACGATACGCCACCCACAATCACTGGAGGTAGACGCCATTCGGGAATGGGCACGTCATTATTCGCGGCTAGTTTCCGGTTGTAGGCTGGTTGGAGGATGATCATGAAAATTCCTGCGAACTGAAGCGAAAGTGTGTTAGCTTCTGATGTCTTATCAAGGTATATACCATTAATCGCAGTTCTGAGGAAACATACTATTTCACCCAGGATCATGCCGAAGAAGGGGAGACCACCAACGCCGGGAGAGAAGCCGTAGATTTGCTGGAAGACGATTGGGTAGAATGTGAGGAAGAGATAGAGGAGGCCGTAAATGAAGGCCATCTGTCAACTCGTTAGCGCACTCTGCCATGTCTTGTGATATGTATGACCTTCGACAGGCAAGGCTGGAGATACTCACGTAGATTGAAAGGAGGAAGACGATGGGTTCGGTGAAGAGCATTCTCATGGGTCGTGACAAGTTCTTCTCGATAAGTTCGCGGAGATCAATCTCAATTTCTTCTTGCTTAGCGTGTATGCCCCTGGGGGAAAATGGATGTTAGCTGCTTTCGAGCTGCAGAACACAGACAGACGTACCAGTTCTTTGTTCGACGTCGCAAATCCGCGGCTTTAGACACCAGAAGCGCGGGCGCATATGTCTCTTCCAGGAAGATCAACAAGAGTCCAAGACCGAGAAAGCCCATGAAACTAGTAATCCACTCGGTCCATCGCCAACCAAGATAGCTGTCAACGATGAAGCCGCCAATGAATGGCGCGAGCAGTGGACCTGCAAAGACGGCTATACTGAATACTGTTATGGCTAAGCCACGCTGACGGTTGGAGAACATATCTGCAAAGACAGCGCCGACGATTGTCAAAGGACAAGCTCCAAAGAATCCAGAAAAGAATCTGCAGATGAAGACTGTCTGGGCGTCTTTCCCAACAGCCACTGCGAGATTGAAGATGGAGAATCCAAATGACGAGATGAGCAAAGGGGCCTTGCGTCCGTAGAGTTCACTGAAAGGAGCTATTCAATCGAAGGCATCAGTAAAGTCTTCTACTCACTCGCTCTTTCGGTCCATATGGCGTTTCCCAAGTTCTGCTCCTCGGCGCACTACCGTGATGTGCAGCGTCCGATCGAGACTAGAAGGTTGAAGAACGTCTTTTGTGAAGTACTCACCCCATAGTATAGGTCCAGTGGCAAATCCGAGGACATATAGCGACACGCCGAGAATACCTACCTCCCTCGAGAGATCGAATTGGGTCGCAATCGCTCCAGTAGCTGTTGAGAAAATGGAAGAGCCAAATGCTGCCGTCAGGGTGACATAACCCAGCACGATGGTCACAGGCAGTTTCTTCCTGAGGGGCCAATTGTGCGCATGTAAAGGGTCGTCTGGCCCATCAAATTCCACGACGTACTCCTCTCGGTCTGGCAAGTTGGGTGGATAGGGCTTGCCTGCTCCGAAGGCTGGCAGAGCTGTCCTACTGTGTCGTGTAGCTGTCCGAGAGCGAAGACTTGCCCCAACTGTTCCACTGTGTTGACTTCGACCTGTCTGAATTCTGCTCAAAGCGGTAGGATGTCTTTCGAGGTCGGCCTGGGTCGCTGTTCTCGACATGGTCGTCTCTCGCCGCTCGTTGGGAATGCCAGACGATAACGAGCTTGAAGTGGACGAGCTCATCGCTGTTACCGTTCGCTCCATTGGTTCATGTCTCTCCAATGTGGCCGCGGGATCCCGCGTCTCTCCTGCGCCTGGAGTCGAGGCTGACTGGGCGTGGAACCTCTCGGGACTGGCATCCCGTTCCACGTCGCTGAGCCATCGGTCCTCGGCGTTCATCGCTGCGAAAGTCTGTATACTCGTGAACTGTCGTGCTGTAGGAGGTAGTGGACGTATGGTTCACAACAAAGGAAGAGGGCGGGAGTACAGACAGAGTACCAAGACCAAGCGAAGATGCCTTCTACCTATAATTAAAGGACTGAAGAAGAACTGACGTCTCTCCGACCAGGATGTTAGCAGCACTATGACTTAACCGACGACACGTTCGAGCCATTCTCGGCGGCTTCGGTCGGCAGATATAGGAAATTTCTTCACAGCGCTCCTTGCCAAGATGATGGTGCTGCTGTCTGTACGGGAGTAGACTGCCAGAGTGGGTCGCAGGACGATATGTCGCCGTCGCCCGAGATGATGCCGATGTCCATTGCTGGCCTAGACGCAGACGATGGTGTCCGACTCTCTGCAAAGCAAATGCCCCAATAGGTAGCATAAGTGTGCGGGTGTGTATGTGTGTTTGTGTGTCTACGCTAGAGCCTAGGAGGTATTGTTGAAGTCTTCCAATGGCGCGCGAGAGAGGTCAAGAGAAAAATGCTTCCTAGGCTTCTGCCTCCCGCGTGCCGTGCCGTGCCGAATGGTTAAAGCACCGACGGGACCACTTCCACTACACCAATAGAGACGGCTGATCACATAAAATATCACCAGTCATGAGAAAGTCGCATCGTAAGCAGGGTATTGGCTAGATAGTCTACAGGTAGATAGTAATGTACATATAATAATCTTTTACAACTACAATTCCCATGCTGTGCCATCATGACTTCGTAATTCGTTCATCCTTTGTGTACACCACTCGCTCTTACGCCTCAGCAACGCCAGGAACAAGGATATCAAGGCCATTTCTTCCATCCTGAAACGTGACGGTCGCTACATCTCCGCTCGTGATAGCACCTCGAATGATCTTGTCCGCCAAACTGTTGCCAACTTCCTTCGCAATGAGGCGGTTCAACGGCCTCGCACCGTAGCGAGGGTCGTAGCCGTGATCGCAGAGCCAATCTTTGACTTCGTCGCTGACATCCAGTGTGATGCGCCGGTCGTCCAGTCTGGCTTGCAGCTCTTTCAACCTGATATCAACGATACCCCGCAACGCTTCCTTGGACAGTCTCTTGAAGATGATGAATTCGTCCAAACGATTGATGAACTCGGGTGGGTACGAGGCTTGCACGACGTCCATGACCTGCTTTTTGACTTCTGGGGATATCTCAGATCCGTCGCTATCGTCCGCGATCAGCGCTTCCGCCCCGAGATTCGATGTCAACACAATAATCGTATTCCGGAAGTCGACTTTGTGTCCTTGAGCGTCAGTCAGGAAGCCTTCGTCGAGAACCTGGAGCAGTAGAGTACTGATATCCCGATGGGCTTTCTCAAACTCATCAAAGAGCAATACTGCATACGGCTTTCTTCTGACCGCTTCTGTCAGTTGTCCGGCATCTTCGTACCCAACATAACCAGCCGGCGATCCGATCAGGCGCGAGACAGTATGCTTTTCCTGGAATTCACTCATGTCGAACCGAACAACAGCGTTGGATGAGGAGAAGAGAAAGTCTGCCATCCTTTTACAGAGCTCCGTTTTCCCTACTCCGGTAGGGCCAAGGAACATGAACGAAGCAATAGGTCTGTTCTCGCCACTGAGGCCGGCTCGTTGCATACGGACTGCGTTTGCCACAGACACTAGAGCTTCATCCTGCCCACGCACCGATCGACGAAGCACGTTCTCCATATCGATGAGCTTCTCGATATCACCACTCATCAGCTTCGTGACCGGGATACCTGTCGACTTTGCTACGACGGAAGCGATGTCATCCGCTGTCACAGAGTCATGGATGAGTGTGTCTTGGGCAGTGGTTTTGGAATTCCCGCCTTGGTCTTCAGGAAGCTTCTTTTGTAGCTCCGGAATCTTTGCATAGCGCAGCTCACTTGCTTTGGCAAAGTTTCCTTCGCGTTGCGCTTGATCTAGCTCGATACGTGCTCTCTCGAGCTCTTCTTTCGTTCTTTTAATCCCTTCGATCTCGGCGCGTTCTGCCTCCCACTTCTCAGTCAGAGCACCGACCTCGTCCTGTTTCAAGGTCAATGTCTTTTCGAGCTGTTCCCGGCGCTCTTTGCTGGCAACATCCGTCTCCTTGCGTAATGATTCAAGCTCAATTTGTATCGTCATGATCTGGCGATCCAGCTCCTGAATGGCATCTGGTTTGCTTTCTTGCTGCAGCCGGAGAGCTGAAGCGGCTTCATCCACCAGATCTATGGCCTTGTCGGGAAGAAAACGGTCTGTGATGTATCGATTCGAGTATGCTGCTGCTGCAACCAGAGCTCCATCGGTGATTCGCACTCCATGGTGCACTTCGTAGCGATCCTTTATGCCCCTCAGAATGGAAACAGTATCTTGCACTGAAGGCTCACCAACTAGGATGGGCTGAAATCTGCGAGCAAGAGCGACGTCCTTTTCGATTTGTCGATATTCGTTGAGAGTCGTAGCTCCGCAGCACTGCAGTTCACCACGTGATAGTGCCGGCTTAAGCAAGTTGCTAGCATCGATGGAACCCTCGGCCTTGCCCAGTCCGAGTAGAGTGTGCAATTCGTCGATAAAGAGAATCACGCCGCCATGCGCATCCTGTACCTCTTTCAATACTGCCTTGAGCCGCTCTTCGAAATCTCCACGAAATTTTGCTCCAGCAATCAGACTGCCCAAGTCGAGCGAGATGACTTTCTTGTCCTGAATCGACTCGGGTACATCGCCTTTGACTATACGTTGTGCCAACCCTTCCAGTATGGCAGTCTTTCCGACTCCGGCTGAACCGATCAGAACCGGGTTGTTTTTCGTGCGCCTGGACAGAATCTGAATCGTTCTATGCACCTCGGAGTCTCTGCCTATGACAGGATCCAGCTTCCCGTCCTTTGCCTTTGCAGTCAGGTCAATCCCATATTGTTCCAATGCACTCTTCTCTGGTTCACCGCCCAAGTTCATGCGATGTGTGCCCCCGGGCGGGTGAGGTCGACCACTTGCATAGCTTCGACATTGTGATATAGCAACGGGGATTGCAGATGGAGACAGCCGGATTGCTCTTTGTGTATGACAGGACGCAGCTCGAAGGGCGTTTCGTGATAGAGGATATCGAACAGAGGCAATGCGCCTCGCAGCGCTTCTTCCAGTTGTGGAAAGCATGTTGTGGATGAAGTTGAGTGACTGTGAGTAAAGTGAAATGAAGAAGGAAAATGTGTGTTATACAACCTACAGTCTGATGAGCATGATATGACTTTGATGAGCACGGGACTTGTGAGATTTTATTGCAGTTCTGGAAGACGCGAGCACTTTCGACGTGCATCGGCTAGGTACGGTCAGGTATGGATACAACTGGCGGCCGCCACAAGTAGTGGCTAAAGTCCCAGCACTTTTGCACGTGGTGATACAGAGCGCAGGGATTCTTCGTGAGTCTTTCCATTTGGGCCGTGGGGCGCAAAAACACCACATACATTTCTTGTTGTGTACCTTTCCCTCTCCCACTCCCTCATCAAAACCTCTCTCTCTCTTAATAACCCACTACACCGACAACAGAAGCCACTCACAGCCTTCATCATGGGTTTCACCGACTTCGTTTCCGAGACTGGCCTCACCCGTATGTTGCTGGTTCTCCGCTGCCTCCTGTCGCTGCGCTAAGAATCACACAGTCCTTGACAACTGGGTCAAGACTCGCTCATACATTGTTGGGTAAGTAAGCACTGTGCTCTCCTCATCCTCTCCCGCTCGCTCGCACTTCCCTGATGAACACAATTTGGTCCGTGTTATTGAGGAGCTTAAGACCCTCCAAATGAAACCACACCATTGCGCTTGCGCACCTCTGACTTCTAACGCACCTCGAACCATTGAAGCATAGCACTCTCTGCAGGTGGGCAAGAGCTGACTCTCCCTAGATATGGCCCTTCGAAAGCGGATGTGAAGGTCTTCCAGTCCTTCAGCGAGCAGCCAAAGGTCGAGAACTTCCCTCACGCATACCGCTGGTACAAGCACATCTCCACCTTTGAGTCAGAGTTCTCGACTCTCCCTGGTGACCCAAGCAAGGCTGCTACTGCCTACGGTCCAGAGTCATCCGAGCTCACTGTCAACCCCGCAAAGGCACCAGAGAAGGAAGAGGAGGATGATGACGAAGTCGACCTTTTCGGCTCGGACGACGAGGAGGAGGATGCAGAGGCTGCCCGCATTCGTGACGAGCGACTGGCGGAGTACAAGAAGAAGAAGGAGGGCAAGACAAAGCCAGCTGCCAAGTCTATTGTCACACTGGATGTAAAGCCATGGGGTAAGATACACCGTTCGATCTTCATATTTTTCCGACATAAGTGCTAATTCCGATGACAGACGACGAGACCGACATGAAGGCGCTTGAGGAGTCTGTGCGTGGCATCGAACAGGATGGTCTCGTGTGGGGAGGTGGCAAGCTCGTTGCTGTGGGCTTCGGCATCAAGAAGCTTCAAATCAACTGTGTCATTGAGGATGACAAGGTCTCTCTTGAACAGCTCCAGGAGACGATTGAGGGCTTCGATGACTACGTTCAGTCCTCCGATGTTGCCGCCATGCAGAAATTGTAGATGTGCTGGCTTCTGTCACCACTAAATTTTCATCGGGGACCTGGCCACGGCCAAAGCAAAATATGCATGGCCTCTAATGCGTGATGTGTTATGAGGCAATAGATACCCCAAAAAACCGCTTGATCGCGAAGTCTGCGATCAAAGACTACCACTTTCACTCTCCATTCCCGTTGCCTCGCCGTCCTGTCACATGCATTATTTTGGCGTAGCTCGACGCCAAGCCTGGCCCTGCAACTTCCCCTCGAGCTTCGTCTTGACCTTGAGCAAGGACAACATTCAACTCGATCACAGGCCATATCTCTCAATTCCTCTCCCCGTCACAATGGGCGCTCCAGCAAACTTGTTCAACCTGGCTGGCCTCGTGTTCCTTGCACATGCGTAAGAAGAACATCAATTTCTCGTAGGTATAAGCTAACACCTACAAAGTGTGTATAGCTCATACGAACACTCCCTCCTCCCGTCTTCGTCCATCCCGCCTGCGCCAAGCTCAATACTTCCAAGTGCGCTCGACCCCAAGATCTCGATACCCACAGACATCGTGCTCGAAACGATCTTCTCGGTACTTCTGCTCTGCGTCGGTGTCGTGCTCAGTAGTCCTGACCTGAAGCCCATACAATGGAGTGTATGGGCTGGAAGCTTAGAGCGCAGTAAAGAGGCGCGAGAGATTACTGCCGTTGGCGTGGGTGGGGGCAACCCTTTTGCTGTGTTGGAGGAGCGGCCCGGGTTTCTGGATATCAGGAAGACGAGGGATGACTTTGCGAGGTGGAGGAAAGAGGGAGGCGTCAGCGAAAAGTCATGAATGCGTGGATGAGCGAATGAAAGGAATTTCGGCTACTCCATGAGCAGTTGGCGGAGCAGGACTGTAGCGTTGGCCATGCGCAGGGAGAGCACAATCGCTGTTGCAGGATGCATGTTGTGGCTGGTGAAGCTGAAGCTGCAGTAGGATGATACTGGTGTCGACGAACTGATAAAGGCGATATCGGAACGCGAGAGGTCGTGCCTTCCTCATGTGCAGCGCCTGCCAAATACGTGGCTCTCGCTCAATCTCACGTCTTGCTCAACCTCACCTTTCTCTCGTTGGTCTCTCTCTCTCGTCTCAACAATAATAACCATAACCGACAGGTACACTCACGGCTCGGCAGGATGTTTGACAAGAAGAGAAGATCCAGTGGTGAAGCAGGAGGGAGCAGATCAAGAGCCCGAACGGCATCGTCGTACTCCAATGCCCGAGCTGGAACACAGCTCTCTCGTGGGACCACCAAGGATTCGCGATCAGCGGCGGGCAGTCGGGGAGCACCACGACGTGGCACGTCGAGCCGATCTATGCTCTCGGTCAGCACTTTTAACGGCATCGACGATACTGGCAGTGTGATTCCCATCCCACGCCCAGAAGATGATTTGGACATGGATCCTGAGACACTCAGCGAGATTATCATGGCGGTGCACGTCACTGATAAAGGCGCTGTCGGCTGCGTCTACTATGTTGTACGACATGCGAAGTTGTACTTTATGGAGGACATGCCAGCTGGAGCAGCAGACATTGTTGATGCTCGTAAGTCCATTCTATTACTGTTCAGGAGTCCATGCTGACTTCAGATCAGTCAAGCTCTTTATTGAGCCGACAGTCATCCTCGTGTCGACCAAATGCAACGAAGAAGCCATAAATCGACTGGATCCTGAGCTGCGCACGCAGCGAGCCTCTGTTGATGCCCGCAGTGATCAGACACGCCTCCCATATCTGCTGGAGTGCCGACCAAATGCAGAGTTTGGCTATGAATCAGGCAAAGTGAAGCTGGCGAATCTCCACATTGGTCTACCAGACGGTCCCACTGTCACGTACGTAGTGCCCGGAGATGTGGTTGCTAACGACGATTTTCCCGCACATGAAGACGAGAAGTCTGGTCGACAGTGTGCCATCTTGCGCTTGGCGGGTCTTGTCAACATGGACAGCCGAATTACTGTCGGCTGCGCGGGCGCTGTCCTTTCGTATCTCCAACGTAGGAAAGCTACTACCTTTCTACCAGGAGACAGAGACGCTGAAGCCATGTTTCGCATAGCGACAGTCGAGATGTTCAGCTTGGGGGGATCCATGTTCATCAATGCTGATACTCTCCAGTCACTGCAGATCACTACAACGGAGTCTCACCCAAATGCTCAGCAACAGGGACCAGCAAGCAAGAATTGGTCACGAGGATCGAAAGAAGGTCTTTCTGTCTACGGACTCTTCCACAACCTGGCAAAGACCGCTCAGGGTCGGCATCTACTACGACAGTTCTTCCTTCGACCAAGTCTCAACATGGATGTTATCAACGAACGACATGACACAATTGGTGCTTTTATCAGGCCCGAGAATGCAGCAACGCTCGGTCAGATTGCGAACACGTTGGCAGGAGTGAAAGACATGCGTCGCGTCACTACGGACTTACGCAGGGGTATTCGCAGTGGCGTCAACAACAATCAGCCCATAACCACATCAGTCTGGGGCAGGATGAGAGACTATACGTTTGCTGCTCTGGAGCTCACCGACCTGCTGACGCAAGTTGTGGGGTCTGAGGGCCTCGTTGTCCACCGCAAGATCGCCGAGCAATTCAACAAGCTTCACCTGGCTGAGGTTGGGGCTCTCATCAGCGACGTCGTAGACTTCGAGCTGTCCAAGTATGCGAAGCGAACAGTGGTCCTGCACGGTATCAGCGACGAACTGGACGATGCCAAGCGCACTTACGAAGCCATTGAGGACATGCTCTCGCAAGTGGCCTCGCATATTGCCCGTCAAGTTCCCGCGGATCTGAAGTCCAAAGTGAATGTCATATTTTTCCCTCAGATCGGTTTCCTAATCTCCATCGAGCGCGAAGAGGATGACATAGCAGTGCCATACGAGGGTCCGGATCCTGCTGAGCCTTGGGAGCAGATGTTTACGTCCTCCACACATGCGTGCGTATTTCTGTCAGATCTTGAGTAGCTGAAGCTCACTAACACAACTGCATAACCATAGGTACTACAAGAATACCAATACCATGGAGTTGGACGAGAACTACGGTGATATCTGGGGCTGCATCCTCGACATGGAAATCGAGATTATCCAAAACATGGCACAGCGTGTACTGGAACACGAGGAGCTCATCAACACAACCTCGGACATTTGTGGCGAGCTTGATAGCCTCGTGGCATTAGCGAGGGGCGCAGTACAGTATCGGCTAGTCAGACCTAATATGACGGAACAGAACATTGTCAGGATCAAAGACGGCCGACACATACTACAGGAACTCACCGTGCCAGCTTTCGTACCTAACGATGCCTACCTACTGGGAGGATGTGGAGATGACACAGCTGCTGACCCACGCGAGTGTAAAATCTCGGCCGATCCTCGAATCACGCAACCCCTACCGCCAGACGCTCCAAGTGTGCTGATGATGACTGGACCAAACTATTCTGGGAAGAGCATATACCTGAAGCAAGTGGCCATCATCGTCTACATGGCTCACATCGGCAGCTTCGTGCCTGCGAATTACGCTACAATTGGTCTGACCGATGCTATCCTCACCAGGATATCGACCAGAGAGACAGTCTCACGCATTCAAAGCGCCTTCATGATCGATCTCCAGCAAGCTTCCGTTGCGCTGAACATGGCCACGCGACGCAGTCTCCTGATTGTAGACGAGTTCGGCAAAGGCACAGAGTCATATGACGGCGCTGGTCTCGCGGCTGGTGTATTCGAACACTTACTCCAGCGGGGGCCTGAATGTCCAAAGGTGATCGGAGCCACACATTTCCACGAAATCTTCGAATCTGGATTCCTCCCACCTCGGCCAGCGCTGGGCTTCGGGCATATGGAGGTCCAAGTCGACGACGCCCAGTCTGTAGTGGAGAACCAGATTACATATCTGTACAATCTTCGCCCAGGCAGAAGTGCTTCAAGCTATGGTACGATGTGTGCCCGTATCAATGGCGTCGACGCGATTGTGACCGATAGAGCCGACGAGCTCATTGCGCTTGCGTCAAAAGGGGAAGATTTGACTGAGGCGTGCGCAAAGCTTCCAAAGGAAGAAATGCTGGATCTGCGTCGGGCAGAGGAAATTGCACGAGCGTTTCTGCAGATCGAACACTTTGGGGGCCCACGTCAAATCCTTGATGATCTTCTTGATCAGCCGATGTCGGTTGTGACGACTACTGAGTCTTGAGCTCAACGGATGGGTCATCGCTGTGCTGTTCAATGTTAAAGGGTGGCAGGAAGCAGAGATGTTTGCTCGCATTGCCTGAACATGAACGTTGGCGAAGGGTACAGAGAAACAGAACATCGGGTTTGAAGTCTGTATGGCCTCGTGTGTTCGCTCAACACGATGTACGGTCACTATCGCTCTGTTGATAGAATTCTTATTGTGTTCGGCAGAACCAATTTTGAGTGACATGCAACATGGTGAACAAACACAGCTCTGAACAAAATTGTCAGGCAAAAGACAGCAAAGCACGAATGTAGAGCCCATGAAAGTACTAAGTAGTAATACTGAACATGAAAGGCGTCTAATCTTAGTCATGAACGAGATGATGGCCGCAGCCAGATGATAATTTTCAAAAGACAACTACTATCTCTGCCCAAATTTCTTCTTCATATTCCTATATCGATGAGCATCTCTCACCGACCCACGTGTCCTTGTCTTGGCCTCGACAAAATCTTCATATTCCAACCTCACCCGGCCTCTTCTGATGGCATTCTGCACAGCCTGCTGCAACAACGCTCCCAAATCCGCACCACTAAACTCCTCACATTCTCTCGCCAAGTCCTGAATCTGTGCCGAGTATTCACAAGGTTTATCCCTCGTCAGCGCCCGCAGAATATCCACTCGTTCTTCCGCACCGGGTAAATCCACGAAAAGTTGCGTGCCCAATCGGCCCGGTCGTAGCATTGCTTCGTCAATCATGTCGGGTCGATTGGTCGCTGCAATGATGTAAATCCCCGCACGAATATCCAAACCATCGAGTTCCGTGAGGAGCGTGTTGACGACTCGTGCAGAAGCTTCAGAGCCCGCTTCGTCACGCTTGGGTACGAGAGCGTCGAGTTCGTCGAAGAAGATGACGCAGGGAATACTGGAGCGAGCGCGTTGAAAAACTTTGCGCACGGCGGCTTCGGATTCTCCGACGAATTTGTTGAGAAGTTCGGGGCCCTTGATGGAGATGAAATTTGCTTGGGATTCGGCTGCTGCGGCTTTGGCGAGTAGAGTTTTGCCGCAGCCTGGTGGTCCCCAGAGGAGGACGCCTGAGGGAGCGTTGATGCCAAAGGCTTCGTAGAGGGCGGGTTTGGCGATAGGGTCGACGATGGAACGGATGAGTTCTTCGCGGACGGATTGCAGGGCGCCAATGTCTTTCCAGGACACGTTGGGGACGGTGGTGAACCCTTCTCGTTTGCTGGAGGGTGTGATGGAGGGGAGGACGTGGAGGAAATCTTCCATTTGGAGGCTGATGACCTCGAAGCCGGGAGGACGAGGAATGTCTTGTCCTGCTCGTCCACGCGCTGCCATTCGTCTGGTTTGAGCGATTTCAGGTCGCTGCGAGGGATGGTAGGGGAGAGCGAGTTGATCCGCTTGCTGTTGGAACGCGGCCATGAGGCGCTCCATGGTGTGGGCACCAGCTTTGCCAACTAAATCATGCAAGTCGGCACCCACAAAACCTGCTGTCATTTTGGCCAGCTTTGGAAAGTCGACATTGGACTTGGGCATGTTTCGCGTCTGCGTTTCGAGGATCCTTTGGCGAGTTGCCTCATTTGGCACGCCTTGTAAGAAACTGTTAGCGGCGTGGAGCTCTAGATCTCGTGGGGCGGATAGTGTCGAGGAAGAAAAAGCAGTGCCCTCCTTTCATTTCAATGCTCGGCATCGAGAGATGGAGTACTTACCAATGTTAATCTCCGTCCCAAACCTTCCCCCTCTCCTCAGCGCCGGATCAATACTGTCCGGCCGATTCGTCGCCGCCAACACAACGACTGGCTTCTCACAGTCCCTCCCCAATTCGTCCATGCTAACCAGCAGCTGCGCCACGATTCTCTTTTCCATCTGGCTTTGACTGCTATCTCGCTTGGGAGCAATGGCATCAATTTCGTCGATGAAGATCAAACAGGGAGCATTCTTCTTCGCCTCTTCGAATCGATCCCGAATACCCTTTTCAGACTCTCCACTCATACCAGATACAATGGCAGGGCCCAAGATCTCGATGAACGGTACGCCCATTTCTGCTGCGAAGGCTCGGACGAGCATGGTTTTGCCGCAACCTGGTGGGCCATGTAGCATGATTCCTTTGGGGAGCGGGACGTGGGCCTCTCGGAACTCGTCAGAGAAGGACATGGGGGCCAAGAGAGTCTTGTTGAGTTGCAGGATCGTGTCCGTCATGCCTCCCACGTCGTCGAGAGAGATGTCAGTGGGCGCGGAGATGCTGGGCTTGGGTTGCTCGTCGAGATTGCCGCGTTTCTGGCGTTTGGGCAGGGCCTCGCCGTTGGCCTTGCGCCGTTTCGTGGCCACTTCATCGCTGGGCTGCTGTGGAGGGCTGACGGCACTTTGAGGAGCGAGGTTTTGGCGCAGCGATCGGTTCATGAGGTCCGTCTGATCGTTGTCGGGAATAGCGTCCTCTATGATCGTGTCAGAGTCGACCTCGTCTGCGGTGATGCCGATAAAATCCAGAACGCGTTCTATGCTAGCCAGCAAGTTTTTCTTTGGTCTTCGTTTCAGCGCGGAATTGGATCTTGAAAGAGCGTTATATAGGTCGCCCGAGGTGGGTGCCACGCCGTCTGACAGGAATTTCTGGACCTAATCCAGTCAGTGACAGTGCAAGAATATTGGCGGCGGCTGGACTTCACTCACAATGGTGTGAATGTCACTGTCCAGAGCGCCTTGGAGTCGCACAGCCATAGCGGCTCCTTGGCGGAGGCGAAGTGAAGTGAAGTGGATGAAGTTCAGGAGTGAGGTGGGTCGTGAAATATTTTAGCGAGCCGGTCTGTATCGACGACGGGAGGTCGGAGTTTACCAGCTGCACGATCTCACTTATCTTATCTCATCTCGTCTCGGGCCGCAGACTGGCCGAGGTGCACGTTTAGCGAGCATCCGATCTCCGACCTTGCAGCGTGCTACCTAACATGAGGTACCTCCTACCCGACGAACGGTACATGGAGAGTGTCGCTGTCGTAGTAGCAATATCGAAGTAGCAGTCTTTCTCCCTCTCTCCCTCTCTTTCTCACACACACTCTCTCCCTTGCCCTCTCCCTCTCCCTCTCCCTCTCCCTCTCTCCCGCTCTCCCTCTCTCCCGCCTTGTCACGTTCATGGCTCGGAACAATGGGCAACACGGGCAGCAAAAACCGAGTCTCTGATCAGGACAGGGCCATCCTCGACCTCAAGATTCAACGCGACAAGCTGCACCAGTACCAGAAACGAGTCACGACCATCACGAACCGCGAAACGGAAATCGCACGAGAATGTCTGCGCCTCGGCAATAAGCAGAAAGCACTCCTGGCGCTGCGCCGGAAGAAATATCAAGAGTCGTTATTGGCCAAGACCGATCAGCAGTTGGCACAGTTGCAGGCGTTGACAAGTGATGTCGAGTTTGCGCTCGTGCAGAAAGACGTCTTGTTTGGCTTGCAGCAGGGGACGGCCGTGCTAAAGGAGATCAACAAGGAGATTGGGGGCCTGGAGAAAGTGGAGATGATCCTGGGCGAGAGCGAGGAGGCGAGGGCGTATCAAGAGGTGAGTTGGTTCCAGGTGCTTCTGGTAGTGATAGAGGAAAGAGGTTTGCTGATATAGAATGACAGGAAGTCAGCGATATGCTGGCGGGCAAGATGTCAAATGAGGATGAGGATGCCGTGGAGGATGAGCTCGAGGCCATGGAGAGGGAGGCTACGGCTGCCCAGCGTGCACAGGCCGTTCCTAGTATGCCCGATGCACCAAGGGTCACGGCGGGAGAAATGCCTGATGCCCCTGCTGGGACACCCGCAGAGAAGCAGAAGGCGAGACGACTGGCACGAGCCGCGAGAGAGGAGCGCGAGGCTATTGCTGCGTAATCAGGATGGCTTAGCGCGGTCGGTTGCCGTCAGACGCTGAGGTGGCATCTTTCACATTTAGCGCGGCATTGGTGAATAGAATATGGTTAGCAGGGCGAATCGCGAATTGGCTACAGGTATCACTAGGCAAGAATCTCGCAGATCTTGCTGGATGTGGTCTCACATTTGGCCACATTTCGTCTGATGAAGCAGTGTACGCAGAATGTTCCTGGCCTGACGATTGCGATGGGCAGGTTAGACCCCGTGGTGAATACAGAGCGGATCGCAGTCGGAGTGGAATCTGGAACGAGGAGGAACCCGGTCGACCAGACAAACAGTTGTTGCAAGAAAGTAACAATGCGAATAACTCCACCGGCCTCACCTCCCACCGAAAGCAGACGCTTGTTCTTTTGGCAATGTAGTCCTTTTCACAGAGGTCGACCAGGGACATCATGGGCTTCGCCGTCAAGATCTGTTCAAGCCTCATTTCGATCCGGATCAAGTGCTGGTTACAGAAGACCTCTTGATCTGGGGAGCCGGAGCCGACATGGAGATGGGCATGCTTAAGGTCACAGCGACTGTGATACTGGCCTTTTGACTTCGAATTACCACACGTCTTCTGCCCACACACTCGCGAAAGCCTACTTCTGTCCAGCCTTCACCTCCAAATAGCAAGCTGCGCAAAGCTTCAGGTTCAAACCTCTCTCAGCTTCCTTCTTCCGTGAAACAGCGTCCTTTCCACCATAGCGCCCAGGTCGCATTTGAATAGGTTCACCATTGTCTCTGTATTCCGCAGGATTGCCTTTGCAATCACCGTTCTTGCTGCACAGAAAGCGCTCCCCTGTTCTTGGATGATTGCTGCGATATGGGACTGGAAAATCAGACCAGATCGCTGCTGGGACATCTGGTTCCTGTATATTGCTGCGAATCAATTCTTGGTATCTCTGCTCCAGCTGGGGAGCATGCTCTCTTTGCTTGAGCGCGGACAAGACCATCGTGCCCCACCTCTCACCGTTCGGGATGAACGATAACGAGTCTGAAGAACCCATGGGATCAGCAGTCCAGTTGATGACTTCACCGAGAGTCGCAATTGTCTGGACACTTCCCCACGCTGAGAGGTTTTCTGCCTCCGGTTCGCCATCGAGGAGCGTCGTGATCGGTCGAGCTAGCGGTGAAGGAACGGTCGATTCTGATTCTCGAGGGTCTGATTCTGATTGTGTGTTCGCACTCTGTGCCTTCAGAAGTGGGTGCTGCTCACCCGTTCCCAGTGCCGTCAAAGACATTCGCGCGATGGCAGCCTTGAGGTTTCTCTGGATCTCGCAGGGGATTGGCAGGAATCGAGGCACCGAGATATCTCGTCGGCAGAGACTCATGGCGCACGAAGCTGAAGGTACTAGCTGCCGATCTTGCTGTCGACTAGGTATACCACCAATGTTGCAGTGATCGCTCTCGATCGAGGACGTTTCCTTGGCGACAATACGTCCTTCACGCCCGCACGACTCGACGCCGTCAGTGGAGAGGGCTCAAGCGAGGTAAATTGCCTGCGCAAAGCTGTAAACACGTACAAGTAAGACTGTATTGTGTATGTTCCCGAGCGGACACTGCACATAAGCTACGCGATGAATACGCACGTGGGGGCGTGCTTCACTTGCAATTCGCGAAAGCGGCCCGTGCACAGGGGTCTCTATTGGCAACGGTTGCCGCAGCCGCACCAGTCCCGCACACTGATATTGTTGTTGATTCAATGGAAACAGCGAGAAGCACCACGCCCTTCCACCACTTTCCATCGACACCAACCACCATAACTCCCACACCCGCCAGCATCACCACCCGCATCACCAGCACTGAGCAGGATCATCATCACCGCCCGAATCACCAGAACTGAGCAGGATCATCATCACGACCAGCCTCACCAGCATCGCAACCAGCATCACAACCAGCAGCACCATCGCCATCGCCATCGCCATCGCCATCGCCATCGCCATCGCCCTCGCCATCATCAACATCAACAGCACAAGAACCACCAGCACCATCACGCCATCATCGCAGCATTCGCACCGCCGCTGATATGGCGCACGCGAACCGAGCACTGCCTGGCGGTCTCGGCGCTGTTTTTGTCGCTGCCGTCGCTTTTTTGACGATGAGAAATGGGAACGTAGTCCCACCTGTCGAAGTTGAGCCGCCAAGTGGCAGTCATGTTTCGCTCAGGCAGAACCTGTTTGCTGCTACCGACGCTGTCTGCGTCGCCAACCACATGGCCGGCGGGCCGACTGGGCCCATGCCCAGCATAGAGACGAGGACAGCAACAGCTACGGTCACACTGACCATCTATACCTCCGCCTCCGCCTTCAACCCCGCCATCACCCCCACCATCACCCCCACCATCACCCGCGACATCACCCCTCCCACCTCACCGGCTGTCCGCGAGGACGCATTTTCTGTCTGGTTCTTTGTTCCATTCTTGATCACAATCCTGGCGAGCATGCCATGGTTGCCAGAGAGGCTTCGAGCCGTTCTGAATGCCATGGTAAAGAGCCACAATTACGTTGCTAGCTGTTCGGCCGTCCTTCCGCAAATCTTTCCTGGTCTCGCCCCCTGGGTTCCCTTGCTCGTTCTTGCTCTCAGCGTCATCAGCGGCATCTATGTCGCTGAAGTACGGCCGAGGCCCGAGCAGAATCCCCAGCCCGAGCAGAATCCACAGCCCGACACGGAGATCGTGATAGCTTGTCCGAGCGAGCACGAACTGCAAGCGAGAATTGACGCCTTGAAGAGAACCATCAAGCAGCTCGAGCGTGAAGCAAATTGCGTTGCGGGGAACAAAATGTATCTGGAGGAGGAATTTGCGACTCTGGACGAGAAATGTCGAGGACTCCGGGTCACTTCGTGGAAACTGCCGTATGAGCATTACATGAGGCACGGAAAAAAACCAGACAAGGTCACGAAGCTTGAGAAGGAGATAAATGACCAAGCAGAGCAGGCCAAGAAGGATCAGAAGGAGATAGTGGACCAAGCAGGCGAGGTCACGGCGCTTCAGCAGAGGATAGCGAACCAAGCAGGCGAGGTCACGGCGCTTCAGCAGAGGATAGCGAACCACGAGACGACTATCTCGAATTACATCCAGGTGATCCAAAACCGTGATGCGACCATCCAGGAAGAAACAGATAACCGTGATGCGGCTGTTTCAAGATTGGCGCAGGAGGTGAATACCCGAGATGCGGCCATCTCAGATTTGGAGCAGAAGATAGAGTCCTATGAGGCGACTATCTTGAGGCAACAAATCGACCACACTGCCGCCTTGCAGCGCCAGAAGCAGCATTCCGACGCCGCCCTGAAGGGCAGTCAAGAGGGAGCTGCTCGCGTGGCTGACAAGATCGCTTTGGTGGTCAAGTCTGGCAAGACGCAGCATTCCGACGCCGCCCTGAAGGACGGTCAAGAGGGAGCTGCTTGCGTGGCTGACAAGATCGCTTTGGTGGTCAAGTCTGGCAAGACGCAGCATTCCGACGCCGCCCTGAAGGACGGTCAAGAGGGAGCTGCTTGCGTAGCTGACAAGATCGCTTTGGTGGTCGAGTCTGGCGAGACGCAGCATTCCGACGCCGCCCTGAAGGACGGTCAAGAGGGAGCTGCTCGCCTGACTGACAAGCACAGCGCCGCCGATTCCCTGTTGCTGGGCGCCAGTCAAGAGGAACCGAGCCATTCCTCGGCGCCAGAGCCAACATCCGAGGCAATGCCTCGCGTCGGCCAGGTCTTCTCGTTTGGGGCAACCACGATTGGGGCATCGAGGGATCTTTGGCCTGTGCCGACGAGACTGACGGTGCCCAAGTCCGACTTTGCTTTTGGCAAGGTGTCGACGCTCTTCTCCACAGCATCGTCACCGACCGAGTACGACGTACAAGGTCGCCCAAAAGACACGCGGACTGGCAAGTCGTTTTGTCGCGACTCCAGAGAGGATGACGATGCGATGGCGCAGTGGGCTCCAATCCCTTCGGAGATTGAGGCTCGCTCGGCCACTGCACTCCTCGCCGCGCCGCCAATACAGGGGAAGGGTCCCGAGGAGGCAGAGGCCAGACAGTCTGAGCGGGCGTTGGGTCCCTCAGCTGCTCGAAAGCCCGCCTTTTCGTTTCTCCAGAACCTGGGGGAAGCCAACGAAGTCGTCGCCGCCGTCCCTGTGCCGAGACCAGCAGCTGTGAGAGCAGATGTGGCAATGGAAGAGGCACCGGCCCTCGCACAGCCAGCGTTGCTACGTGGACCGCAGGTGGAGATGGCGGAAGCGAGTGAGTTGGCTGTGGGCGACAGCGCCACCGCGGACGCCTCTTCTTCTGCGGAGGCTGATGTTAGCATGGTCGATTTGGAGCCATCCGATGCCGATATGACTGGGCAAGCGCAGCCGTCTCTGCACAACTTGGAGCAAGCTTTGCAAGCTGCCATGGACGAGGCCAACAACACCTTGACGGAACTCAACAGTGACGACCAGTTGTTGTGGGCCGACGAACTGTGGAACCTGGATGATGAGAGGGACCTGGCCAAAGAAGGCTTCGTCGGCAATACTCTCTCCTGGTCGCAGTACTGTGACGCGCTCGTCTCGTTGCGCACACGATATGAGGATATCAGTAGTGAGCTTCGAGACGCTGTGCAAGAGGCAGCGGCCAACCCCCAGGAGGGTTCTGACGACGAGTCTGAGGGGAAGCCTGACGACGAGTCTGAAGACGACGACGACGACGACGATGACGATGACGACGACGACGACGACGACGACGACGACAATGACGACGACGCTGGCCATGGTGGACGTGCCGAAGGCAATGGAAGCGATTCCAACGATGACGGAGCCTCGGACGGTGGAGGCATGGACTCCAACCAAGGCTCCGAATTCGACGCCCATGACGATCTGGACGCGATCGAGGCAGATCTCGACCACGACGCCGGCGTCGATCTGGAAGACATCGAGGCAGGTGTCAGCAATGACACCAAGAAGCCCGATGATCCCAAAGACGACGCCAATAAGGCGCCGCGGGCTCCATTACCAGGTATGAATCTCGCGGAGCTGAGTGCGGTCATGGAAATGCAACAGGCTCGAGAGAAGACGGAGGCCGCAAAAGGCCGAACTGATGCTCTCTACAAACAACACGCCGTGGAAGCCGAGTATTCAGAATTCGATCGTCAAGGATGGAGCGAAGCAATTCATAAGATCGAAACTTCCGAATACATAGCCCGCAAGCTCTACACGGCTAGAACCCTCCAATTGCCAGAGTATGTGCGCAAGCTGGACTTGGCACGAAAGAAGTATGACAACATCAGTCAGGATATCGAGGCTAGTCTGATTTCGCTGGCCACTCCATTGCTGAACTTTGAGGGACAAGACGAATTTCCCGACCCTGACGCGCAAGAAAAAGAAATCTTGAGAATCCAAGCCGAAAACGCGTTCAAGGACCAGAGAGGCAAAATCGAGAAATCGTTCATCGCCCACAAGAAACTGGACAGACACGGTGTGCGAGCCGAATTCGACCGATCCAAATGGAACGAAGCAATGGTCGCGGTTGGAGATAAAATGAGCCAACTCGATCCAGCGAACGTGGACGGGATGTTCACGTCGCTGACGTCGGCCGAATACAGAGAGAAATTTTCTGATATTCTCCAGGAGGCAGAGCAGATTGCGACCAAAATCGAAGCCAATATTGTACTGCTGCAGAACATGGAAGGCAATATTGATCCCGCTTTGCTTTGAAACATGGAAGCAAGCAAAGCCACCGCGCTGCCTCCCATACCTTCACGCCCGCCGTGCACCGCTTCACACAGACGCGAGGCAATACCTTCACCCGCGAACGTTTGGGATTTTGCTTTTGGGAGGGATTGAATTTTGCGGTTTTTCGAGCACGGAGTTTGGGTTTTTGTTTTCGTTTTGGGACGGTAATGAATTTGAGGGGTTTTTGGGGTCGGAGTTTGAATATGAAGAAAAGGACAGAAAAAAGATGACAGAAACCTTGATGTAGATCTCTTTGACCGACGACGGATTGCTTTCGAGCTTTTCCGAAGTTGCGATGAGATGATCTCGCTTGGTGAAAGATCTGACTTTTGACACACAGGAGGAGGAGGCACACAACAAAGGACAACGACCTTGATGTAGATCTCTTTTGACCGACGGACGGATTTTGGCTTTCGAGCTGCCGGAAGTTGCGATGAGATGATCTCGCTTGGTAATCTGACTCGACCACAGGCACGCACAGGACAACACCTTGATGAAGATTCTCCAGACCGACGAAAGAAGATGCCTTGGAAGCCTCGAACGTTCACGATGGACGAATCTCGCTTGGGTGGAAATATCTCTCTTGCTTTTTCGACTGAGGAAGAAACAAAGCGAGACACATGCTCTCTATCATCCATGATGTAGATCTCTTGAAACGACGACGGATTGTGCTTTCGAGCTGCCGAAGTTGTGATGAGATGATCTCGCGTGGTGATAGGAGTGTATGTTCTTGCTTTTTTCGACCAAAGGAAAGAAAAGAACAGGGTATATTTTCATTCCTTGATGTAGAATCTCTTGACTGACGACGAACGCTTTTTGGGGCTCTTCGAAGTTGCGATGGATGAATCTCGCTTGGTGTGACTGTTGCTTGTTTGTAGAGAGAGGAAGGCTCAAGTCCGTGTGTTTTCTACCTTTTGTGTGTTGAAAACTGATTGCGTTGATGTTTCCTATGGTAATGGTGTTTGCGCGAATGATACCCACAAAGGAGAGAGAGAGAGAGAGAGATGATACCCACCAAAAGCAGAACGAGAGATGAGATACCCCAAAAAGCAGAACGAGAGAGATGAGATACCCCAAAAAGCAAAGTCAGAATTACAGTAATGCAAATTGCTGTTGACTACAAAAGTGTTCTACCTACCTACCTACCTCCCTACCTCCCTTTCAGATTTCCTTTGTGCTCATTCCACCATTGCATACACAAAGTATGAAGATTCATCCCTTCCACCCACCACTCCCCAAAACTATCATTCACATCCACGTCCACCTTGACCACTCGCTCTTCTCGTTTCAGTCCACACAGAGCACATGCGTGCGGCGCTGTGAAACCTCCTTCGGTCGCTTTCAGCGTCCTCACCGGCATAGTCTCCGCCACTTCGGGCACAGGCCCCAATTTGCCTGGTGCCGCCGCGACCGCGCTCCGGAACTTACCCACTTGGCCCTTCCATCGTTGTACAGTGTCGAGGACTTCTCGATCTTCTTTGCCCGCTTCAGACTTGTCGATCGATGTCAGTTTCATTCCGCCTTTACCTCCTCCTGCGGCTGAGGGACCGATTCGCATTGATGCAGCGAGAATCTGGTCGCGTTTCCACCGGAGTTTACGTCCTGCGATGATGTGAGCGAGAACGATGGCGGATTGGAGATGTGTTGCTAGGAACTGGTGGGTCGCCGGGTGCGCGAGGAGTTGACCTCTTTGCGTCGACTCTAATTTGGAGAGGGGATGAAAGAGGGCTTCGTCTGCAGCGGAGAAGATTGCGGTGAAGCGTGAGAGGAGGATGAGTGGTGGTGGGATATTTGTTGGCGGTAGCTCGCTCTGCGAAGGCTCGGATTTAATGCTGTTGAGGACTGATGCGATACTTGTTGATGGGGGTGGTCTCGAAGCTGCCATTGAGGTTTCCTTGCCGTGGGAGGGAAGTAGCGCGGGAGCTGACACGGGATCAGCAGTGTCGAAATCGTCCCAGACATCTTCTTCTTGCTTGGGAAGTAAGCTTGAGCTTTTTGGTCTCGACATTGAGTCTGCTTTCGCATGACCCAGAAGTTCGTGGGCTCTTTCAGAGCGTGGGCTCATGATGTTGGGCACAGAAACAGCGTCCCCCAATCCGAGCAGGTCTATCTGCGGCATGCGTGGTTTTGGTGCAGATGCAGGTGGTGTTGCCTGCGCCTTGGGGATGGGAGGACCACTCTTTTTCTGCAGCTTTGCGGGTGAGGTCTTCACGGGACGCGTTGGCGCAGGCTGCGGAGCGCTCACAGGTGCGGCCTCAAAGTCGCCGAAGTCATCATCGAGATCGGGCTCGGAAACATTGTCGACATCGAACAGCACATTCGGATCTTTGGCAGGCACATAGCCCGATTTCTTTTGCAGCTTGTTCGACGCCTTGGGAGGAAGAGGCGAAGGACCTTGTGGCTTCGAGAATGGCAAAGGCTTCTTCTTGGCCTGTGCTTCCTGCTCCGCAATGATACGTTTCGAGTACTCCATTGCAGCCTCAGGATTCTTCGACAAGTCCTCGAGGTCATCATCACCGGCATCGTACTCATCGTCTCCGCCAGAGAACAGGAAATCCATGTGCTTGGCGAACGGGTGCTGGCCGATAACCTGCTCCGGTTCCGCTTCCCTCGTCTGAGCTTTCGGTGGAAAAGGCGTTGAGTTTCTTGAAACAGTGCTGAGGCCAGGGCTCCGATGTGTTGTGCCGCTCATGGGACTTTGTGTGAGATCTGCAGGGGCAATGGCAGAGGCATCTTCAAAGTCGCCAAAGTCGTCATCGTCGTCTGCATCGTTCGGCACGAGAGATGGTCGAGAGTTGACTTGGCTCGCTCCCGCTTGTGTTGGCGAGGTCGAGTGCGTTGCAATCCCAGTGTCCCTCGGGCTTCCTACGTTGGTCGACTGGGACACCTCTCCAAAGGCGGCGAATAGGTCGGAAGACATGTTGACAGGGTATTTCTGTAGGCACTCATCATACCAGTAATATGTCCCATACACTCATCGCAGCTGGTATGTTTGTGGTTGCACACGGGGGATATCCAAGACACGGTATATATATATGTGGAGTACCTTGAATGAGTGGTGGAGGTGGAGGTGAAAGGATGGGCAGGGCAGGGCAGGGCATGGCTTTGAGCAAGTGAAGTTGGCAGAAGGGGTTTAGCGTGCACGCATTTTGCCAAGGACGAAGGAACGGAGCGTGTCGCCGGGCCGAGATGATCCGCGTTCAGTCGCGTGCGGGTGGGTCACGACATCCAGAGCTCTCGCTTGTCGCGTTTCCTGTTGCTTTACTTTGAGCTGTGCTTTGCTTCTCTTCCCGTCACATATTTTCCTTCGCCGAGCCCGCTGGAATGGGCAGAGAGCAGACAGCATAGGGCATTGGGGCATTGAGCATTGGGCGGCGTTGCATCCCTTTCCATACCACAGAAAGTACATGGCCTTCCTCGACACTCTTCACTTAATCTGTATGTCCTACTCACTTACTTACGTCCTCCAGATATCAGCCAGAGCAGGACCGGCTCTGATTCCATTCTCGCACCTTCCATTTCCACCTCCACTCGCAACTTTACCTGCTTCAGGCATTCCCAGCGCCCAGCCTTTCTCAACCATCTCGCTGCCGCCAGGCTTATCACTTCAATTCACCACCACCACTCCCACCGCCGCCGCCGCCGCCGCCGCCCTTTCACCCCGATCGAGACGTACGGCACCAGCAATCACGACATCCACCTGGACCCGGGACTGGACCGGTGCAGAGACGGAGGATTCGGTCAGCTGCTGCTCATAATTGTGCTTGGATGACCTCACGACACCGAGACAGACACCTCCCCCATCTCGCACTCCGTCGGGCCTCGTGAGCCCGGCACCTCTCTGCATGAGACATGGCAGGCCAACAGTTGGTGCAGAAGTTGGACGAGCTTCTCGCGGATGAGAACCAGCATTGGTTCTGTCCACGAACGAGTGGCCACGAGGACGAAGTGTACTTTGCCGAGGACATTGAGGCCGGCCCGGAGCCAGAAGATGTGAAGCAGACGCGAGAAGAGCTCGTGAAGCAGGCACACGAGCGGCGGGATAAGGCGCTGGAGGTGTGCGTCATTCTGGCCTTTGACGGCGCCGACGCTCGAGAGTACCAGGAACAGCTCAAGGTGAGCCTGCAAAGGCAGCTCACACGCTGCGATATCTGCGTACGGGAGTTCCATCGAGGTCGCCGGCTGCTGCGCAACAAACTCGAGTACGAGTATCCAGCAGATGATGTGCTCGAATTCATGAAGACCTTTGACACCATGAACGAGGAGAGAATCATCGCCGGCCTGGACAGCATGACAGAGCACCTTATTGTTCTGCCCGAGGAAAAACGAAAGATAACAGCTGCGGGTGTCCTCGGTATGTTCGCCTTGTTCGAGTCACTTCATTGTATCCCATTTCTGCGCAATGAGGACGTACTGCAACGCACTTTCGACCCGGCCTTCCAGCTTGTGCTGGGCAAGAAGAAGAGGTTATATTTGCCAAACTATGCACCCGGCATGGCTGCCTTCCTTTACAACGGTAACGAAGAGCGATCAAGCTGGGGCGAGCGCAATATTATCAAAGCCGGCACCAAACGCAAGATGCTGGTCCAGGAGTTTGATTGTGCCGTCAAGCCATGGCTGGAACCCGCAATGAATCGGGTGAACTTGGTCGGCATCGACGCCTCATTCCTGCCCAGATTCTGGAAAGGTACGCGGCTTCTGCTGGCTCAAATGGACGAGCAAGTTATGACCAACAATCTCCGAGCCATGGACATGAACTTGTTCACCCTGGCAATTGATCACTGCGCACTCAAGCACGCACATTTTTCAGACCTTCTTGCAAGCATTGAGAACATGATCAGGTTATGCGGGTCAAAGTTCTGGGACGCTGTTGGAGCAATGACACCTCAATACGTCGCAGAACAGATTTTCAAGGCCCCTGGGTTCCTCAGTCTCCTCCAGACCACGGATGAGACTGTGCCGTTACGTCTTGAGGAGAAGATGGCGTGGGTTGATGCTTTCATTAACAGTGTGAAGCCAGCCAACCTTGTCACGCCGCTTCGGACGCTTCTTGATCAGCTGCTCATTGTGATCCAAAAAGAGCCGTACTCAAAGTATGCTAGCACCGTGGCTTGGGAAAAGGGCTTGAACTGTCTACTCGAAGCCATTCGGCGCATCACATCTGCAGTGGACGGCGGGCCAGTATATACTCATCTCATCGAGACTGTCGCCAACGATCATCTCGTTGCGATCCTGCAAGAGCTCAGTGGAATCGAGAGGAAAGGAGAGCTTCAAATGTCCAAGACTGTGCTACTTGACCTGGAGATCATTGGGAAGATTCTAGAGATGGAAGTGATGAGCATGATTCGCGATCGCCGGTACATCGAGGTGAAGGGTGAAATTGATCATATCGTCGGCCACGAAAGCATGAACCTCTGGAAAATGACCACGTCACACATCAAAGCGGGCAAGAGTGCCCTCCCTGCTGCAGTTCTCTTTGGGATCAAGAGACTGGTGCAACTAGAGCCATTTGCCGCGAAGAAAGTCAGCGATCTGAACAAGTCGCAGGTGAACTGGAACGATGCCCTCCTGTCGACACGCAGTCACGTGCTCAACTTCCTGATAGCTCGTCTTGATATGTTCAGCGGTGATCAACTCTCGGAGCTGTACCTTGATCCACTGGCAGCGCAAGGTCTGATGGCCTTGCTGTTCAGCGGGGATGACCAGGTGCACCAGGGCGCTCTGGCTGTTCTGAAGAATTTGACCCAGCAGGACAGCAGGCGGGATTGTCTTATGCATGTGACTGACTCTTACTTCACTACCACTTTGGAATCCACAACCGACTGTATTTTGTTAATATCCAGCGCTGGGATCTTTAGTCCGTGCAAACACCTTATGAAGATATGTCGCGACATCCTGGACTGCTTGTGCGACAGCCAAGATGGTATTCTGCGCAAAGGAGATCGACAGAGCATACAGGAACAGGAAGCACTGCGGAAGTTCTGGGCTGCAGTCTGGCGCACCATTTCAACCATCTTTGAAAAGACCGAAGCCTGGAGTGCACCTCATGACAAAGCCATGATGATGGACTTCTGTCGCGATGTCATGGACTTTGCAGAATATGCTTTCAATCAATTTGCAGTCATCGCTGGAACAGTCGTCGAATTCAAGGAACGCTCAGATCTTCTGCATCACCCTAGGCAGGCTTTCCACAAAATAATCCAATACATCCGCTTGCGAGACGATTGGCTTATTGAAAAGTCAGTAGCTTTGACCTGCAGTATTCTCATACGCCTGGAGGCATCCGGCATCCGGGCAAAGAACGCTTCTATTGAATTTCTTGTTGCTGCCATGCAGGGCAAGGTCAAGACGAAATTGACAATGCAGCACAAAGCCGAGCTACAGCGTGCTCTAGAGCAACATCTCGGAGAAAGCTTGTCCAATGAGGAGGATGAGATTGATCTCACGAAGCAGAAGAAGCAGAGCTCGTTGCAAAAATGGGCCAAGTCTGGGCCAGGACCTTCCACGCCTGTGTCTACTACTGCTAAGACTAACAAGAATGCTATCGACCTCGAGGCGTGGAGCAACAAGGCAGCCGCACAGAAGCTGCAGGATAAGAAACCCCAGAGCACCAAAGACAAGCAGAAGACGACGGCGAACAAGCCAGACTTTGTCGATCAGGCGGGCTTCCTTGCGAAGCGTAAGGCCACTTTAGCTGAACAGCAGCGGCAAAAGGCAGCAATGTTAGCCAAGACCAAATCCAATGGTGCTGGAAGCGGCGTCATTGGCCTGGGAAACTATGGCACAGACCACGACAACAAAGGCCAGACCATTATGGTCGACTCCGATGAGGAAGACAGCGAGGACGATGATCTTGATGACGACCTCTTCGGTCCCGCCGCAAAGCCAAAGAAGCAGGTTCGAGCCGCGCTCGATCTGAGCGGCGCCATTGGCTTGAAGCCAGAGGTTAAGAGTGGACCGACTAAGATTGCACGTACCAACCGATCGTTGAAGGACATGCGAGCCCGACTGAAGCCCGATCTTGGTCCGCTACATCGTTTGATGTTGTCATGGGAGTTCTTCCACCAGGGCGATTACCCCCCAAACTCAAACGAACATGAGTTTGCGCGCGTGGTTGATTCCTTCCGCGACCCTTCCATGTATCAACAAACCTTTGAGCCTCTGCTTATCTTGGAAGCTTGGCAGGGTATGGTGCGGGCACGAGAAGAGCTGCGGGATACTACCAAACCGTACGAGATCAAGATCCAGAACCGGAGCAATGTCGACCAATTCATCGAGGTCAGTAGCTTCATCGGACATCAGGAGAACCGAGATCAGCAGCTTTCAGAGGGTGATATCATCCTGTTCTCCAAAGGCAAGAGGCCGGCGGTGGATGAGAATGAGCCACATTGCTTGGCTAGAGTCTACCGAGTGAAGCGGCAAAAGGCACACCTCGAAATTGTATACCAGGTGATGCCGGGTACTTCGCTGGCACCACAGCTTATCATGCAGACCATCATCTTCGGTCTCAAGTTGCAATCCATTACACCACTCGAGCGTGAGTACGGTGCTCTGAGAGGTCTGCTGTACTACGATCTGTGCAATCAGATTATACGAGCAAAACCGTCCACAAAGATCAACTTCAGTGACCGGCAAGTCGCTAACTTCCGGGACGTATACGAGCTGAACACCGCGCAGTCAGAAGCGGTCAATGGAGCACTTGAGAACGAAGGTTTCTCTCTCATTCAAGGTCCGCCAGGTTCCGGCAAGACCAAGACTATCGTCGCCATTGTTGGTGGTCTTCTCACACAAGTACTGAAGAACGCACCGAGAGGTTTACACAAGATCTCTATGCCTGCACTCGGCGGCCACGGCAATGGAGCGAGCGGAGACGCGCCGGCCAAGAAGCTTCTTGTTTGTGCTCCGAGTAACGCGGCGGTCGACGAACTGGTGCTGCGTCTCATGAAGGGCGTGAAAAGCAAGGATGGCACTCATCATGATATCAAAGTCGTGCGTATCGGACGCAGCGAGGCCATCAGCGCCCAGGTCGCCGACGTCACTATGGAGACTCTAGTGCAGCAGAAGATCGGAGGCAGCAACGCAGCTGACGACAAGCAGCGTAAGATGAATGCTGAACTCTTCAAAGAGCATAGCGACATCTCTACCCAGTTGCGTGATCTGTATCAACAGAGGGATTCGGAGGAGGAGATGCGTAAGCTGGACCCCCTCAAACGCAAACTGCTGGAAGATAGCATTGTCCACATTCGACGACGCAAGGCCGAATTGGGCCAACGCATCGACTCCGTCAAGGACAATGAGAAGAGTGCAGGGCGTGAGCAAGAGCTCAATCGCAAGCGAGCGCAACAGGCAGTTCTGGACGAGGCTCACGTGATCTGTGCCACCCTCAGCGGATCGGGCCACGACATGTTCTCTGGTCTGAGTATCGAGTTCGAGACGGTCATCATCGACGAGGCGGCACAGTGCGTCGAGATGAGTTCCCTCATTCCGCTCAAGTACGGCTGTGTCAAGTGTGTCATGGTCGGAGACCCGAAGCAACTGCCGCCGACAGTATTCTCCAAGGAAGCCGCCAAGTTCCAGTACGAGCAGTCGCTCTTCGTGCGCATGCAGAACAATCATCCCAAGGATGTGCATCTGCTCGACACACAGTACCGAATGCATCCGGATATCTCAGTCTTCCCTAGTCGGACGTTCTATGATGGACTTCTCAAGGATGGCCCAAGCATGGCCAATCTTCGCAAGCAACCATGGCACGCGAGCTCTCTGCTGGCGCCCTACAGATTCTTCGACGTGGCAGGCCAGCATTCTTCAGCACCTAGAGGCAACTCGCTTGTAAACAAAGCTGAGATCGAAGTCGCTATCATGCTATACACCCGTCTGCGAACAGACTTTCCAACATACGACTTCACGGGCAAAATCGGCATTATCGTCACATACAAGGCTCAATTGAGGGAGATGAAGGGCACCTTTATAAGCAAATTTGGGCCAGATATTGCGGACTACATCGAATTCAACACGACAGACGCTTTCCAAGGACGCGAGAGTGAGATCATCATCTTCTCTTGCGTGCGAGCTAGTCCGGCTGGCACCATTGGTTTCTTGCAGGACATTCGGCGTATGAACGTGGGTCTCACGCGAGCCAAGTCAAGCTTGTGGGTGCTGGGCAATGCGAGCACCCTGAGCTCAGGCCGCTATTGGAAGAAGCTGGTCGATGATGCGAAGGGGCGTGACAACTACACGACTGGTAACCTGAAGAGCATGCTGGGACAGAGTAGCAACAACTTTCCCGCTAAGGAAGGTACCACTCGGACCATGGAGGATGCACCGGCTGCACCGGTCGAACCAGTTCGCACTGCTATCGAGCCGCCTCCGAGTTTACAAGCGCACCCTGGCGATGGTTCTGAAGACAAGGCCGCATCCACTCCACCTCCCGCTCCAACGGCTACTAGGCCTGGGTCAAAATCGTCGACCCAGGCCGCAGACCCGGACAAAATGGATGGGGTCACCTACCGCTTCCAAGACCGTGTCGGCAAGTCGAAGCCCGGCCCAAAAGTTGTGGACGAGGATGTAGAGATGGGTGACGCTACGCCAGAAGACGACTATGCGCCCGAACTTGCCACGGCTATCACGGGCACCGATCGAGTACCATCTCCGACCCTCTCGAATACTTCTAGGGCATCCAGAGAGCCGTCCAAGCCACCCTCCAATAATGCTGGATCTAGAAGCGGCACGCCTGTATCAGACGCATTGAAGACAGGCGTTAGCGTGGCAAGCGCAGCACCAAGCACAGTGCCACCCAAGATGGTCAAGAAGAGGCCTGCAGCGCCTAATCTGTTCTTGCCCAAGAGGAAGCCCGGGCAGAGGTAGAGTCGGCTTGGCAGCAAGGCAGACAGGACTTTGCCGCTTGGCTGACTGGGTATGTACTATGGTAGTAGAATATTGTACTAGAGACAGCTCTGTTGAGATCAGACAACGTAGCCATCCAGTAGGTATGAGATGCTTGGTAAAACTGCTGACCACAGATGATCACGCATAAATTCGCGGACGAGGCAGTACTGAACAATGCAACGAACGGGAATATGACAACTGATATCACTGCGCAATCTTTCCCGAGACTTCAGGAGCAGAGTGCGGTCTCCATCTTCCCCAGCGCCTTCCCAGAGCGAGGCCGACGGCTCCATCAGCATCTACTTGAACCATGGCGCAACGGATGCCTCCAATGACTTCACCGCCGCCACGCAGCTGTGCGTAGCTACATTCGGCAACGTAGCTCCGTCGTCGCTAACAGAGCGGTATGATCAGTCGGATGTGGAGTGCACTGCGTCGTTGACAGTCGCTTTGTAACGACGTGAAGCAACCAAGGCAGCTTCTTTGGAACATCTGACAGCCTTCGACGCATACATAGTCGGCTCCACGACCGCCACACGATGAGAAGGGGGGATTACAATCGCGAGGTGTCACGCTGCAGCAGCCACTAGACGGACGAGAGTGCAGCGGGTCGAGCCAACTTTTTATGGTCTCATACCGCGGTCCATCCTGATTGAGGGCCTTGTCACAGCCTCCAGGTCTGACAACGCTGCTTCATGATGGATGTATTTGTGTTACATCTCACGACTCCTCGTGGCAAGAAAGCTAGAAGCAGGTGCTCCGATACCCCAATGTTCTCTGACGCGTGATGCTGTGGAAGGCGCATATACGCGTTTTCGGAGTATGCCGAAGCGCGATATGTCCGCGTCCCTTGAGTGCGGGCAAGGGCGAGGGCGATGGCGAGGGTGAGAGTGAGAGTGAGGGTGAGGGTGAGGGAGGGAGCGGGAGCGGGAGCGGGAAAGGGTGAGGGTGAGGGAGATGAAGAGGTGCAGCGCGTAGGACGACATCATGTCTCGACGCCGCATTCTGGTCCCGATGCCCGATCCGACTGCACCCACACAACTGTGCAGCAGCATGAGCGGACTATGGCTGGTACCTTTTGATCTTTCGACCTGCTGTCTGGCCCCAGTTGCCAAGCCACGCTCGCTACTCCGTCTCTGGGACGCAGATGGGAATTTGACAGAACGCCTCCAGATGCTGTCGCATGCATTACATTCTCCCGGAAACTGGGTGTGGGCGTGCTCCAGGCGCTGAGTGCAGCCTCTGCAGCAGCGTCCACACCGCGTGTTATGCGGTACATGGGAGCCGCTTGGCCTCACAATCCAGGATGATGTGGCCGGAGTATGCTGAGGTCGCACCTGGATGAGGCGGATGTCACGTTGTTGTTATACAAAAGCTGCAGCTTGCTGGAGAATTTCTGCGCCGAAGTTTCGTAACCTTGTCGCCGAGTGGAGCGACGCACGGCTGTTGTCACACCTCACCTGCACGCTTGACGCTGCACGATATCCCTCGCGGATCGTGCCGCGGCTCTGCACCTCGACCGCTGGAGCATGTTCCGGACACGACGTCCAATCGTGTGGTGACATAGCACTGCATTCGCATTCAATATTCATTCATTCATTCACCTGCCGGACGGGTCAGACATGCGGCGAGTCCGCGGCGACGACGATACGACGACGACGACGATGACAACGAGGACGCCATTCCATCTCCTCGGATTCCAGATATCTCACGCCGGTCTCAGACAACTCATCACTCTCGTGTTGCGCTGTTCCATGGCTGCAGTGGGGGCACGGGGCGAATGACCTTACACGACAGTCCGCCAAGGAAGCGTGTTCTGTTGGTGTCCCTCTTGGTCTCGAGGTACAGTAGTAGCGTGGGTCATATCTGAGTAATCTTGTTTGCGCCAGCGACCTGCGGCACCCGAATCATCATCTGCTGTACCTGTTCGCCTCCTGTACCACGGTCACGCCCAGGGCATTGCCGTCGCTGAACACGCCGTGTCCTTGCGTCTTTGTGAGATCGGAGGAGATCCTGAGGGAACCACAACAGCAACAACAACAACAATAACACCAACACTAACAGGACTAGTCTTCTATTTGGCCTCTACCGTGCTCGTCTCCTCTCCCTGCTGCCTTCTTCCGTCTCGAAGACTCTTTTTCTTGACACATTCTCTTCTTTCGATCTCGAGTCGACGTGCTCTCCTCGCACGCGTTCATGTCTATTCCTCGTCCTGCTGTCCTCGCCACAGTCCATTGCGCCGCCTGCAACCATTGGAGAGAAGAGTGTGGCTGCGACCGCCGGCGTGCCGCACGCCAATGATCGACACTGCCTAGCTGACGCGCAGTTACTGTATCGATACTCCTCACCCAGAGTCGTCTCGGAACATTGCGCAGCTCTGCTTCGTCCTGAAAGAGTGAGACTGGTGAGCTGGCATGGTTCCCCACAGCCTCGTGACATTAATCTGAAGCAGGACACAGCAGCATCATCCGTGGTGCCAGACCCGACCGCAGCTCGTCCACACGACATCCACACGCTACACGGCAACGCACTCTCTGCCCGAGAGTACGTTGCAGACACTGAGCTCGTGTGCGATGCAGCTTTCCGGTGCTCTGCAGCGTCGTCGTCCACCACCACCAGCCTTTACCAACCATACTCCCCGTCAGTGGGAGATAACAGCTGTGTGCCCCTCGCAATCTCTCCCGTACTCGCATGACATGTTCGGACTTGGGCCTGGCACTGGCATGACCATTGGCGGTGCTGGTCCACTCGAGTCTGAGGCCTCAACCACCATGGGCCAGGCCCATTCAGCCACTGCTCAGGCGAAAACCGAGAAGCTCCGCAGACGAAGCTCCACGACCATTCTTCGCGAGGACTCTATACAGCAAACCTTCGAAAACAACCCGTGTCCGAGTCCGGCGAGTGAGAATACTCCGGCATTGTCGGGATCGAACTCCTCCTGGTCGATGCACTACGACTGTGCCAATCAATTGCCATATTCCACCACTCACACACTGGCGGGCTCCTCGAATGTGGACACGATGAACACGCAGACGAGCTTAGCACGACTGCCCAAGGACAACCCTTCGCATGATTTGGCGTGGTTTCTGAAGAACACGGCTCCCCCCGCGCCTCATCGCAAACCCAGCAGGGCCGACCATCCCCACCGAGCGGTGAGCGGTAAGAATGCGTTGCGACTGTTGCGGAATGGAAGCGGTCAGCAGAAGAAGCACCGCGTGTCATTGATTCAAACCGCCCATGACAGGTGAGCCGTGGACCGTTCCTGTGGTGCTTCTTGTGATCTATCACATTTCGGCTGACCGTCGGCTCCAGGCTCAACGGTGTGTTGCGGGACGAGGGTGGCTTACTTCCGGGGATCGCAGTGCCTGTTCCCAGAAATTGCGAACAAAAGATTTCATCCAACGGTATGACGCTCTCATGTGCTAGAGGCTTTAGACGGCCGTACTGACGGCGTCACCAGGAAAACGCTATCTGGCCCTGGTACCAGAGCAATCTGAGCATGGTGGGGATGGTGATGATGATGATGATGATGGTGGTGGTGGTGGTGATGGTGATGGTGATGTACGAATGAATTTCGATGACCCTTCCATCCTCAGGTGAGTAGTACAGTAAGCATCTTGTTTGCAAGGCTTGGTGCTGACCTGGCGCTCCAGTCCAGATATACTGGAGTCTAGAGTGTCAGTGTGCTTCCACGACGACGTTGCATCGGCCACGAGTGATATACTGGATACTTGGTTATCGACATACACGGAGTCTTTGAACAAGCAACGAACGAACAGTGTCAGCGACCAGCGTACTATCATGAGTGATCGAAGTTCCAAACCTCCTTCTAGCTTTCAAGACGTGGCAAGTCGATTGTCAAGATCACAACAACATCAATACTCCGACACGCCCATACGACCAGCTGCCTCCAATCCGCCCACGCCTCTTCCAGAATCCGCATTATCCATGGCAGATTCGCACCACGGCAGCATATACGACCGACCGCCACCCAGGATCTCTTTTGACACTTCTCGAGCGCTCACGAGCCATCCCATATCGCCTGCTCACGATAGCCATACCCACGTTCCGAAACTATCCTTACCACATGAAGCTTTCCCTGTCAAGCACCCCAGCCCCGGAAAGGAAGTCCAAATTCGCCACCCTGTACCTCGCCGACTGGGCAGCCATCCTGTCCTACTCCAGCGGGCTTCAAGCATCGCATCAATGATGTACGGGAGAAGTGTTTCCGAGCACATGGACTCGTGCGAAAGCCCTGGTCCCCCTCCTCCGCGCAGTCCTTTGCGGCTACGCCGTGATCCCAGGACGATTGAAGGTATTATCTCGAACCATGAGAGTGTCCGCAGAAGCACTCCACGAGTTGCACCGAGCATCAAGTCCATGAGCGACTTTCACTTCGATGCAGAGCCCATCCGAGCAACAGTGACCACGGAATGCTCGGGACCCATCAAGCGACCCAAGTCTCGAGGCAAGAAGAAGAAGAAGGAGAAGAATATGCTGCCAGGAGTCCCGTACCCGGCTAACCGAAAGGCGAGAGAAGAGCGAGTACGAGCACGCCAAATGCGTGACACTGATAGGTCAATTGAATCTGTCATGGACGAGCCTGAACAGCCCAACAGACAACGGTTGAAGAAGATGAGACCGAGGATCCAGATCCCGGCGTTGGCACCTCATCGAACCACTTCGACAGCAAGTCGACATAGCGATGTCTCCAGCCCAGCCAGCTACAGAAAGATCACTCAATGGACCGCTTCACCCGTATCGCCAGTACCATCGTTGGCCAGTGAGATCTCCGAAGAAGATCACACTACATACACGCCCATATCGCCTTCAGCCTCCGCCGAGGCACGGGATGCTCAAGCAAGTCTATGCATGTCCGAGATGATGTTTGTAGCAGAGGAGGTCCCTGTGGCGGAGAGCACCAAGTCTCCCAAACTGCCCAAGTCAATCATGAAGGAGACCAAGAGTGTCAGCAAATCTTACAAGCCGCGACCTCGATCGGCTTCTTTGCCGCGGAATGCGTTCCTGCGCCGCAGTCGACAGAGTTTGAGCAACCAATCCTCGCCACGGGGCAAGAGTCCCGTGTTGAGGCAGTCTGTCGATGATGCTCCTCCACCTTTACCCTCGCCGCAGCCGGGTCGAGTACAGCCACCCACACAGCCCCAGTCAGGAGGATCAGAGAAGCCGAACACGTCGAACACCGGAGCGAAACGTACCACTCAAAGCAAGGACTTTGCCACTGTACCTTCTTCGCTGGACGCTTCACCCATGTCGACCTCGGGGAAGAGACACCCGCCGCACATTGCGACTCAACACAAGCTCTCTGGAGAGCGCAAAATGAAAAGCGCAAATCGCGCAGCCTCTCGCATCGACGCTCGTCTAGAGGCGTTGGAGAAACAGAATGCTCTCCTTTCCGCAGCATTGATGGCTGTACTCAAAACGACGAATGGCCAGCTCCATGATCCCCTGCCCGATCAAGCAGGAATCGTCGTACCCGACGAGACACCACCACCGAAAGGACCCATGGCGTGGGAGGCGAGAGTGGCCAAGAGAAGCGAAGCGACGATGGCGAGTGGAGGTGCCACTGCTGCTGCTGCTCCTGGTCATCATGTCCGCAGTGGTAGCAATGGCAGCGCAATGGAAATGTACCTGAGTAATACGAGAAGAAGAAGTAGTCGTCGACGTGAACAGGCGCCGGAGGGAAGAGAAGAAGCGTAGAACCGCACTCAGATGTGGGGGCGAGGGCGTGTGATGATGTGGTGATTTTTGAAAAATAAAGGAAGAGAGAAAAAAATTCAAAATCCCAGTGAACAACGGCCGTTTTTAAAAGGAAAAAGGATTTCGACGATGAAGAAAGTTTTTGTCTGAAAAGAAGATTATGAGTAATACCTTACTTAATATATATGTACAACTAGAGTTCTACATACCTTACCTATTGAGGTACCTGTCACCTGCTCTGTCCTGCTCTGTTAGATATATACCCATTCCCTACAGGCCTTTTCGAGATGTCTGAGAGAGGAATGGAGGAAGGAAGGAGGAGTATGCCTGCGACAAGTTCAATTTTGGGCAGAGTCGGCTGTGACGTGGGACTATGATTGCTCTATATGTATACGAGAGGATGAGGTATTATGGGTGAGAGGCTGCTGATGCTGTTGTACTACATATACCTAGGTACATATACATAGACATGTACCGCAGCTGTTGCTACTAAACGAGAAGAGCAAGGCTGTTGCCCCCATTGTCCCGCATTACAACTCTACAAAGCCAACTCATCTTCGCTTTCATCTTCAATTTCTCTCGCCTTGATTCTGCCAGACTTCCGACGCTTGATCGGGCGAGCAATAATTACTCGAGGACTTTTCGGCATCATCGTAGGACGCTGTGGGAGAAGACATTGCGCTGCGACGGCGAGTGCTCTTTGTCTCCTCCGTTCAATCCCTGGAGTCTTCATGATCGTCCTGGTCAGTACGTCGGGCGTTTCTGGCTCCTCATTCTCCTTGTCGTCGGCGAGAACGCTTCCTGGACCAGATGGCTCTGCTTGCGTAAATGGTGTCTTCGCGACCCACTCGCAGAGGTCATCGTCCCAGCCGAATTTCGATGCTTTGGCTCGTGGCGTCTGGAATGCAGATGGTGTCTTTGGCATTTGCCAAGTGTCATCAGTCTCATCGGCACAGTCGTCGTTCAAACGTCGGCGAGTGATGAGCTCCGTGGCGATGGTCCGCAAGATCGTTTTCTCGATTCTTTTGGATGAGGAGGATGCCGTGATGTGTTCCTTGATGCGACTGAACACTGGACCGACGATGTCTAAGTCTTTGTCAGTGTCCAGCGAGAAGAAGCCGCAAGCTATGGACTGGGCAAAGTCTTGCGTGCATCTCTCTGCTTCGCGACGATACAAGACATCTCGTGCGACTCCATCGTAAGCTTCTGTAATTTCTCGACTATGAGACGCCAATGTCGAGGGACTACCAGTGAGCGCTGCAAGGACGATAGGTCCTGCTAGCCACGGCACCGCAAGCCTGTTGACTCGAATGTGATTGTTCGCTAGAACGCTCATGCCAAGACGAAATAAGCCTTGTCGTAGTTGAACTCCATGCCGACTGGCCTCATCCAGGAGCAAGCTTGTGCAGGCCATGATGCAGAGTTTGGAGGCCACTTCATCCATATTCTTGGTCATTTGTTTGTGGTATAGGTTCATTTCGCCCGGGACATAGGCGTCCTCAGCAACACTCTCTATGCATAGTTGAAGGAATTGCAGAGCCTCGTCCTGAGCACCTTGCGTGATGGCTCGCAAGAGGGTGTTCCACATATGCTTATGTCCAGTCAACAGGGCTGAGATCCGAGTCCTGTCCTGACTTACGAAGCGTGTAAGAACTCGAAATCGAATGCCCTCCAGGCCACGCCACAGACTCTCTGTGTCGAGCAGGCCCGTCTTTGTCAACGACGTAACCTCACTAGCCTCCAGCCATGCACTGATGAGAATCTCGACTTCTGGCAACGCAGATAGTTCTATACAGTCGCGTATAAGCTTGTCGATACATGAATCGCTCAAGCTTTGATCAAGAATAGCGCGTCGTACCGCATCGATTCCTTGACTTCGCGCGACTTCGCGAAGTCCCTGCCAGTCTGAGCCCTTGATGTTGAGCAAGTCGTCGAAGAAGGACCACACATCACTCGCAATCGTCCCATCGACATCCTCCCCGTCATATGAAGGCTCCATTTGTGACTCGAGGTATCGCGGTACCTGACGCAGACACGTTCCCAGCAGGCTACGAGCGCCGCGCCTGCTCACGTTGTTGGCTGCTTGAGTAATACGTAGAAAGTTTTGAAATGCCGAACGCAAGGCGACTTCTGCCTTTTCAATGGGATCCTGTATTTTGATAGGAAGTTGTCTTCGCATGCGATGCTGGACCAGAGTAGGCTCCATATGATCCAGAGCGGGACTTGCCTGCAGCGGCACGGTAGGGGGTTGCTGCACACGCTTGAGAAACGGACTCGGCAGCACGATGGTGTGCACTCTGCCATCGTTACTGGAACCTCCATTGCGCACAGTTCGATCAATCTTTGGCCTGTCCTTGGCTGCGTAGGTACGAGGTTTGATCTTCTTCGAGCCTTCTGGCAGCCAGAGGGGATCTGTCAGTGACTCAGGCTTCCGCTTTCGTATCCTTATCTCTGGCCTGGACGCTGTCTTGTGGGCTCTGAGATCGGGTCTGATGAGGTTACGGATAGCTTCTATTCGTGAATCGATGGTCCTCAAAAGTCTGTTACAACGGGCTGTCGTCCAAGCAATGTCCTCGACTCGGCTGGATCCCAGGCTCGAATGCTTGCGCTTGAGGCCATTGCTGGTGCCAGGCGGTGGACATATAGACATGCTAGATATGATGCTCCTGATATCCAAGCGTTTATCTCATGCTGTGTTCCAAAAGTTGATGTGCGCGAGATGAAATGTTGTTGTTGTTGTTGATCATCACAGGTTGGCCGGGAAAAGGGACGATCCGCCTGCCGCCAAGACATTCGACCGAAAGTGTCACTCACCATCGCCACCAGAACAAGGTCCACGTCCGTATTCAGGAAAGTCACAGTATCATTTTATCTGTGAAGCTTGCATATCATGCCATCAGTTGACTCGCCCACCCTGATTGTGGCAAGATATCTCAAGTCAAATGGCTATACAGAAGCGAGTCTGCCCAACAGGCAAGCAAGGCACCCCCCGGCTGACCATCTGCTAAGTGTCTTCTATAGACATATGAAGCCTTTATCGCAGAGGCTGGGCTACCACAAGATGCGGGTGTCGTCGTCAAGGGCCAGCTGGACTTAGAGACGCTTCTCGATGAGAAGAAGAATTTTGATATTGCCGTAAAGTTCGAGAAGCTGGGCCTGGAAAATGCCAATACGGGGTGGAAACAGCCTGGTACGTCTCCCCGGTCCGACAGAGGTGTGGACATATCATTTCTCATCGTCCCGCAGCACCGTCAAATGCCAGAATAATCGATGAGCTTCCTACGTCTTCGAATATCCTCAGCGCAAGAGTAGAGGAGTTCAAAGATCAGGATGGGTGAATATACTATACTCTCGACTCCTGCAGGGGAAAATCTTCTAATGTTGTGTTGTAGAAACGAGCAACCACTTCTGCTTGCGACTACTGCAGACAAGCGTGTGCATCTGATCAATGCGAACAACAATGCTCTACAAGCATCGTATGCGACGATTCACGATGCTCCGGCGCTCTCCGCGTTGAAGATTGGCGACAACACTCTGATCACATCGTCTATGTCTGGACAGCTGCATCTGAGCGACTTGTCTGGCAAGTGCTTCGCCAAACGTCGAGACCACTCCAAATACGTGGTCAAAGTCGCCGTCTTCGAGGACAAGCTACATGGATCCGTCATCGCAACAGCAGGCTGGGATAATAAAGTCGTCATCTACCACGTAGACTCAACCGACGACGATCTCCAATTGAACGAACCGTCCGCCACCATCCCCTTACAAACGAAGCCCGAAGCAATGGTCTTCGTCCGCCATCCAGAGACCAACCTACCAGTTCTCATCCTCAGCCGAACCGACTCCAACAACATATACTACTACACAATCGAAACTCAACCTCGCCTCCTCGGACAACAGAATCTCGCACCACACTCCAACGCCTGGGTCGCGTTCACACCATCAGCGTTGGAAATCTGCCCGACAGACCCAACGCTGCTCGCAGTCGGCACATCTTCCATCCCTCACATGAAACTGCTCCTCGTGAGATTATTGTTCCCCTCTTGGGAGCCTGAACCCCCACGTCCTCCACCTACCGCTCTGCGAACATCTCTCCTCGACGATGATGCGCCCGCGCAGCAGGAAACACAAGCCTCGCAAGCTCGCGCAGCACTCGTCATTGCCGAGCGAGAATTTGCGGCGATCCAAATTCACGCGACGACCATGGCTCCACAGACTCCCTACTCGACACCCGCGGTGGCGTGGAGACCTGCTGGCGACGGAGTGTGGGTGAATGGAGATGATGGGGCGGTGAGGGGTATCGAAGCGAGTACGGGGAAAGTGGTCAGTACGCTGCGAGGGCATGAGCCCGGAAGTAAAGTACGGTGTTTGTGGGCGGGACATGTCCCCGGAGTGGGGGAGATGTTGGTGTCGGGTGGATTTGACCATAAGTTGATTTTGTGGACGAGTGTACCTACCTAAGGTAAGGTAGGTAGTAGTGTGTGATGGAAATACCTAAGTATGGAATCATCACGAGGGAGAAGAAATGCGCGATGAGTGCCAAAGATGATGAATCACCTTTTTTCTGCTTCTTCTTCGGCCAATTGTTTATACAGCACAGGCGGTGCCGCTTGTATGCCGTGTTGTGAACGTGGCGTGGTGCTTTTTTGTTTTTTTCTCGCAGAAGCGAAATCATCTAGACCCTGCAGCGTCTGGAGCGGGCAAGCCAAGAGAAACCTACCTACAGTAGACCTAGGTACCTCCTTACAGTCTACCTTATGGTTTTGCCCAGACTTTTCGATGATGTAGGTGTAAGACGCCTCACGAGCACGCAAAGGTACATAAGGTACATGTACATGTAGTCAGAAGAAAAAAATACCGCGGTAGAAGCTGAGCTGAGCTAAGCAGAGCGAGACAGGAGGACCTCTCTGTCCGCGGACTTTTTTTTTGCCACTATGTACAAAACCTGAGTTATGCATCTGGGACTATTTCCCTTATGCAAAAAAAAATATACCCAAACGTCCTAACACCGGTAGTGAGTAGAGTGGAGTGGGAGTGGAGTAGAGTGGAAGTGGAGTGGGTGGAGGGATCTAGATGCTCGGGCCTCAGCGCGTTTGATAGTGCCAGCGCCAGTGTGCAGAAAAGTCTTGGACGCCAAAAATTGCCGGAACGAACGAACACATGGGTTTTAGGGGTATGTGTCAGTATAGTATCGCTTCAGCTTAGCCGAAGGCGCTGGAGTGGACATATCACAGTTAACTACCTGCAGGACCTAGGTGCCTACTCTCAAGTGGAGTGCAGCAGTCTTCAGCTACCTCCTATATGTACCTATCGCAAGGTGAGTTAGGTATGGTCAGATACCTAGTTCGCAAGCCAAGAAGTTCGCAGCTGATGATTTGCGAAGTGGGCAATGATCTCGCATGGACCCGTAGGTTGTGAGACTGGTCTACTCATCCGGAGTTTTGTCACGTAGGTAGATATCAGTGCCTAGGTAGGTGAATAGTCTTGCGTGGCGACCGTGATCTCTCACAGGAAGAGCGGGCGCGCGCGCGAGTCGGAGGTTTGCCTCTTCAGTATGTACATGTACCTCAGGTACCTCCTAGGATGGTGGTTGTGCTTTTCCTCGTGGCTGGCTACCTGATGCCCTCTGGACACGCCAAGCTTCCTTTCTGCCCGCTCGAGGAGGATTACATATCGTTCCTACACGTAGGAGGGAACCTACCTGACCTACTATATGCTTTCTTATCACGAGACTCTGGAGAACTCTATCGACGATCTATTCTGCTTCTGGCGCAACAAGTTGGCACAATCAACATTGCGAGCGCAGAGCCCCCGGCGTTTTGTAGGGACGTTGCTGGATCACCACTACAACTCCCGGTCAGACAGGAGGCGAAGCACAACGCCCATCCTTCGTAACGCTAAACGATCAGTTGTCTCAGGGAAGCGCGTCTGGATTGATCGCATGCGAGAGCCCACTTCTTGGGTACAAATGAAGGGACGAAAAGAGTGCGGAGCCATGGACGAGTGCCGCCTTCAGCAGTAGTACTGCTAGTCACGATAGGTCCCTCAAGTCCGGAACATGATCCGATCGCTCGACACGGATATACAGTACATACCTAGTTGTAGGTCCTAGAGTGTCTGCCAAGACCATCAGAACATAAGGCTATGTGAGCCTAATGTCAGACCAAACGTGATGTGCATAGCTTGTGCGGTGAAGTGAAGATAGCGAAATACCTCCATTGTTACAAGATGATTAGGTAGGGCATCGGACAAGTAGTAGGCAGTATAATAATAATAACAGTGAGCTAAGACGAGAGAAGGGAGTGCGTGAGGCAGTGCTGACAATAGGCTGAGCGGACGCGCGGCTAGCGCGAGGCCGTAACACTGAGAACAGAGGGAGGGCTGTCGACCTGCTGGCGCTTGGCGAGAAAGGGAGCGGAATGCCGAGAGATGCCTGCGAGCGGAACTTCTTGGACAAGTTCCAAGCAAAACCAAGTCCGGCGGAGCTCTCGGCGAGAAGACCAGGGAATCGACTGCCCGGATACCTCATCTCCGCTGCTTGGCACTTGCAAGGGTCCACATGCTTTGTGGCGAGTCGTGGTCTACTGGATCACGTCGCAGAGTACTACTGCTGCATGTGTTTGTGCATGACTACCTATGATGATGATGGTGGTGGTGGTGCGAGCATCACTGCGATGAGGCACTCCTTCACTACGATAATGGCACGCCGGGGAAGTCCATGACCGGTCCATGTCTCGGTCTGATGATGGGTGCCAGAGCGGTCGCGGTCGTCCGTACGCCTGACTCCTCTGAACTATAGGTACCACGCTAGAGGGTAAGAGGTACGGGGCATCCTAGCTTTTGGGGCGAAGGGGAGCAGTGGCAGCGGGTAATGAATGGTAGAGCACACCACGTGGAAGAGTGGTCGCCCGGAGCCGGTGAAGCAGTCTGAGGCCCGAGTGGGGAGGTAGAGGAGGGAGGCGGAGGAGGAGGAGGAAGAAGAAGAACAGATAGGGGGCCGGCGCGGAGGGGAGAGAGAGAGACATCCGTGGACATGGGACTGTCTCTCTCTCTGTCTCTCTCTCTCTCGCTCTCTCGCCCTCTCTCCGCCAGTCCGTCCGTCTGCGGAGGGCGAGGCTGAGAGGGGGCGGACAGGCGGCTCGTTTCCAGTTAGGTAGAAGCGATAATCTGCAGCCACGCAGGCCACGGTGACTTAGGTTCCCAATTGCGCCAAGACGCCAAGAGCTTGGCAGCCAAGAGGCATCCTGTAAGATGCTGATGCGCGGCTTCGCGAGGCTGGGACGAAGGGCATCCGATGGCAGAGATGGTAGCAGGTGGTACTTGCGGGCGTCGGTTTGACGCTGCAGGCGTGATTCCATAAAAAGCAGGGCCCCCGTCAAAGTCTTGGTATTCGCGCTCTCTGCTCTTGTCCCTCTCCGCCGCTCACTCGTGCGCGCTGTTGCTGTTACTGTGTCCGCTGTGTCGCACTGCAAATAATCGCCCGATCGACCACGCTCTTCTATCCGGCCTCTTCGACACGTGCGCGTGCAGAGATTTTCTGCACTTTCTGCCTGCTGCGCTGTCCTCCACAGCCCTCTGAGAGTCGCGTACTTCACTGTTGGCGACTGCTCCGCTTCATAACTCTTGGCCTTTGCCAAGTCTACTCTCCAGAAACTCGACCATCATGGACGCCTCGTCTGCCCCTCAAACGGTATGTTCTGTCCTGGGCCTCACCAGCACCACCAGCACCAGCACCACCACTACCACCACCACCCTCCCATTCCCCCACCGCTCATCGCCGCCGTCACCGACTGACTGACGCCATGTGCACAGGTCGCCCAAGCCGTCCAGGCTGCGACGCAACAGGCACAAGCTGCAGCTGCCGCTCCATCGCCCTCAGTGCAGGCTGCAGTACAAAGCACCCAGTCCTCGGCCATCGACAACTTGACATGTCAGTGGCAGGGCTGTGGCGAGCGATGCGACAGCGCCGAACTGCTCTATGTAAGTGCACCAATGCGACGCGACGCGTGCGAGAACGACCAAGAAGAAGAGGAAGAAGCAGCTACTAACAGGACTCTTCCCCCTAGGACCACGTCTGCGAACGCCATGTCGGGCGCAAAAGTACCAACAACCTCAACCTCACCTGCCAGTGGGGCGCATGCCGAACGACCACCGTCAAGCGCGACCACATCACTTCCCATATCCGTGTCCATGTGCCACTCAAGCCTCACAAGTGTGATTTCTGTGGCAAGGCCTTCAAGCGCCCACAAGATCTGAAGAAGCATGTCAAGACACACGCCGACGACAGTGTATTGATGAACTCGCCCCAGCATGGAGCTGGGCGCAGTGGCAATGGCAGCCTGGGACAACAGAATGGAAAGCGTAAGCATCTCATGTGCTCGTGTGTGTGTGTCTACGGTATGACTGACACCTCCTACAGCAACCTCGTACTACGGCTCCAGTGGACACGAAGCGATGAACAACCCATATCCATCCTACCAGCAAGGCATGGCTCAAAGTGCCAACGGGGGATCCTACCCACAGCAAGCGGGCGCACAGTACGCCGGCTATGGCTCCGTCAGCTACCCCAATAGCTCCGCCCTCGCCGATATTCAGAGCATGGACACGAGAAGGCGTGCCATTGAGGCGCTTAACGATTTCTTGGGCGATATAAAGCGCCGCGCCATCGATCCTAGCAGCTACTACGATGTCGGCCATCGACTCCAGCAGGGCAATGCCCTCCCTCTCCCGGTGGGTGGTGGAGGTTACAACACTGGCTACAACAACAGCAGTGGATACAGCGGCGGCGCACCCAGTGGGTTCAATGCCGCCAGCTTCCTGGACTCGTTCAGCGGTGGTGGTGGCATGGGAGGTGGCAATGGTGCTGCTCATGGGAGCGTCGCGACGCACGGCTACTCGCTGCCACTTCCCAATGCTCGCACCAAGAACGACCTCCAAGACATTGACCGCTTCCTCGAGCAGCTTCAAGCCACAGTATACGAGACTAGCAAAGGATACGAGACTAGCAACTCAGCCGCTGCGGCAGGCGTGCAGCAGCCAGGCCTTCACACTCAATTCGCTGGCGACTTTGGTATGGGTGGCCATCAGGCTCAATACCGCTCCAGCAACAGCCCACCACAATTTGGCAACCATCTTGGTAGCAGCGGTGTCATGAGCAGCGGCTCCAGCGTGCATGGCGTGACTTCGTCATCATCTGCGCTCGATACCCCCGCTCTGACGCCCGCATCAGTCTCCTCGTACACGAGCTCCGGTCATTCCCCCATGAGCAGCCACAGCAGAGCCAGCTTCGGCAGCGTGAGTGGCCAAATGTACCCCAGTCTTCCGGCTGTCACTGGAATGTCTGACATGGGATCCAACTACCCCACCACGACTTCCGCCCCTGCGTCTGGTCTTGCATCTGGTTTCGAAGGTCTCGATGGCCGTCGCTATAGCGGAGGTCGTCTTCAACGCCAGGCACCAGATGTCAAGACCGAGGACACAGAGATGGAGGATGCGGACGACGGGAGTCGCACGCCCAAGGCTTCGGATTCCAAGCGGCCGAAGAGCAAGGGTAACAGTAGCATTGACCCTGCTCTCCGTGGCGAAGATGGATCTGGCAGTGATTCCGTGTCCACTCCTGCTGCACAGTCTGAAGGTGCGGAGGACAAGCGCCAAGAGGAGTGGATTGAGAACATCCGTCTCATCGAAGCGCTCCGTAAGTGGGTCGGTGATCGACTCAAGAGCGGCGACTTTGAGGAAGTGGACCAGGCTCCAGAATCGCAAGCGGGTGCCGAGGAGAAGAAGGTCGATGCCGACAAGATGGTGGAAGACAAGCTTACAGAAGCATTTGAGCAACAGCGCCAACAGGAGCAAGCGAGCAAGCAAGAAGATGCCAAGTATCCCAGCTTGCCTACTGCAGCTTAAGATTTGCAGCCAACTTCTTCTGTGATGGGGCGGCTTGACGATATCAACGAGGCGAAGAGGCGTTGTATGGGAGGATATTGAGCGACAGCTCTGTCTCGGAACTGGGTCGCGATGGTGGCATTCATCTCTCTGTGTATGACTGGGCCTGCCTCTCCAAAAGGCACTGGCGTATTGTTTTTTTCAAGTACCTACGGATCAGATATCATTGTGCTTTTTTAAATGGAAAGTTGTTAATGTTCTTTGCTTGTATGATGAGTCATTTTGGTGAATTACACGAGCCTCGTACCATTTGCTTTGAAGGTCTCTAGACTCTAATGAACTGCAAGTAGGAGGTAAGACAGACGGGATTGATTGATTCACCTCTTTGCCAAGGCCCAAGGCTCTATCGCCCGTTGCCCAGTCGTTTCACATACCTTCCTTTCTTAGGTACATACCTCCTAGGTACTGTAGGAGGTACGGCTCTCCTAACTCCTGCACCATATCAACACGACACGTACACGTGCATGTATCACTGTAGTGGGTTTGTGTTTCCACTGTACCTACCTTACGTACTACATCTAGAGGGTGCCAAGTCTTCACATCGTTTTTTTTTTCTTTTATTTTCATACACATACATATCTCGTCCGCGGACCGCGGGGGGGTTGAAACATATCGACGATTGAGGAATAAGCCGACTGACATCGTCATACATGTCCTGCAGGCGACGACGACAACGAAGACGACGACGACGAGAGATATATTTCTATCTTTATATATGTCAGACTTCAGGTATACACATCAATTAGCATCGCCAAGGAACAAAAAGAGCAAGAAGAAATAAAAAAGAAGAAAAAGAAAGAGGCTCTCGTAGACTCGTTCTATACGAAGCAATTGGATGGGAAATTGCGCTTGTCTGGAACTACGGCCTTTCTTTTTTTCCCTTGCCTTGTACTGTAGTGTAAGGTAGGGTCAAGGGCAAGGTAGGTGAGGCCACTATTGATTGACTTTTTTTTTCTGTTGTGGGAGGAGGTAGGTGGTGCTACCTTTTTGTTCTTCTTCTTGGTGGAAAACATGTTTGTGTGTTGTAGTTCTTCGGCTTGAGGATTTGGAGTGGATACTGTACATGTAGCTAAGGTAAGGTAAATAATGTAGTCTTGCTCTATTATTATTATTCCATCCCTTCCATTCGTTTCATTCGGCGGCGTCTATTCAATCTCTTGGGAGTCTTGGTATGTACAGTAGGTCAAACAAAACATCGTCATGCAGTCAGCCCTAGCGAGATTACCTCCTTACCTAGGTACCTGTACATGTACCTGAGGTTTTGAACAGAGACAGCTGATTGGATCCCTTTCCGAGGATCTTTGTCTTTCTTTGATCTTCTTCTTTTTCATTCATTCCTACGATTTACCGATGAAACTTGCGACTTTGCCAAGTGTTTGTGTCTGTGTCCGAGAGAGAGAAATTGAAAGAGGATGTATTTTTGGCCATGTCTTTGCCCTCGTACCTCCAGATTAAGGTAGGATTCGTTTCACAGAAGTATGTAAGCGAGAGAGAGAGAAGTCTCAGAGAATGAAAAAAGCAAACAAACACAAACAACTCAGGCCCGAGGGCGTCTTTGTACATACCTAACCCCTAGTAGGAGTGAAGGGGAAGTGGAAGGGGAAATTTTAGGGTTTGGTACGGTTTCAGGTTCGAATGTATCCGGGTGTTCCTGGGCGGTTCGATTGGAAAGAAGTAATTGTACTTTAGTACCCTTCCTCCTCCTAGTAAGGTACATGTACCCTCCTATGTATCTTTTTAGGTAGACAAACACTTGACGACCAATACATGTATCTAATAATAATCATCTTGATGTGTGTGTGTGTGAGTAGAGGGAAAGGGAGGACGTGTACCAATTGATCTAATTCGTTTATTCATTCATAATCTGTGTAAAAGGAGAGAGAAAGCAGCAGTAGCATCTAAACAGTCCGTAATCCGTACATGTAGTCTCAGTCGGATATCGAAAGAAAGAAGAAGAAGGTTTTTGATATTACTTCTACTTCCCCCCCCCCCCCATCGAGCAGCATCCCAGCAATGCACCATTACTACCTGATAAATTCTGTGTTTTTGTAAGAGAGAAAGAGAAAGAGAGAGAGCCACGGCCCATGCAGTGAGAATGACACTGACAATCTGACAATCTGACACTCTAACGCTGCCACTGACGCTGATTACATTTGATAAACAAACGGGTTTGCGACATGACGGGGGGACGGGGACGGGGGGACGGGGTAGGGGGGGGAAAGGGAAGGGAAGGGAAGGGAAAGTGAAAGGGAACTAGTCGCGTCGGGTGGTGTTACCAGGCTACCCCTTGGAAACAGTCCGTGTTCAGTCACGATCCTCCATGTTAGACTGTTCGTTACCTCCTAGGAACTGTAGACGGGTAGACCACTGGAGTCTGGTGGTCGTGGTAGGTACTTTACTACATGTATACTTGAAAGGCCGGGCAATCCAGTCCACTCCAGTCCAGTCCAGTTCGTTTCTCCTCATCCACCCAAAACCCTCCCCCCAAGCTTTTTGCTGTGCCTTGCCTTTTCGTTTGCTTACCTGTACCTTATTTGTCCAAAACTGCCTCATTGTTGCTCACTCTTACTCTCACTCACTCACGCACTCTCTTGCATCACACCGTCATTTGAGAACTTTCTTTCACAATGGTCAAATTCTCAGACTACTCCGTTCGCGCTTTGGCTATTTGGACGAGCCACTATATGACTTCTGCCGAAGCTCGAGTTGCTCAAGTTGCCAACAGGTGAGTTGTGTTTGTTTGAGTGTCGCGAAACACGTGCGAAAGTCGTGGGATAGCTTCACGAGAGAATACCTTACCATCAGATGGAGAGGAAGAGAGAGAGAGAGAGAGAGAGAGAATCAAAGACTGATACCACTTCCTTCTTCTAGCCTCGCTGCGCGTCAAGCCATGATGACTGCCAACTACACTCTGCCACCGCTGGGCTACGCCTACGATGCCCTCGAGCCATACTTCGACGCCCAGACCATGGAGATTCACCACTCCAAGCACCACCAGACCTACGTCAACAACCTGAACGCCCTGTTGAAGGACAACGAGATCTCGGCCTTGGCTGTCGATGACCTCGTCACCCGACTGGGAGAACTCCAGGACAAGATTCCCGAAGTGAACCGCACCGGTGTGCGAAACAACGCAGGTGGCCACAGCAACCACAGCTTCTTCTGGAAGTCATTGAAGCTCAACACCGTACTCGGAGGAGACTTGAAAACCGCCATTGAGAAGGATTTCGGCAGCGTCGATGCGTTCAAGACGCAGTTCGAGGCCGCTGCCACCAAGGTCTTCGGATCCGGCTGGGCCTGGTTGGTGGACCAGAGTGGTACTTTGAAGATTGTGTCCACTCCCAACCAGGACTCGCCACTCATGGGCAAGGCCATCTCGGGCACTGAGGGAACCCCCATTATTGGTCTGGATGTGTGGGAGCATGCTTACTACCTCAAGTACCAGAACCGACGTCCCGATTACATCAAGGCCTACTGGAGCGTCGTCAACTGGGACTTTGCTGGTCAACGATACGCGGAGGCCATGTCCAAGTGCTAGGCGGGAGGATTGTAGTAGGGGACAAGCTACCTGTTGAACTGGTCCCTGGGGGAACTACTAAGGTAGAGCTGGTATCTTAAGTTCGTGGCTTCCCAAAGATTTTGCTTCCCAGTTTCGACACTTTCTTGACGTCTCGATACGTCAAACTGATTCTCGTGCTTCGTAAATTCTTGCCTCCATTGGCTTCGATAATCGTCGGATTGCCGAGTAGTTTCCAGTTTGCAACCGTATCGCCATTCAGACCAACATCTTCGGAAACTTCTGCTATCCCGTGAAGCGTCTGCGTATAGGCTTGACCAGTCGTGACCAAAAGTGATCTCGGCTCCTGCACAATTCGCCACGAGGTTGGCCGTGTGTCATCATCATCATCATCGCACTTCTGCCTCTTCTTCTCAGTCACGTCGAGAACAAGCGTTCCACAGAGACTGACAGTCGCCACGACGGGATGATAAGCCGCGCCATCCTCGTGCGGCATAATGCCTTGACCAGGAAGATACTCATTGATCAAGCAGTGATTAATGCCATGTGGAGCATCCGAGAACAAATCGAGACCATGGATACGTTCAACCACCGGTTTGACCAGCCAGTCCGGAAGAGGCGTGGAGGAAACTAAGGTATTTGTTGCTGTGGTGAGTTGTGCCGGAATGGTTTGCAGTCGTCGATGGCGAAGCGTGACCCATCGGTTGGCAGGAATCTGTTTTCTCGGAGAGCTGGAAATAGCTAGCTGTTAGCGAATGGGATACTTGGGTACCTAAGGTATTGGATGGAAGTAATGTATCCTTCCATGTGAATAGGTGTCTGTCCTTTCCTTTTGGAGAATTGTTGCTTCTTCTTCTGCGCTGATGAAATTTGGAATGTAGAACATCGAGTCGGGGACGGAGGCGATGCGGGAGGATTCCATTGGGCTGTTCACGAGCCGAATTGCTGGATTCTTTCGAGCAGGTCATATATGGGTTGCACGGGGTCAGTTTGCAATGCGTGGGTGGTGTGATGGCGATGGCAATGGTGAGGTGTGAGGTGTGAATCTGATGAACGTGTTGTCTGCAACGAATACATGTAGTTACATTATAGAGTAGTAGTTTCTACTATAGGTGGAGCTTGATGGTGTGTCCTGTTCCGGATCCTCCCTCGTCATCTCTGAAGCATCGCCTGTGCGATTCATCACACATGTATAGATGCCTATCCGATCCTACATGTACTCATAGTGACAAGAGCGTGGGATGGATGGCTAGAAGACTACATGTACCGTAATGTAGTTCTATACCTCGGCTTCCCATCACACCTCGGCCATAGTCCGTATACAATGTCAAGGTACAAAACAGAATACCGAGACCCTACTTCCGCCCTTCGACCATGATGATATGATATCCCTCCGTAGTCTTGCACTCGCCAATGACCGGATTGGCCGTCGTAGATGCGGCCAGCTCGAAAGCGACCGCCGAGAACTCGGGGAGTAAAGCTTCCTTGGTCTTCCATCCAAGCGCTCCTCCTAGAATCAAAAGAAGAGAGCAACACACACACACTTGTAAGAGACATGCACGCCGAGCCACTTGGTTTTCTGTCTCTCTCTCGAGATCGACCTACCTGTACGAGCCTTGTCCTCCGAGAATTCTCGCGCGACTTCGTCAAACTTGGCGCCTGCGTTCAGTTTTGCCAGAGCCTCTTGTTTTTTGGCGTGCTTCTCGCAGAGGATATGTCGGACATTGATCGTCTGAGCGGCTTTGGCAGCCTTGCCGCCGCCGTCTTTGGAGTCTTTGGATTTGCCCTTGTCGGCAGCGCCTTTGCCCTTAGGTGCCATATTGGGTGGTGGGTATGATGAAATGTTTGATGTTGAAGCAGAAGTTGTGACAAACAATGGGATTGATGCATGAGAGGAGAAGCCAAGCCGAAACAGGTGTTACCTACCTCGCTGCCACATACCTCCTACTACATATATGCCAGGTACTCACGACACACTTCATGAACATGACATTCACGACAACGCGAACAAACCAAACGACACAAATCAGGTAGGTAGGTACATAGAAACATGAAATAACATTAATCATCATACGGTACATTGGAAAAACAACAAGCAGCAGCGGATTTGACTATTTCCCGTCCGCTCCGATCTTTTTTCGGTGCCGCCATGGGCGGGAAGCGAAGATGGATGAGTTTTTTTCTTTTTTTTTTTTCTTTTCCGGGACAGCGGCACGAGACACACGCACCTGCGGAGGCGCGCGCTTCGCACAGGATAGACTGGAGTATTTTGTTTTTTTATATCGAAATTATATTTGTGGATGATAGGCTTGCAAAGAGAGAGAGGGAGAGAGAGGGCTATCATTAGGAGGTAGCCTATCAACAGATACTGTATCTCGGGCGATTCGAGGTGTGTGATGCGAACATCTGCGGAGTGCATATAATTTGTATTATTTTTAATTTTTATTGTTATTACGATTGTCATTGCTGAAACGAGATGGGCGGCGCATGTGTATACCGTAAAGTGGTCAGGTACATGTACCTCTCCTCCTTCATTGTTGGTAGCCGCCGAGAGCGGTAAGCGCCGCCGAATGGAAAGTTCGAAAGTGTATGATGTAGGAGGTACCTGTACCTATTCTTCTCGAATCTCGCCTCGCGCGCTCTCTCCCGGGAGATTCCTCCATCTGTGCAACTTGGGCGGGCCTTGCACACCACCTACTTCATGTACCTACCGTCCTGACCTACCTACAAAAGATGCGTTCCGTCCAGATCATCATCCATCCATCATCTATTCCTCTTCTTCCCCGTCATCATCATCCTCACCGCCCTCGAGTCCCGCCGCTATCGTCACCGCCGTCTCCATCACCGCCACACCAGCAATGCAGCAGCCGACTCGCTAAGAGAAGATATGAGCTATAGTGTCATGATATGGCGTGGGTTCATGATCGATGCCGCCGCCTTCATCTCAACATCGCTCTCCGCCGCAAGCAGCAACAGCAGCGCCCTCTTCTTCTTCTTCCTCTACTTCGCCTTCGCCGTCGGTCGCGGACAATCGCCTAGGACTCTCGCCTCAGGATGTCGCCGCCCTCCGCCAACATCAGCAGCTCGCTCACGCCCAAGCGCGAAGTACGGCGGGCTCGCAGGCCAGCAGCCAGGGCAGATTGTTGCTCGACCCGAGCAGCTTACAGTTGCTCTCGCGACACTTTGATCGGGTCATGCAAGCCATTTCCCAGCGGTTAGAGCAGGTAAGCGAGCTCGAGTGTGTAAGAGAGAGAGATTGTGTGTGAGAGAGAGAGAAAAGAGTGAGAGAAATAGTGAGTGCGTGAGTGAGTGCGTGTGAGAGGAAAAAAAAGAGAGAGTAGGAGACAGAAAGTGACATAGAACATGTGTGTGTGTATACTCTGTACAATGAGAGAACCCTAATGTTGACTTCTGTGATTATTATTACCTTTCCCCCCATCCTCAGCTCAACCAAGCAACCGAAAGAGCCACGCAGGCGCAGTACGACCGATCGGGGAATGCCATCCAAATGGCGGATCAGGAGATTGCACGCTTCCGAGCCATCTTACACCAAATTGATGAGCTCGAGACCGAGTTTGACAAGATCAAGAGGATTAGAGAGATTGTACGAGGCTTTCGAGCTCGTGTCGAGCACATGGAAAGAAGATTGGGATAGCAATGGGGTCGAGCTGTCAAAGTAAATCAATGGAAAGAGGATTGGGATAGTAGTGGGGTCGGTCTGTCAAGCAGGACATGGAGAGAAGGGCGATGGTGGTATGGTTGTTACTACCTTACTGGCGTTGAACAGGGATGGCTGCCTCACGGCTCGTTGCTTGTATACCCTTTTGCGCAGCATGTGATTGTACCTGCGTACGTCTATGGGAAAATTCTCGTTTGCTATCATACTACAGGTATCTGTATCACGACATCTCGGTAGTAGTGTGCTTGAACGAGCTCTGTAGCTCCATGTACCAGCCGGTCTCCCGTAAGGTACATGTACATATATAGTGACTGCAACGCCAGCGTCTCTCCTGCCACTTCAGCTTCAGCTTCAATCGTTTCTAAGGCTGCACAACCGCCACCTGGCTGCGCACTGGAACATTCGCAGCACGACCAGTCTCAGGGAAACCGGACACCTTGACCCCCTTTCGGAAGAGCAGACAATGAGAACTGCCTCCAAAGTGGAACATTCCCGTCTCCTGTCCCTTGGTGATATGATCACCTTCCTTGACGGTGATTTCACACGTGCTGACTTCATCCATACCCACACCGATGAACGCCATGAGACCAATGGCGGGATTATCCGCTTCGATGAACATGATGGCGCGGGTGGCTAGAGCCGTCAAGTAGCCTTGACCCACACTGATTCCTCCCACGTCAATCTCCGCGGCTTCGCCAAGTCCTTCGAAGAGAGGCTCGGAGAAGTATGTTCCGTCCTGCACGAAAGCTTTCTTGACGGTGCCGCTGACGGGAGCGTGCCAGCGGTGGTAGCTCAATGCTGACAGGAAGGCTTGGTAGACGGTGCCACCGGCAAAGTTGTCGGCGAGAGGGTCGTGGGCGAGCATGTCACTAATCGAGTATGGCTGGCCTTTGATCCAGAAGTGGTCTCGCAATTTGACGTTGTGTGCCACGTTGAAGACTTTGCTCTCGCAGGCATTGGCAATCACGTTGTCGTCATCGGGAGAGGCAATGGGTCGAACTTCGTCCCGGAAGTGGCGAGTGAAGTAGTCGTCCCAGCTTTTGTAGCCGTAGTGTTTAGCCTTGGGGTCACAGACGAAGAAATCCTCGAACCTGCGGTTGGAAAAACAATTAGTTCTAGCTCATATATCTTCCTCTCTCCCAACACAGAGCACTTTTGACATGCGTACTTATGAGAGGTTTGGTACGGCGCATTGGCCACTTCCATAATGTCCTTTTGACCAACTTCGCCAAACCACCCTTGTTTGCCCGTGTGGAGTACCTCGGCGGACTTAGGAGTTAGAAGAAACCTGCCCCACTCGTTCAAGACTTTCTTGAGCATCTTGTTCACGTCGGGATCGATGAAGGCTGCATAGCCCGAAGGAGTGCCCATGGGATAGTCCAAGATGGCACACAGAGGAACTCCGACCATTCCCACGCTCGCTGCGGCATCGGTCCATGTGGGAGCAGACGTGTAGGTGTGGTTGAGAATTTCGAGGAAGTGGTAGAAATCTCGGACTTGCTTGCGGCCAGTCGGGTCTTTGTTGTAGGGATGCTTCACCGGCACTTCTTGAAACATCTGGGTGAAGAGCATACGGACTCTGGTGTTGTTCTCCACAAACTCCTTGAACTCTTGGAGTACGGGATTCAATGGCTTCTTCTCTTTCTTTGCGTGATCAATTTGCCTATCGAGCCACTCCTCGTGGATGCGGTGGTCTGCTGGAAGCCACGCACCAGCCTTGACCTTCTTCTTGTCGTCGGGGATATCATGATGATCGCCGTGCTGGTGAACCATGATGGCGAGCTGTGCGGTGTCAATAGGGAGAGAAAGGGAAACAGTAGGTATACGAGCAGTCAGTGAAGAAGGTAGTAGACAAGATTTTTTGCGAGTCCAGTTGAATGCATGTTCCTACCTTACAGTACGCGTAGCTATTTTGTTATTGCTGGAGACGACTGACGTAGTGCTGGACTCTAGTGTGTTGCAGACTTGCAGAGCTTCAGCATCATCGGCCAGCTCATCATCTCATCGGCCTCCACATGTGTCTCGAACATGGCGGTAGATCCAATTGGCAGCGGAGATGTGGTTCTTGCGTCGACCCTCGAGTTTCCTTTGGGAGCCACTTTGCCGCGTAAAACGTGTACCTGCACGCCGGCCCTTGGGATGCCGTACCAGCCGAGTGAGCGCTTTGGAAGCTGATGATGAGGCCATTCTCGAAATTGCAAACAACAGTGGGAGGGGAGTAGCCACGATGGATGCAATTATGTCAGGAAGAGGAAGAGGAAGTGGGCGAGGTAGAAAGCAGAGTCACAAGCCACGATATATTTCTTGGCAGACCAGAGCATTCTCTTGGCGCTCCCATTCCGCTTCCATGTGATGATGGACGCAGGTAGGAGGTACCTACAGCTACACTCTCCTGTCATTGTTGTTGTCGTTGCGTTGTGCTCACTGCACAGAATTGTACCATCTATGCCAATGTCGGAGCGGAGTCAAGACACACGCCGACCGCCGATGATACTGACGCGCATCCCTTGACTCTACCCCTCGTCATCGATCGCTTTCCCTGACACTGACAGCATGATTGCGCGTGCAGGTATTCTTCTTCTATTCTCTCTCCAGTAAGGTACAGGTATACACTCGTAGGCACTTTCTTTCAACTTCCCTTTCCTCCCTCTTCCTCTCTCCATCACACCTGACTTCTTCTTGACATTGTGCTAGCAAGATGAGATTCTCCCACGTATTGCCGCTTGCGGCTGTATCATCAGCATTCGTGCTACCCTCGGAACAGGTTCTGAGCGAGCTTCAGATCGAGGACCACCACGCTCACACTCAAATCGATCGTTGGGTTGCCAAAGTGGGCTCGGCGCAGAGTGCTGCCGTCTCCAGCCTCAAAGAGCATGTGGACAGAGTAGTCGAGAGCACAGAGGATGCCTTGAAAGAAGCCGGCAAGAGTGGCAAGAGTGTGCTGGATCGGGCTTTAGAGCAAGCTGGCAACGTCGCAGAGTCGCTCGAAAGCACGGTTGGAGGCGCCGCCGAGGACTTTCAGACGTACATTGAGGATAGCGATGTGTTCAGTGCAGCCGACGGCGACCACGATCACGATGGTCCCCCTCACCACCATAAGCCGCATCATCCACCACACGATCAAAAACCAAACGAGACGATATATCAACTCATTGCAGGCAGCAAGTACACCACCAAACTTGCCGAGTTGATCTCGGAGTACGATGACCTAGTGGGGGCATTGAACAGCACATCAGCGAACTACACCGTGTTCGCCCCAACAGACTCTGCCTTTGAGAAGATTCCCGAACATGCACCCAAGCCAACCAAGGAGCAGCTCAAGGCTATCCTCTCCTACCATGTTGTACCTGATGTGTACACTGCTGGTCGCGTTCTGGTCACACACACCGTCCCAACCCTGCTCAAGGGCGAGCACCTTTCCTCCCAGCCTGAGCCTCAGCGACTGGCATTCAAGATTGGACTACGTGGCCTGACTGTCAACTTTTACAGTCGTATTGTTGCAATCAACATCCTCGGCACCAACGGCGTCATTCACGGTGTTGACTCCATCATCATCCCCCCACCAAACGCCATCAAGCTGGTCGGCCTCTTCCCAGGCGAGTTCAGCACGCTGGAGCTTGGTCTCTCGAAGACTGGCCTCCTGGACATGCTCAATACCACCGAGCACGCTGGAGGTACACTCTTTGCTCCATCGAACTTTGCGTTCCAGAAGCTGGGCCCGAAGATCAACGCCTTCCTCTTCTCGCAGTATGGACAGAAGTATCTGAAGGCACTGTTGGAGTACCACGTTGTGCCAGGCAACACTCTGTACTCGGATGCGTACTACAAGGCCAAGGACGACAAGGAAGCGTCGTCCAGTGCAGACATCCCCAAGGGACTGTTCCATGTTGATCTGCCCACTCTGCTCAAGGATCGTGGTCTTTCGGTTGACATTGCCCGTTACGGCGGGTTCATCAGTATGAAGATCAATGGCTTCGCCACTGTGGGCGTGCAGGACGGAATTGCCGAAGACGGAGTGATTCAAGTTACTCGTGACGTGCTGATTCCACCCAAGCAGCTTTCTGCGACCCAATTTGAGCAGTGGGACGGCAGCGAGCTTTCTGTCGAGGATTTGAAGGAGCGCCTCGCACCATTCGTCGCCAAGACTGATCTCTAAGTCCAGGATCCACTGAAAATCACACTTCACGCTGTGGCACTTGAACCGGACTAAAATTGTATCTGTAACGAAGAAATGCAAACATGATTGTATCAGTAGCTCATATTTTGACTTGCATTTGCACCATAGATGCAGTAGGAGGTAGGATGAAGCTTGCCTGACGTACCTCCTACCTAAGTCATGTACAGACATTGGGTGACAACGTGGCCGCCTCTAGTGCACCACTAAGGTACAGAAGAACTATGATCGACGCCACACCTTTTCCGCCTGGAGTTTGAGTATGTCACCTGTATGGAACCGTCGACAATATCCCATCGTCATTGCAATCCCATAGTGCTACTGTACCGGAGTACCAAATGTACCTCCCACGTTGTTCAAACGCAGCGTGCGGCGTGTACAGAGGTGGTACTCTTCCCTCGCTTACCATGACGCCGATCAATTTTCTACTGGCAGTTCTTGTACCTGTGTATATACCTCCTACCTCCTAATAAATTGACTGTTATGAGGGAGTATGTTCCATAAACCCGGGAAACTGGTTTGAACGCGGGGGGTGAGATCAGATCTCGATTCCGATTTCGGACTAGCCTCTTGGGTCCCCGTTCCGTTCGATCTGACAAACTCTTCACCTACTCTCCTTGCTCCTGGGTACATACATGTAGGTACTATACATTGGACATGTGATCTCATCAACGATATCAAGTGAAGTATTCATTGATTTATTTCCCTAGTTGGATCTGCTAGGAGAAGGCAGGAAGGGGGGTGTAAGGAGTAAGGAGTTGGGTCTACTATAATTAATGACACGGGCATGTACTAGTCTGCTCGATGCGATCATCACTGCACCCCTTTGGAGCATAGATCTACCTACTCACTAATGTACCATAGCAGTGGGAAGACCTTGCTTCCTACATCCACCACTATTTTGTCTGCTAACACTGCTTGTTTCCCTGGTACTTTAGCATTTGTGGAAAAAACATCAGTTTTGTACATTTTGTTGGTTATATCACTTGCTACTTATACAGGTATCCTTTGTCTGCCAATAATCTACTGGCCTGCAGACGTAATCAATCATCATCTGCTGGAAGAGCATATCATTGCATCATCATCATCATCAGCGGCAGCATCACCACCATCATCATCATCATCATCATCAGGAACATCATCCTCAAGACCGACTTGGAACTGAACCAGAAGGACCGAGAGCCGGCCACAAACATCATCATCAGCAGCATCAAATCAATATGCCTCAGCTCCAGCGAGTGCTCATCTACCTCCTTCGAAGAGATCTCCGTCTAGCAGACAACCCGATTTTCAACGAACTTGCGCAATTGAACGCACAATCGCAAAAGCCCTTCACTCACGTCCTGCCCATATACATTTTTGCAGCAGAACAAGTCGAGATTTCGGGATTCTTGAGCTCCAATCAGGACAAGTCACCGTACAAAGAAGCACGGAGTCGAGTGGGCAAGTTTTGGAGATGTGGAAGTCATCGGGTCAAGTTTGTGGCGGAAAGTGTGTGGGATTTGAAGCAGGATCTGCGGAAAATTCAGAGTGATCTCGTGATTCGGGTGGGCTCTGTCAAGGATGCGGTGCAGTCTCTTGTGGACGCGTATCGGGAACGGGAGGATGCGGAGATTCATGGTCTGTGGATGACGAGTGAAGAGGGATGGGAGGAGCAGAATGAGGAAAAAGCCGTCAAGACGATTCTTGAGGAGAATGGGAAAGAATTCAAGCTATGGACCGACGAGAAGTATTTTATTGATGAGTATGTTTTGCCAAGTGTGAACATCGGAACTTGAATGAATCTCTTTGCTAATACGAAAATTCCAGCCGAGACGTACCCTTCAAGAACCCAAGAGATCTTCCCGATGTCTTCACCACATACCGAAAGATGGTCGAACCGCTTCGCGACGGGCCCCGGAAAGAACTCGCAAAGCCAGACCAAATGCTTCCTCTTCCCGATCACATTCCTGCTCAAGCTCGACCATTCACCATCCCATCCACATATGATGAAGTCCTCGCAGCGCTCACCAAGCCTCTGGGTAAGCAGCCCATTGACGTTCCCGAGCCTCCTCAGGTGTCCCAGAACGCAAAGTCTGCGCATCCATTCGTCGGGGGCTCCACATCGGGCCACGAACGTATACGCCATCTGATCGACTCGGGTTCCATGACTTCTTACAAAGATACCAGGAATGGCTTACTCGGTCTCGACTTCAGTACCAAACTCTCGGCATGGCTTGCCATGGGATGTATTTCTTCCCGTCAAGTACACTGGCAGCTCGTAGATTTCGAAGACGGCAAAGGCGCGTGCGGGAAAAGTGCCAATGGCTACGGCAAAGGCGAGTCCAAGGGCAGCGCCGCAGTCCGATTCGAATTGCTGTGGCGAGACTACATGCGTCTCTGCACGCGCAAATTCGGGATGCGGCTATTCTTCCTCAGTGGATACAAAGGCGATCACGAAGCAGCCAACAGATGGATCAGCTCACCATATACTCCTTCCACCAACAAGAAAAACTCGCACGGCGTCCACGACGACGCCACACGCACTGTCGTCGAACGCTTCCTCGCCGGCCGCACCGGCACGGGTCTCATCGACGCCTCGCAGCGCGAATTGTGGTTCACGGGATGGACATCCAACCGAGCACGTCAAAACGTCGCATCCTACCTCGCCAAACATCTCGGCATCGACTGGCGCCTCGGAGCGGAATGGTACGAACAAAATCTCATCGACTACGACGTCTCATCCAACTGGGGCAATTGGCAATATGTCGCCGGCGTAGGGAATGACCCTCGAGGAGATGCGCGAGTGTTCAACCCCGTCAAACAAGCCGTGGACTATGACAAGAATGGCGAATATGTTCGCACGTGGGTCCCCGAGTTACGCGATGCTGGCCGAGGAGGAGGAGGAGGAGAAGGAGCTGCTGCTGGTGATGCCCCCTCGGAAGGTGAAAATGGCGGTATGGAGTCCTTGATGGGCGTATTTCAAGCGTGGAGACTACCGGACGAGGAGAAGAAACGGCTAGGATTGGAAGGTGTCGAATGGGTAGAAAAACCGCTCGTTCGTATCAACTACTCGGTCAATCGCCGTGGTGGTGGAGGAGGAAGAGGCGGCGGAGGCGGTCGTGGAGGTCGTGGTCGTGGCAGAAGAGGTCGAGGCGGTGGAGGTCGTGGAGATCGCGGACAGTAGCATCGTTGAGAAGCCTTACCTGTATCAGGAGGAGCTCATGTTATGACTAACATCTGGAGGCTCATGTATGTATATATACCTAGAGGTACATTAGGTAAAAAGTCGGTCTAGCTCAAGATTTGTACAGTAAACATGATTCCCTACCTGAAGCACCTTAGGTATACCTCACTGTGGAAATTTTTTGAAGGATTGTGCAGCACGATGATTCATATATACATATACATATACGTATATATACCTACCTATACTATAGAGATCCAGCATGCACGCCCCCATTCATTCATTGATTGTGACACACACACACACACACACACACACACAACAAGAAGCCCCTCTCTCCAACACAAAAAAAAACATTAATTTCCCAAAGCCTGATAGACAGCAGCTTCACAAGCTCCCCACTGGCCCATGACATTCATATCACCAAACGGCATCACCTGCGAAGCAATCATGCCCGCAACACCCTTTTCGCGATCGGCCCACCTGGAAGAAAAAAAGAAAGAACAAAAAAAGTTAGTCAATGGGCAATGATAAGATAGATAGGTAAAATACCCCTCAGGGTACCCAAGGTAGGTTAGGTATAGAAGGAGATGACATACCAGAAAAGATTGGCAATGCCCGCCCACCAGGCGGTATTTGCTCCTCTGCCCGTGGCGCCGGGCTCTTGCGTAATCATAAAGGACAACCCCCATCCTTGTGGCGGGTTTCCCTCTTGCGGGTACAATTCTGGAGCTGGGTTGGTTTGTTCTGCTTTGGCGGCTGCAATGCCTTGACGGGCAAAGTCGGGGAATTGTGGGACTTGGTTCTGGAGAAGGCGGGAGAATTATGGTGAGCGAGTGAGAAGTAATGGGAAATGTTTGGGTTGATCGGGATAGAGTGGAAGAGAGAGAGAAAAACAAACATACCTTGAACATCTCGTCGACCGTCTCTGGCTTGAGAATCTGGGCACCGGTGATGGGTGATTTGCCATTGTTCAGCAAAACGGACAGGACTTGAACATATTGGGTCGGTTTCGCAAACGCTCCAGCTCCACCCGAGTGGAAGATGTGTTTCTTTTCGTGCTCCGTCTCTGCAATGATGGGTTCACGATAGAGGTGGTCTCGCTCTTCGGCATCGGAGGAACCGGGCCATCGTTGGTGCATGAATGCCAGGTTAGCCTTCATCTCCGCAGTAGGGAACATGTTGATCGCATCCAACTTGAGAGGCTGCATGATGTTCTTTTGAATCCAGTCATTCAGGCCCATGCCCGTGGCTCGCTCAAGGACGATTCCTGCCCAGTCAATGTTGATGCCATATTCCCATCTCTCGCCTGGCTGGTCTACACGTGACAGGTCATCGGTCAGCAGATTTCTTTGGAAATGTCCAGATTTGGAAGCTTGTCGTCGTGGTGGGGGCTGCAGCTCAAGGGGAGCTCAGCGATAGTACCCGGAGGCGCCTCCGAGCCAATAACTTTACTTACTCACGAGTGGCATCTTCAGAATGTCTTTCACATCAGCGTGAAATACGTCGAATCCCACAGGGCGGCCGTAGTCACGCAATTTGGTATTGAAGCTACAAACAAGGTCAGTAATCACACGTGAAGAAGTCAACAATCACTACTCACAACTCATATCCAAATCCAGCAGTATGATTCAGCAGTTTCCGCAGCGTAATTTCGCTCTTCTTCGCCACCAGCGTCCCATCTTCCTGAAGAACCTGCACCTTCTCCAATTCAGGACACAACTTGTAGACCTGTTGGTGATCATCGAGGTTCAAGATGCCTTGCTCCACGGCTTGCATGCATGCCATCGTGGCGAGAATCTTGGTACAGCTGGCGATCCAGAAGACCGTGTCCAAATCCATTGGAGGTCGGTTGGCACCAATTCCTCGTTTGCCAGAAGCGTTGGCGCAGATCTGTTGGCCATTCTTGTCAATGGCTACAAACACGAGACCGGCCACGCCCGTTTCCTTGTTGCTCGTGACTGAGTCGAGAGACTGTTGCACGGCATCTTGTGCCTTTTGGTTGACCATGTTGACTCTGTCTGTGCCAAGGCGGAATGTGATATGGGTTTCTTGGGTGATATGCCAAATGAGGAGGAGAAGTCAGATATTGATGTTTTTATTGGGAACGTGTTCGTCCTTGGGTTTGTTGTTGATATGTGTCCCTGTCCCCCGCTTCAAATGCTGACTGAGGGAAGCCCCGCACGTGAAGCTCTTCCAGAAGCCGGCCACAACCTAGGAGGTAAGGGCCTAAGGCAGTGTTCAGGATGCTCCTTTCCGCCGACAGGGGACAAGGGCCAGAAGCTCTCATCTCGCAGGTCAAAGCATGACAATGGCTATATTCTTTGCAGTATGCACAACCCGCTTCTGCCTGAATAATCAATTCCACCACCCTCATTCGTCAAAGAGAGGCAATAAGAATGAAATAAAAAAATGGTTTTTTTCATGGCTATTCTGTATATCCAGCCCATGTACAACCTACTGCGACTCAATCGAGATCTCACACGAAGCACTGATTCCAAAGCCCGTCACTGCTAGCAAAACTCAGACTCTCGATGAACTTGCTCAAGGAACATCTCCCAAACTCGTCGCCACCACATTGCTCCAACGGCAGAACCCTGTCGTTGACAATCACACGAACTTGCTCCTCGGCATATCCTGCACACACGAGCTTCTCAAAGTATGCTCGAGCGGCGAACGGCACCGTATACGACGCGCTATATCCCTTCGCTTCTCCCGCTTCAGTGAGCGTCGTGTTGGAAAGTGGGTCAGTGCAGTTGTAAAGGCCCACAGCGGAGAAAATGGCAGTCATGTCGTTGTCATGGCTGAAGTCGGCATAGAGTTGCATGCCAAGTGGGAAAGTCGCCGGGTTGTCATCGAGAGTGTGGTTGGTGGAAGTATGGTCATGGACGGTGGAGTCCGTCATGCGTGCGATGAGCTCGTTCGTGAAGCCGACTCCTTGTGTCGGACCCAGCGGGTTCCCGTAGCTGTACCCGTAGAACTTGTTCAAAGTCTGATAGTAATTGTACTGGTGCCATTCATCTTCGGTGAACAGGTCGCAGAAGGAGGAGATGGTGCCGTCAGGAGATGCGACTGTGTTGAACGGGCATTGGTCCATCAAGTAGATGATCTCCGTCACCGTAAGTGATGCGCCCTGAAGGTCGTTGTTGATGCGAGTCTGGATGGGCGGAACGAACAGATTCGCCCAAGTCTTCTGTGCATCGGAAGCGATCGTGCTATCCGGCCCATCCTCGAAATTGGTGCAGAGACCGTGGTTGAGAGTGTTGTTAGATCCTGTCGCCTCTGAAATGATGACAATCGGATATGGATACGCCGGATCGCTGAAATCACAGAGCTCATCTGCTGTCTTGGCAGCGTGAAAACCTTGAGTGAAGTTGAGTGCTGATCCTACAACGCGGTCCTCGGACGCAGACCTGATGAAGGGGCTGAGGCGACTGGCCAGCTGGCGATAGCGCTGATAGAACTTGGCACCTGAGTCGATCATCTCCTGCTCTCCGAAGAGCGTAAGTTGGTCGGCTCCCAGAGAGTACTGGAAGTTCTGAAGAAACGCATACTTTTCAGGGTAGGTCTGGACATTGGTGTGAATCTTCTGTATTGTGGCATTGTACAATATCGTCTTAGATGCTGTTGGGTCACGAGCACCATGGCGAGACAGTGCTTGTGCGAAGGTGACTGAGCAGGTCGACGGCACATCGCTGGAGATTTCCGATTCTACACTGTAGAATGGACTGTATTGTCCCCTGAAGTGGCAACTATTTTAGTGTGTGCATTCAGCATGGCCCAATTTGAGTAGACATACCAGAAGTGGGAGATCTCTGGCCGACACTGGTAGCCTTTCTGGGTGGAGTCGCACTCAGGACCGTATTCACTCTGTGCGTACGAGCTAATTGACCAGTCAGCAATTGATGGTTGGATGCTCGTAGGCGAGCGATCATTACCTGGAGAGTAGAAGGGTAGCCGCAGCCGCCAACAGCAGGACCATAATGAGCAGCACACGGGTTTTGCCCCCGAGGTACAGACTCTGCTTCCACCTGCGCTTCCTACGGTGGCCTGCGGGTACCTTACCAAAGTCGCCATCGTGCTCGTCAATGCGAGTATACTTATAAGTCCCTCCATGTTGACCTGCCCGCCGCCAAAGCGGTCCTGAACCCCCCAACCTGAACATAGTAGTCAATCGGGCGCTCGCCAGTCGCCACGCTTTCGACCAAGCAGCCGAAGCACCTCGTTTATGGGTGCTTTAGCAGCCCTAGTCCGACCTCATGCTTGATATGGCCACTTTCATTGGGTCTGGGGACGAATCAATGGCGCGATATCATTCGTCGACAATAGAGTGTGGTAGCAGTGGTGCGAGCCGAAGTGGCCCTGGTCTGTGCGGAGTATACGTCCCCACGCTGCCAACGACGGGGCTTGCTTTTGTAACACTTTAAAGGGTCCGATGTACCCAGATGGCAGAAGCGCTCGGAGTCTTGAGAGGATACAGGTTTGGATGTCTACGGACGTCGTGAAAAGGTACCAAGCAGCTGAAGACGCACAGACCAGGGCCACGTTGGCTAGAAGTACGACAGTAATACAGTCATCTTCCACAGCCATTCGAGAGAGACAGTCCGCGCCTTTATGAAACGTTACCCAAGAGGGACTAGTTTTCTGGGCTCTTGGGTGCAGAATGCCGAGCGAGTGGCAGTAAGCCTGTATCATCCCTAGAGGGGAGTTATTGCACCCAACAAACGGCGAAACAAAGGGGTTTTCGCGTTTTTGAGTCCTTCAAACTTCAAAGTTGAAAGGACCAACAACTACAGTACGTCTAGTGCTATACGGTGGCCGCGGCGCTATCGAACGGGTGTGGGGAGGTGACCGTGGACAGTGGACAGCGGTGACATTTGACAATGGGCGTGGAGTCGCATGAAGTCGAGGTCCCGAGTCCAATCAACAGGGCCACCTGTTCTCCAGGCAGCCTCGGCGGGTCGGGAGCGGAGAGTTTGTAGGCGAATTGCCCTATATAACACAAAAAGCATACCAAGTAAGTTATCTCGCCCGACGCCCCGAGAGAGATACTGTAGCCTCTGTAGGTACCTTAGGTACATTACCTGTATAGATGGCTACCTCCTTGCAACCTCAGTACGGCTATACTTTATCATTTCACAACCTCTCACACCTTCCAATATGTTAATCTGGATAAACACGACACGATTGCTTCAACTCATATTACGGGCAGGTGGAGACGTGCTAGAGTCGGCGGAACGCCAATACACCGAATCGGACTGGAAATCACACGTTGCAGGCCGCTGTTGCAATGAATGCGCATCGTACTGCTGGGGTCTTGAGCAACCGCCTTCTCGACATTGGAGGTGGTTGGCAGTATCTGATCGTGATGGTAAGTACGTCTGCGTTGGGTATCTTAAGAAGGATATAAACAGCCGGTTGGAATACGCCATAGACTGTAATCATTACTCGTCTTCCTCGTCATCGTCCTCCTCATCTTGCTCGTCTGCTCCCTCGTCTTGTTCCTCCTCGTCTCGCGCAGCGCTTTTCCTCCTCCTCCCTCTCGTTTGCGCGGCGCCTCTGTTCTGCTGCGTTCCAGATCCTCCAGCGGCCGGTTTATCGGAAATACCAAGACTCCGTAACACTTTATTGTCGAGATCTGCTTCCTCTTCCTCGTCATCACCAGGCGGCATGACAGCCCTGACCAGACCTCTGACACCGTTATTGCCAATCTCGACTCGGCCTCTAGGTCCCACGACGTAAAAGGTATCATCCTCGCCAGTTCCCGTGCTCTCCTTCAGCTTATACAAGTATCCATCTTTCTCGAGCCGCTTCATCAGCTGTTCGTTCTTCTCATACCCAGGCACAGGTGTCCGATCGTCTATGCCCAGCTTGCGCAGAAAGCGATCCATTTTCGTGTCTGGCAATCTGTCGCCTGACAGCAGAATCAAAGACACTAGCGTGGTGTAAATGGCTGTGTACTCGGCGTCAACAGCACTTGTTGGCGCAGCAGGAGCCGATAATATGTCAGGATCACGGAACACATCGGGTAATATGTTCGTCATGATCCAGCTCCCCGTGGCCTTACTCTGACTCTGGCTGTCTTTCTTCTGCGCAGCTCGTCTCTGCTGCAGCGTGATCTTTTCCCGTGCCGGCAGCTCGATCATCTTCATCCCAAAGACATATTCTAGCTGATGCTGTGCTTGCTGGAAAACAGCGTTAAACAACTTGGCACGACCGCCAAAAGATCCGAGGACCTTTTCGTTGATTTCCTGTCGCCGGATCGGTCTGCGGCCGTATTCGCATGCTAGAGCCAGCCGAACGAGCTTCTTGGCCAATTCATCCGTGCTGCCAGTTTGTGTTGTGCCATTGTCGCCGGCGAAAGTGCCTTCTCCGTCGTCGTCGTGACCTTGCGTTCTACGGCGTTGCGTCTGCGGTTCTGGTGACGCTTCGGGCGAGGAGACTTGGTCGTCTTCTTGTGTTGGCTATGATTGTTTAGGCTCCTAAGCACGAAGACGTTCGAGAGGACTTACTGCTCGCCGTTTTCTGCCTTGCACGAGCGGCATTGTCGAATTCCAAAAGTGGTGTAGCGACAAGGCAGTTATGCTGTTGTTGCTCAGAAACACGTCGAGAAACGAAAGACGCGTTTGTTCGCGAAGCGCGCCAAGACAATCATCTCCATCACTTCCACACTTTCCGCCTCCAATGTGCCTACTCTCAATTCTTTACACCACGACCATCGATCCATCCTCCACTCAACTCACCACTGCGTCAGCTCCACACTATGGCCGACAAACTACGTACCCAACAGCAACTCGAGTCCCTCCAAAACAAATACATTGGAACCGGGCATGCCGACACCACAAAACACGAATGGACTTCCAACATTGCCCGTGACAGCTATGCTTCCTATCAAGGCCATCCGCCACTTCTCCACTACATGGCAATTGGAATGGGTACCTCGATGGAGAAGGTGAGGATGCAATGTATGGAGAAGATGGTATTGCCTGTGGGCCCGGCGCCGGAGAGGGATGGCGCTAGTTGATGAGATGGATTGAGAAGGATCCAAGGTCAGACAAGAGAGGGCCGCGGGATTGTTGAGACGAGAGAAAAAAGCAGAGAGACGCGGAAATGTTGCATAGCGTCGTGATGCGACCACGGAAACAAGAGAATAGAGCGGGCCCGATGGTGAAGCAGAGGGCACCCGTGGCATGCATTGGATCATGTCTATATGAGACATGATTGAGGATGCGCAATGGCTCACCGTGTGCTTTTGGATCGGTTCTACGAGCACCGCGGGAGATTCTGCATATTGCTGCCTTCTTCACCTGGCAAACAGATCACTGGTCGCTGGCATAGCAGATACGTGCTTGCGCTAAAGGGCTGAGCTGCTCGTGAGGTGCGCTGGAAGACAGTGGTGATGCGCAGACTACATATGTAACGCGACGCAGCCACGATGCGCGTCGGCTTCAGAGTTTGATACACTCGTCAAACCGTTCATCGTATACTGACTGTGTCATGTGCTTCTCTCGGATAATTCGTGATCTGCAGACCTCAGATGTGCTCCGCTTGAGGTCCGTGCAGCTGTCAGTCGCGTTTATCTTGCGGAAGGAAGATGACGAGGTAATTGACTCGTGGCTCTTATAGAATTGCTAACATGGAATGTGATACTACCTAATAGGTATATATACCTACGAGTGATAGGTACAATTTTTAGTATGCTCGAGTGAGTCGAGTCCTGGGCGCCCTCGGTGCCATTGCAAAACGTATGTTACGTATAACCGCAGTAGTAGTGCTCAGTCAGCTCCCCAACTGTCGCTGGTTTCATGCCCCAGCAAGTCGCCCAACCTTTCGCCCAACCTTTCGCCCAACCTGGGCCATCAAGTTTGTAGCATATTCCTTGTTCGATTTCCCTTTCCAAGATTATCTCATCTGATGTGGTTGTGCCAATGTTCCATTCTCTCCTAATTTTGCCGGACGCGCGGGTGCGTCTGGGGAAACTCCTTGTTCGGGGAGGGCCATGTCGTCGGTAGGTACATGTATAAGGTACGGTCGCTCAGGTGTGTTTGACGGGCCTGGCGTCTGAATGAGGCCACATGGTCATGACGGCGCACAACACTCGTGGCTCCCGGCGGGACGTGAGAGTACTTCTACATATTTTCGGTAGAGACGTAGATGAATAGCTAGCCTAGGCCACGGGTTTCCAGCGCGTGAATGATGATGATGATTGAAAAGAGGTTGTCACGTCGAATTGCTAGCGTCCAAGCCGGCTTGGAAGACTCTGCTCATAACTTCCGGACTCAAAATATCCTTGCGAAATTGTTCTTCCTGGAGTAATTCGAGCGCTCTTAAAGTTGGTCCAGGATATCTAAGGTAGGCAACAGTCAGCACACCTTAGGTTTCTCCGCGCGCATCTTTGATCAGGCAGCGACGTACTGCAAGAAACGGAGGTACTTTGGGTCCTTGAAGTACCGCAGATAGTCCAGATATGCAACAAATTCGTCGTTTTCCAATAACTTCTTATCTGCGAGATGTTGGAGATATTGTGGGTTCCCGAGCATTTGCACAAACTGGTTGGCTAGCAATCAGCGACACGGCATTATGATTGAGGACTGCAATGATGGATAGGTGGATAGGTGGATGGATGGATGGATGGATGGATGGATGCAGCGGATGGCCAGCCATGTGATCAGTGCCGATTACACAGTCACAGCGTCCAACAAATGCACCACTACCCATGGTAGGCATTACCCACGAAAAGACTCACCTCGAGCTCCAACGTGAACCTGTCGTGGCCGCCATACCGGGCGGCCGACGCTGTACTGCCAGCACTATTGCTGCTGTCCGCCATGATGATGACCAGTCTCTATGGCGACGTCTGATGTCTTCGGCGGCCGTTCTGTGGTTGGCGAAAGTTCCCCGTCACACAAGAGGCTGCCGTCAGCCGATCGAGAAGTACCCCTCCTAGTGCTGTGAAGTTCCGGGAGGAAGAGGGGGCCGGCGTAAATTGATGGAGCTCCAGAATGCCGAAAGTTGAAACCCTGAAGTAGGTACATATAAGAATCCTGTCATCCGAATACTGGAAATCCCGAAATTCTAATACTTGTGCGTACCGGTATAGGCCTATATTCGCCCGCATTTAGGTATGTGGTGTATCCGTGCATACCTTATGTCTATTTCTCGTACTAAATATATCTGACTTAGGCACATGTACAGTATATACAGAGAGCCTATAGGTACTAATACAAATATATATCTAAATGCATACCTTCCTTATATGGACAAATATATTAGATACAAATACCCGTGGACCTCCTTACCTGAGGTACCTACCTAAACGCAAATACGTAGCAAATGTATTATATGCAACTTTAACACCACTGTTACACTGTATGTATAATCAAGAAAGGATTTCGGGATTTTACGACTTCAGGGTTTAAGGGCGAGGCTGCCTAACGTCTAGACTCTAGACTAGACTCTAGAGCTCCTTTAAAATTAGTGCAGTCCCTGGGGGAAGACCTTGGCTCTTTTGAGCATACGTCAAGTCAGCAAGTAGGAGGTAGCAGATTGGCAGTGAATGACATGTGTAATTGGTCGGGGGCAAATATGCAGGCGGAAGAGGAGAGAAGGCAGATGACAGGTACAGTCACTAGGAGGAGGTACAGTGTACATGTACTGTAGGTTGTGAACTTGTGAACTTAGGTGTGATTGCATTTCTGAAAGGGTGCAGTCAATCACCAGGCCGCCGGGCAATGGACAATGGACATACATGATACGGGTCATTGAAACACACGCGACCCATTTGCTGCTGCTGCTGATGACGGTGATGATGATGCGATTTACTTCGTGGTGATCCCGCCAGTGCCATCACGTTTATGTTATTAGGGGTCTTTTGGGTTTGGGGTGTTTTTGGGTTTGGGGTTTTGGGCACTTGGCGCACTCCACTGAGTCTGAGAGGCAAGTCACAGGTGCAGGAACGAGGAGGTGCTGGTAGGAGGTAATAAGGGCCCGGCCTGCCTCGACAGTCGACACCGGATACATAATAAATCAATCGTACCGCACGCACGCACGCACGCACGCACGCACGCACGCACGCACGCACGCACGCACGCACGCACGCACCTGACTACTCTTGCTCCTTGGCTGCCGCTAGTCGGAGGTGCTGGCGCGCGGCGCTGACGCGCACTCGTTCTGAGGTTCCACGCACTCCTGACTAAGCATTCAAAACGCATGCCAAGATAGAACGAGTGCATAGTTTAAATTACGAGTGCAGGTCATGTTTTTCTTCTTCCTCTACATCTACTTCTATCGAACCATCTGCAAACTATCTACCTACTCTTACGATAATAGTTCACTACTATTTACTCTATATTTACCGAATCTATCTTGTACTTGTCTACAATTTACTCCCTCGACAACAGTAAGTATATATCTACTGTTATTATACTGTTACTATACCGTTAGTATATCGTTTCTAAGATAATTAATAGATGGCTCCTCAAATTACCCCGAATATGTCTCGCCTGATTCCAAGTATTGATTTATCAGACGTCCCATCAGGCTCTTCGCCAAGTACCTACGAGAGTCGGTGGACTTGGGAGAAAGCTACCTTACCAGCCGGTTCTCAAATGTTTGACGACTGGTTTGGTAACGTTGAGGACGATGATGAAGAGATTAATCTCGACGAGATTAGTAAAGAGTGGAGTGAACTCGAGGACCAGTTTTATAATCAAGAGCGGCAGGCGGGAGAGAGTGAAGTCGAAGAGATTCCAGATCCAACAATCTATGTTACGAAAGCAAAGAGTAAGCCAATAACAATTGGATCACTGGACTACGTTGGCGCACTTCCATCTTATCCGAAAAGCTCATCTATGGGGCACGGCTATCTAG